ATTGCAGTAGTGGTCAACAGAAGGCTGAGTACATCACTAGCCATAGCCTATACTGCAGCTAAGCTCGTCCCCGTCTATCGAACAACTTTCTCTTTGGTGCAATCAAAAGACGACAGATACTCTTCTCATGTTACCTCCAACTGTATATACAAATTTAAAAGTATCTGCAGGAGCACTTACATTGGAAGGACAGAAAGAAGGGCATATCTACGATTTTCTGAACATGTGCCGAAAAGCTTACGTCTAAAGGGAACAAATGCTTTAAACAGTGCCATCGCCAGGCATCGCCTTGACATGGGTCATGAGGTGGACGTTGAAAAGTCGTTCAAAATTATCAATAGGCAAAAAAGCACAATTTTCCTCAAGTTTGCTCAAGCTATTTGCGCATTCAGAAAGAAACAGTTATCAGTCTTTCTTTGCCCTGGTGACTGGATATTTTCATCTCTCTTACATCTGAATGCGTAATACTGAAAAGTTTCCATTGTGTATGATTATTATTGTTCGGAATAGTGTTTAATATTATATATATATATATATATATATATATATATATTAGTGTATGCGTATACTGATCGATTGCTTTTTGTTTAAAATGAACTCTGTGCAAGTATGTTAAAATTGTTTCTGTAGATATATTTAATGTCTTTGGCCTGTAAGTAGCTGACGAGAAGGTAACGAAATAAGAGATGCTACCACTTTATTCTGCTAAAACTGTAGTTCTCACTTCAATCTGTCTAGCAAACACTACTGATTAATGTAATCGGTATACAGCTACTTATCTCATTTAATCAGTAAGTAGTATATAGTTTTATTCATTCATTAGATAGTACAGTGAATCAGTTAATAAAGAGTGAACCTTTGTCTTTATTATGGTTGGGAGAGTGAGCTACTAAGGTACTTAGGCACTTCTTAAATTTTCTTGAAGAAGCTGCAGCTTACCTGATGAAACTCTTGGCAAATTTCTGGTTTGATTTTCAATAGCACTGACTTTATTTTAAATAATTTTACACTGACATTACGTAACTATTATTTTCACGTAGAACTACAAAAAGCCTTTCACCATTATGCCAAGTGATGTTTAATGTTAGTCAAACAGTTGCAACAGGCTGTTTAAATTCTCTAGAATGCATTCAGCTATCGGCTCAGAAAAGATTGAAGATGCATAGGTTCACTGAAGGAAATATTTGAGAGTAGTAAGTAATATTGATTCATTATTACTTGATCTCATAAGAGTCTAGTGAATTCAAGATTTACTTGATAATCAGATAAAGCATAATAGCATATTCCCGCTAACATTGATTGCTAGTGTGATATTTCATCTTACAAAGAAGAAAATTTACAATAAAAGCGCTTTATTGGTGCTTAGTAGAATACAATGAAGATGTCTTTCGATTGACTGAATTCTCCATAGCTGTATAATCATAATTTAATTCACTTCCGTTTTATGAGATCGCAAGTATGAAATTAGCTAATGATACACGTTAAATGCTTTTAATAAATAATTTAGAACAATTTTTATAACAAATTAAATCTGTCTCTTTGACATGCATTTATTCAACGAAAACATGTTCATTACTAGTTTCAAAATCCCGATGTTGGAAGTGACTATAAAATTTGCTGTGGCAACTTTTATAATCTACATATAGTTACCTAAGGATCAAAAGAAAGTTATCACTTTCATTTTCGCTCATCATATTCAATGGATCCGATATCTACATAGCTTGGGGAGAGCCTTGTTATTCACAAACCTGTAGGTTGAAAATGAACATAGAGCATAATCTGTGGTGAAAGCCTAAAACCAAAGCCACGAAATGAGACATACAGTTCATTTTTTAAATATGATACTCAACGTCAAACTGATAACTTTGCGTCAAGCATCTTAACAGAAGAATTTTTATCTCTTTAATGAAGATTTCCTTTGCAAAGATCGTAAGTTATTCTTCTCGTGTTCATTACTTTTAGAAAAACTGTGTTGTCAAGATCCTGTGCATGATCACCACCTCCTGTTCCTGTTTTCTCTTTTTAATTTCAATAATTGGTAGAGAATACTACCCATCGTGGGTAGAGCAGGTTGAAAGTGAGGTAGTAACTCATCGAAGAAGACATTGCGAAATGGTCACGCTAATGTTGTGAATTGAGAGATGTTAGAATTCATATGCCATTGGATCGGGTCCCAGTGGCTTAATGGTCTACGAGCTCGCCTTGTAACCAGAAGGTTCTGGGTTCAAACCTTGGTGATAAGTGCTACTGATGAGTCCTAAACTAGGACGAAACAGCTGTCCAGTACTCCCAGGTTTTCCAGTGGTTCTCTAACTGATAACAGCTCATGATTAAATCCTCCATCCAATCAAACAAAATACCTACAAAACCAATACTTGAATAATGGCTAAAGACGACTGGTGATGTGCATAGTTTAAAACCGTCTTCAGTGGAACAGATGCATTCACTTTTCATGAACTAACTGTCAGATCCATTAAATTCTCATTGTCCTCAACGTAAATATTCATCCTCGCCTACGTTCTGGTTTATTATAGTTCATTCGCATTTCTTACTTTCTGTGTACTTTTATGTGTGATTTCATGAAGTTTGTCAGCTTGGACTTCTACACTTTTGTGCAAATTTGTACGTTGAAAATTCAGTTGTTTCAAGTAGCTTCAATTAGCGAAAAAGATGTAGTTTTACACTTTTTTCAGTTGTTATTTCTATAAGATGTTAGACCTGGTTGTTGTTTCTATTGTTTTCCCTTTGCTGCAATTACCTCAGGAATATTTAGCAGTTTAATAAAGCGAGTTCACTGCCGTGCATTTTAGACCTTTCTAACTTTAACAGTTTTAAGTATGTAATATTTTATTTGCGTCGGTGACATAGCGGTAGAATACTCGCAGACCATGCATGTGGCCTGGGGTTCGGTCCCCGGACAACGCACTCCCCTACCTCACTAAGCCAGTAATGAGACTGGTAAAGAGCGAAGGTTGGGCATGAGACTAGGAACCTCATCCCGTAAAAGTAAACACCACTGCTACTGAAACTTCAAGCCTGTAGCTTGAAGCTTTATGTTTCACTGATAACCTAAAGAAATTTTAAAAAAATTATTATTTAATCGAAGAGGTTAGTATTTCTGAACATATAGATGAATTAATTAATACAAAAAAAATGAAGATACGCCAACTTAGTTTTATAGAACCGCTCACAAGACGTACTATTCGTCAACGTATTGATGTCAGATACAGGTCGGAGGTTCACACTGTCAATACTGAAAGTCTGCCAATCAAATAATATCATGATTTATACTGATCTGATACATAATCAACCACTTATACACAGTAAAGCTCTCTAAGGATTGGAAACATAATCAACACAACACCTTCTACATGTGAATGCTCCTATGAAATTCACGCAGCTAAACAATTCTAAAAATTTCAGAGGCGCAGTCTATAGAAAAGTTAAAGAGCAACTGAGTAAAACAAAAGCATAATACACAAACAGAAGATTTTTTCTTGAGCTTTATTTCACCTATAGGCGTGACAGTATCTTTTTTAAATAGTGTCAGTAGACATTTAAAAAACCGTCGTCTAGATGAATTCTTACTCTGAACCGAGTTCACTGAAGGCAGAGTTTTGATGATCACATTGAACCATTCTGTTATGTTTAAAGCTAATCATTTATGAAATACTTCATTTAATTAATTATTTATTTTCAGGTATTCATTTTATAGGTATTTTGTTTGATTGGATGGAGGATTTAATCATGAGCTGTTATCAGTTAGAGAACCACTGGAAAACCTGGGAGTACTGGAGAGCTGTTTCATCCTAGTTCGGGACCCTTCGGCAGTACGCACCCACCGGGGTTTGAACCCAGGACCTTCTGGTTACCAGGCGAAATGGTCTACGGGCTCGCCTTGTAACCAGAAGGTCCTGGGTTTGAATCCCAGTGGGTGCGTACTGATGAAGAGTCCCAAACTAGGACGAAACAGCCCTCCAGTACTCCCAGGTTTTCCAGTGGTTCTCTAACTGATAACAGCTCATGATTAAATCCTCTATGCAATTATTGTTTATTTACTCAGTTTTCACTACTACTACTACTACTACTACTGTGGTGAGAGCAGGCTGCTGGCCAGTCGATAAAGATTAATTTACGTCAATGTCTGGGTCACTAATATTGGCCGTGAGAAAATATGAACAGGGCTGATTCAACAACCAATCACAGCGGACTTAACGTGGGCAAATAAGATTCGCGAATATATGGCTTAACTTTCCGAGAAACCAGAAATAACCAATCAAAAGACTGTGTTTGTCTGCTTGAATAAGGTATAATAATGTACATGAAATATATATATATATATATATATATATATATATATATATATATATTTATATATATATATACGTGCTGATTTCCGTAATAAAACGATCTGTTGCCAGCCCTTGTCTTCTGTTGTTGCACTACTACTTCTTTTTCTTGCCATGAAGATCTACCCTATGCATACAATATAAAAGTAGACTTCAATCTGGAGCCTCAAGAAGATGAAAAGAAGAAGTATCGGCGTAGGGCATAGGATTCCTACCTATCGGTCTACTACACAAATACTATGCACAGATTAATTAGAAAGTAAGAAAAGAAAAGTGAGGATAGAATGGAATCTTCTTTAACAGATGATCACTTAGCTGTATATACAATTATATATTATAACTTCCCAGACCGTAGGTGTTACGAACTTCCTGGAATAATGATTTAAGCGCCGAGTCAGACTGATTCATTATATTGCCTCAATAAATTCTGCGTATTTAAAGGCAATAGATGTAATCAAGGTAGTCAAATATACTACAACTCCTATTAATAATCTTAGTAGACGGTTTCAATATTTTGGTAATACGATATAAATATCTTAAGTAATTCTCTGTTGTTGTTTTTTTAAAGTCTGCAATATAAGTTCCCTTAAGTGAAATGTAAGAATGATTATTTAAGTAGCATTTTTAATGATAAATTAGGCTGCATCTTTCGCGTTTGTACAATATAAAACAGAACAAATACTATTTGACTTTTAAATAAAAAAAATGAAGCGTAACTAGAAAGTTTTTAAACAAATCGACTACTATAAATCATTTGATTCAAATAATGAAGCATAGTACGCTCGTGAATACAACTTTTTCAGGCAACCTTTTTGTTTTAAATAAAAAAACGTCTTTGTGACCAATTAAAAAAATACGTGACAAATGAAATAAATTAAAGACGTTTCTTCATCATTTGAATAGTTCAATTTTGCTCATAATAACCCATCAATTCATCTTGGAATGAAATCAGATCACTTGGACAGCTTTATCGTACATTATTCATCCATGAAGGCTTGTTGTTCAATCCAAATAATGGTACTGCATATGTAGACATAGCTGTGAGTAAAACAAGACCGCTAATTATATTTAAGGGAACTCCAGCCATTACCTGATAACAGAAAATAAAAACAAAAGACTTCTAGAATAGTATACTATACCTGTTAACATTCCGTGACCATTAGGGTGCAGCAGGTTGAAGATAAGGCAGTAACTCATCAAAGAAGACATTGCGAAATGGTCACGCTATGTCGTGAATTGACAGAAGTTAGAATTCATGGGCTGGTCACTGGATCGGGTCCCAAAGAGTGGCTCAATGGTCTACGAGCTCGCCTTGTAACCAGAAGGTCTTGGGTTCAAACGCTGGCAGTGGGTGCGTACTTTGAAGAGTCTCAAACTAGGACGAAACAGCTGTCCAGTACTCCCAATGGTTCCAATGGTCCTCTTACTGTTGTCAGCTCATGATGAAATCCTCCATCCAGGTTCACAAAACGTTTGATCACTGACGAATTACGATTAACCCATATTTAGTAAAACTCAATATTTTTCCATCTTGCATATGAAGTGTATCTGAGGAGAATTTTCGAAATTGGGGCAGACCAACTAAGTAACTTTAGTATTTCAATATCCGAAGAAGTTAGCCAGTGACTGAAGTACCATCTGATTCAACTAATACCTAAAGTGGTTCATAAAGGCTTTGAAAAACTTGTCTCGACAGTAAAATATCAACAGAGCAAGAAAAGTAAGGTTTTCACTATTACAGTCTCAAGGGAAGAATGATCACACAATTGAACAAACCTTCCAAAACAAGACTACTGTAATAAAAACACCCTAGACACGTTAGGTTTCAGTATGCAAGGTCTTGTCATAATATTTCATAGTAGCGTTGGACAACTTTGAGTGCGGAAAATTCCCCAAAAATGGATAGTTAGAATTAAGTAAAAACGTTTTTTCTCACTTCAAAAAGGTCAGCTCTTTAATCTTGCTCTGATCTTCAGTCTATTTCGCCAATCTTTAATAGGTAATGAAACTCAGGCCAACTTATAAGTTTCCGACAATTAACCTTTAACCGGTATATGGCATCGTCAACTCATATGTGCTGTGGCAATGAAGGAAGTGTCGAGAAAGTGTAGTATCTCAATCCAGGCCATGCATTACGACTTATGTGGTCAAATAAAAGATAACGGGAATCATCGTCAGAGTTGACAATCACAGATGTAACTCTAGTTAACTTTACTGGCTTTAGGATTGCCTAGTTATCAGTGAATAGTCTGTTCATCGTAGACTATGCAAATGATATAGTACTTCTATGTGAAGATGATGGCAAAATACGCAGTCTTCTGAACACCATAAGCACAAACCTTGTTTTGTTTGGGAGGATTCTGTAGGAATGATGTGTACCGTTTCCCAGTTAAATGGTAGGGAATGAAATCATCAAATGTATTGAATACTTCACTTATTTAGGAAGGTGCATCAGTCTTGATGTACTGACTGATGACTAAATCTCAGTTCGGATCAAAATAGGCTCATGTGCTATTCGCTAGCTTGCATCCACTTTGTCACCAGTTGGATATCCGGCTATCCATCAGAGCACGCGTCTTTCATCTTATGATTTGCTTCATTAGATATAAAAAATGTGGATTATTGACACTGGATATGGAGAAGATGTATGCAGGTCAGCAGTTTTCAGCCATTAGTGTCTGACTTCAATCATTTGTTTTAAGCGGACCAGTTTGGTATGTAATGACGCGTATGAGCATGGGATTCTAAGGAAAGAAGAAGAGCCAGTGAATTCGGTTGTGAGGGGAACGTTGACAGGAATGATGTGTTTCACATACTGAGCCATCGCATTTCGTGATAAAGACTGGTGGCGGATATAGAGCTAGTACGGAAAGTTATGGCAGTGATCAGAACAAAACATGGTACTAATGAAGTACTTGACCGTTGACCCGAGAAATACACGGAGTTTTAGAATTCATTGCCAATGTCATCAAGATGTCGGGTACCATTAGCTGGAGATTATTTGTGATATAATTCATATCTGCTCTCAGTGTTGCATCGTTTTCTTATCATCACACCACTAGGACTCCACATTAATCTTCACTAACTATAAAGTCAGTTTTCAATGAAAACTTCTCTATATTCTCAATTTTCATTTTATAATTTTAAAAGAAGCATTAACTAGATGTACTTACATCTGTTGTATAACAAAATAAAAAATACCAACAAATTAGAAAGCCTACCATATGTTTAACCTTGACTCTTCCTTTAGCAAAGACAATCGTGTTAGGTAGCGTTGCAACAGGTAGTACGAATGCAAACGAAGAGGCAACTGTCACAGGAAGTGCTAAAATAAACGGGTGTATCCCGATTCCTTCACACTAAAAAATTTTTGTAAACGTCACAAATAAAAAAAGTATTTGTATATATATTCATGGTTTAGACATTTAATGCAAAAACTAAACCTATCATCCAGAGGATTTCTTAGCATTATAAAAAATAATGTTAAATTTTTATTGTAAATTTGTGTAGGTGAAAAATGATGAATTACATATTCATAGAGATTTTCAATTGCACTAAATTGATTGTAGGATTGAAATCGACAAACATGTAAAGAATGTGATGAGGTATGAAGTGGGTCTTTTTCATGTGACCGATTTGACCATTCAAAATTTGACGAAATGATGAAATCAGACATTACGTCATCAACAAACAAAATATAAACATCACGTACTCATTCATTAGAGTAGCTATTGTAATTCTGGAATAAATTAAAATCTGTGAGTCATTCAGTCATTAGTGGACTAATGTTATTACTTATGCAAAGTAGGTAATTTACGTAATTAGTATCTTATACGCTTGTGGTCCCAACATGAAATTTTAATGCTTCATCGTATTTATAGAAATATTTTAGTCCTGTAAGCATATAACGACCATTAGTGTAGAAATAAACACCTCCGATCCAGATTAGATCGAAAAATGCATATTAACAGTCTGCGGAGTGAATAGGACACATATGTAAAAATAATTTTGATGTGGTTTTGTTCTCTGAGCTGGATAGTTAGTTTGCGAAGCTTTCATCACCTTACTGGGTGACATCTTCAGCGCATACTTCAATTTGAAGTATGCGCTGAAGATGTCACCCAGTAAGGTGATGAAAGCTTCGCAAACTAACTATCCAGCTCAGAGAACAAAACCACATCAAAATTATCCACCTGAGCTACAAATCTTCTCTATCATATCTATATGTAAAAATAATATTACACAAGTGTTGGTTTGTAGGGATTTGATTGGCTTCAGGATTTCAACATGAACTGACATCAGTTATAAGACCACTGGAAAACCTGGGGGTACTGTACGACTGTTTTGTCAGCCTAGTTCGGGACTCTTCATCAGTACGCACTCACACTGGAGGGTTCGAACCCAGTACCTTATGGTTACAAGGCAAGCTTATAGATCATTAGACCAATAATATTATTATTTCGATAGAGAAAGACAAACCACATCTGCAGTTTAAAATGATATCATTATTCCATTTCACAGTTTCCGATCTACTGCTAACTATCTGAAAATACAGTGGTCATAAAAAACGGCAATAATATATTGCAGTGTTCGAATGTTTATAGAGAAAATATTCTAAAATTAGAGCATCTCAGATTGTAAACATCACAATTTTTGATTTTAATTACTATCAGTTTATATGCTATCATAGTAGAAAAGGAGGCAGAGACGGGAAGGAAAAAACAGAAAACAGAAAAATCTAGTAAAGAATGTCAGATTCTAAATTCAAATAGGAACTTAAGAAAGTTAGAGTTCAAAAGATTAAAATTTTTTTCGGTGAGGTGAAATCAATACTATGGATGACTAATTAATGTTATCAAAATGCAGTTACCAAGGGAGTGAAGGATTAATTACACTCACATTACGCATGCATAAGTTTGCTTTGAAATGTTTGATTGCAACTGCTTCAGCAAATCCGAATAGATTCGATGTCATTTGTATATCTAATATTTTGAAGGATTTGGAAATCTCGACGAAATGACGCGTATGCACAAGGTGTCTGGTAATTGCACTCTGAGAATATTTGCTTCGGTTTAGACATAAGTTTCTTGAGATATGCACAGAAACCCTCATATAAGCACTTATTTCTGTCCTTCCAACGTGTTTCCTCCCAGAAGTGCACGGGAGTTTATAAATGAAGCTGGAGGCAACATCTGCAGGGTACTCATTCGGTTTACATTAGTTTATAGGGCATGTGGTGCTGTATAGCATTACGAGCTTAGTTGCACGGAAACACCTTTTTATTACTTTTTCATTCTCTTGTCAATCTGTTGCGGATACTGTTTCTCGTTTGAATGGGGGACAAATCAACACTTTCTTCTTTTCAACAGTTGGTTGTTTGATTTTCTCGTCCTTTTTTTGATGTACTTTAGGATGAATCTCTTTGGATACCCGTTTTTCCCCACCTATTTCTCAACAGAGCCTAATTCTTCTTCCCGCTTGTTGAGTGGATATGGTTTCCTGGCTCTTTGGAACAGTGTGCTCATTGATCAACGCTTATAGCTTATCAGTCGGAAACCTAGATCTAGGTTTCTTTTCTATAAATAGGATTTTTGATCGTGCCATCATTTCTTCTCCTTAAATCAAGATCCAGGAAACTGAATTCATGATTATGTTTATATTATATGGTGAATTTAATGTTAGGGTAGATCTTATTAAGACCGTGAAATAATAAAGATGCTTGATTCTTATCGTTATAAATAACAAACGCATCATCAACATATCGGTGATAAATCAAAGTGGTGTACAGTAATATTACCTGACGAGCACCATTTATTGCTCATAATTATATCAAGTCACTCAAACAACTTCTTGCTTCGTTTATATACATGGTTAAAATTGATTAGACATTTGAATAAAAATTAATATAAGATAAAGTACATTCAGAAATAATATTGGTCTTATCAATCAAATGCAATAAAATGAAACAGATAAAAGAGGTGTTGGTGTTGAATAACTATCCTATAAAATTCATTAGGAATATCAAAAAAGGTCAAAAGCAAAATAAAAAATAATGGTGAAACTAGTAATGACAACATAAATAGGAAAGAATATTAGCCATCTACAGTTTTACCATATAAGGAAGGGACATCTGAGACCCTACGTAGGATTCTCAATAAAGCAGGAATTAGGGTGGCATTCAAACCTAAAATCTCACTCAGGGAAAGGTCTGTAGGCTAATGGACACGGTGGACCCAGTTAAACAAGATAATATAATTTACAAAATACCTTGCAATGACTATCGGTTAAAGTCAACTACATAGGTCAAACTAGTAGATCAGGAGTAGTGAGGTCTTATGACAGAACATAAGAATTTAGCTAAATTTAGAATGATTGATCCTACTCGAGGAGATAAGTAATTTAGAAACAACTCATCAATTGCACTGAATGCATTAACACACATTCACACAATAGATGGGGTGGGACACAGTCAAAATTCTAAAAGTAATATAGGTAGGAGGAGAGAGAGAGAGGTTGATTACTGAATCCTGGTTCATGGAGTCTACACCCAACACAACACATGCAATAGAAATGACTCAACGCAAATACCAGAGATAAGGAAGATATTATCGCCCGTCAAATCAGAGAATAATAAATAATCTTAAAATGTATTCAATCCTCATTATAACAAGTTACTTGTTTTTGACTATAAAAGACATCTTATTTCCCATCTTATTATTGTATTTGATTGATAACACTGATATTATTTCAATTGGACACTGGTAACTAGTGTGATGTGTGTAGTCCTTTCTTTGGTGCAGACCATATTCTATCTTATATTGATTTTTATTCAAATGTCTAATCAATTTTACTCATGTATATAAATGAAGCAAAAAGTTGTGTAAGTGACTTGATATAATCAAGAGTGGCATTAATTTGTGCTCAAAAGGTCATCGCTTAATATTGCTGTATAACACTGTGTGATTTATCAAAATAACACCCTATCTATAATGAAGTTATACTCTACCACAGTGCCCAAGTCTTATGCTTATATCAACTGTAGCTAAACGTTTTTTGATTTCATTCCTTAGCATTTCCAGGGGAACATAGGGATTCAAGGGATTCAACTTTGAAGTTTCATAAGTAGTCGTAATTATTTGTTTTATGGGGGTTGAGTTGTTAGTCTCACACCGAACCTTCTCTCTTTACCAGACTTACTATCGACTAAGTGAGGTTAAGAAGTGCATCTGCCAGGGATTGTATTTGTATTTTTTGTATTTTTGAGTTTTTGATTACAGCTTGATTCCACACTGTAATTTTGCTACAAGTATGGAATTTTCAGCATGGATATCAGTAGCCCAAATCTTGCAGGCCGACCATAGATATCAGGTATGTGTCGGCATGGGATCGAACCTCGGACCATGTGCATGGTCGGCGAACCCCATACCAACTGCCTGGTTGGCGAGAATCCAGCCAATGAACCACCGAAGCACTAGCTAAATTGTACCAGATATTAATTTGTTGTTTAAGATATTTCGTCACTTTAATTCACAAACGGTTCCGCAATACAATCCTTCTTCATATGATTAAGTAAACAAGTGATCAGTTTTTACATAAAAATGTAGTTGTGGAGAATCCGAGCAATATGATGCAGAAGTTATGTCCATCAATAAATTTGGATACCCAAAATAACTCAACTAAGATTCATTTAAGCTCGAAAATTTAGGAAATTATGATTTTCATTTATTTGTAATCTGATATATTCAGATGGTCCAAGAAAATATCAGATAAGTTGGAGAACTGAATCATGTGCTGACATCAGTTAGAGAACCACTGGAAAAACTGCAGGAAGCACTGGACACCTGTCTCGTCCTCCTTTGGGGCTCTTTATCAGCAGTAGGCACCCACCACCAGCGTTCGAACCCAGCATATTCTGGTCACAAGGCTATGTAGCTCGTAGACCATTAAGCCACTGCTATCTGATACAATGGCCGGACGATGAATTCTTACTTCTGCCAATTCACAACATAGTGCAACCACTAAAATATATTCTTTGATGAATTACTGCCTCATCTTCAACCTGCTGCACCCTACTGGTCAATGCTTCCTGCTAAAACCCCAGGTTAATTGCCTGAATAAGACCAGTCGCTAGTGAGCATCAAATTAATTTTCAAGTGTTGCTTTTTGTAAAGTTCGCCTTGTAACCAGAAAATCCTGGGTTTGAGCTTTGGTGGTGGGTGCGTGCTGCTTAAGAATCCCAAACTAGGAAGAAACAACTGTCCAGTGCTTCCAGCAAGTTTTCTAATTTTTCTCCAACTGATGTCAGCTCATGATGAAATCCTCTAGCTAATCAATTTAAATCAGATACTCCGAGCCGCTACGGTTTACGCCACTTTCAAACGTAACTTCTTTAAAAATTTATAGTCTAATGAAGACTTCCACACATATGAAACTGTTTGGCATAGATTTATTAAAAGTGTTCAACGACAGTATGACTGCGTACAGTGCTCGATGCATTATCAGATACGTCTTTTCAGTGTAAGGAATTTCTGTGTAAATTCAGCGCCTGTATTTTTAAATGTATAGAAACTAACTTACTAAGCTTAATATAATTGGAAGAAAAATTGACACTGCAGCTAAATTGGTCATGAATTCAGTGAACACTGCAATTGCATAAATACAAACTGTGCTTAGAACGGTTACTGACACGTTTTTCAGATGGTCACCAAGATATTTCCCTATATTAGACGACAATCCTGAATCCTTGTTTTGTTAAAAGAATAATAAGAATTAGAAAAAAAATTAAATAATATCATTACATCTGTATGCAGATACAAAGTGAAGCATTTTTGAATAAAGCAAGAACAACGGTGGTTTGTGCAGAATAATATGATACCATCATTTATTTCGTTGAATTCTCATCGTCAGCTTAGAGCCTAAATGAATTGTTAAGTTTATGTATAAGAAAGTTTTGACATAATTGCAAGTTTTTCATGATGTCAGTTGACAGAAGGTCCCACAATTAGTGAACAGTGCTGAGAAAAATATACTTATATAGTTTTTGCACAGGTAGTTTAAGTTCACACAAAATAAATGTGTGCATACAGTGGTAAATGAGTTACCTAATAAAGACGAGAAATGCATGAGATGCTGAGTGACTAATAAGTTGGGCAACAATGTACTGAGTTCAACTTAAATCACTGGTACAACAGACAAGCAAAATTACACAATATCAAAAGAATGAGGTTAAAGCCAAAGATTACGTAATCAGGTCAGAGAATAAAGACATCCAGTTACCAGGCAGGGCAGGGAAAGACTAATAACTGCTTCTTTCTGAACACATAAATCTGGTTCCAAGCGTCTGATAGAAATTGTTTCGGCAAACTTGAGGAGAATCGATCTCCTTTGTTTATTGATGATTTTAAAGGATTTCGCGATTTCCACCTCAAGACCCGTATTAAAGAGTTGTCTGGTAATAGCTCTATTATAAGAGTTTTTTCCTTTGAGACGTAAGCTTTTCGGTAGATGTTCAGAAAATCGGAGGTGTGGCCTTCTTTCTGTTCTCCTGATGTAACTGCTCCCACAGATACACGTAAAGCAGTATTTCAGAATTTTTTGGTAGACGTTTAATTATAATGTGTAGAGTATGTTAAATTCATTACATGTGTTCAAATCTACTTTTGATTAAGTACAAGATAATGTCTTGCTGAAAATGTCTCAAATCCCTAAAACCTTCCGAAAGCTTTGTTCCCTATAGTGTACCGGCTGTTGTCCTCAGAAGATATGCGAGTATTTTATGTTATACTCATACGAACATTTTCTATGCTTCTTTTTCCAGTGATGTTGTACCTGTCATATGGGAAAACACTGATATCATCCCAATATCTAAAACATGTACTGGTATGGATATCAAATATACAATTGTGCAAATAATTCCTTTTGTTGAAATCAGTGAGGAAATTACTTTTACTCAGCCATGAACAGTTTTAATGATGCTTAAAAAAAAAATAAAAACAGGGCAGATGTATTTTAGATGTTGCTGCCATGTTACTTCATAATATTAATTCCTGTTTTGGTAAAGGAGTTATACATGTTCTGTGCACCTTCCTTGATTACACATCCGCTTCTGACTCTGTAACCTGACGCCTTTTGATAAATTAGTTTTCCTTGAAAGAAACCGAGTCCTGAATTGTTAACTGGTAGCATTCACATTTCTCGAATGGAATGCACTATACAGTATATAAAGGTAAATCTTCTCGTGAATGGCTTACTGAGACGAATATCTTTCAAAGCGATGTACTCTATCCTCTTCTTTTTTCTTTCTTCTTACACGAATCACCTCTTTAGGGGGAAATCAACTTCCTTTCAAATACACTGATTATCTTACTGACTCGTTATCACCAGTCATATCCCTATCTAACTGTTCCAAATTGAACAGTCTTTTGTTGGGCATCAGCCAATGGTTCACGCTTAGTGGTTTCGCGTTCAATCCCTCAAAACGTCAGACAGTTAACTCCACCTTCAGCCATAAATTAACTTGTTAGTCTCTACAAGATGCTTGCAATATAAAAGACACTGAAATAGAAACAGAGTCAATCATCAATTACCTTAGAATATTTCTATCCACTTACTTGTCTTGGTAAAGCTATCACTTGCTGATTTTGAAGACGTTCTGTCTAGCCTTCCATATTGGAAATTCAAGACAATCAGGTATCATTCAATCTCTACATTTACAATTTGTTCACTCTTGCATATACCTATTCTTCTTCATTCCTTCACTTCAGTCTTTCTCAAGCTATTGAAAAGGGAGTATGTGACATTGTGAAGGGTAATGAAAGTTGTCAGTCAGTAGAGCGAGTGGTATCCCAGTGATTCAACTCGTTACCATTGTATTCGACAGACATTTGGACTCATGTGAGGAATGTTCTAAATCCATATTGTCTGACTCTCAACACTCTCTCTGCGTTCAAAACTCTTCCCTCACATCTCATAGTGTTGGACTAGAAGTAATTATAAAAGATTATACAATTACCAAATTTCAGGGATGCCCTTTTTTACTTTCCTTTTATGTAATATAGAAAGCGTTAAGTGTGAGACTTACAACTTCCTATGTCATTAGCAAAATAAACAGCTCTTTGGTCTTTTTGCAGTTAATTATGACTCTATTTCAATTATCTTATAATTTCAGGTATTATTTCATTAATTTTGTACGTTTTTGACTTTTTTTGTTATCGTAAGTACTAAAATAACTGCTGTTATCAATTTTGGTTACCTAAACTATGAGGTGTTTTGAGGAGATTAGATGCAATATTGTACCAAATACTGAAAATTCGAGACTGTATCATTATTGGCGTTTTGGAATAAAGCCATTATTATTATCATCACCTGATTACAGCTAATGCGTGATTCTTCATATTGTAGTGTGTCTGAACACAATTTGGGTGATTTTGATGTGGTTTTGTTCTCTGAGCTGGATGGTTAATTTGCGAAGCTTTCATTACCCAGCTCAGAGAACAAAACCACATCAAAATCATCCACCTGAGCTACAAATCTTCTCTATCACAATTTGGGTGACTCAGTCTAAGAGCGAACTTTGGATAGTTCTCAGTCCCTCAGTTACGTAGACTACCATTTTCAACAAATTCTTATAAAAATGTAAAAATATAACAGACTGTATTGTATTGTAAGTTGCTTGTTGCTTCTAAAAACAATCTCATCTATAACTTCCAGTTTCTAGACAGTCTATGCAAGAATTGAGTTTAAGTTAAAGATAAGCTCAAGGATTATGTTTTTGATGTGGTTTTGTTCTCTGAGCTGGATGGTCAGTTTGCGAAGCTTTCATCACCTTACTGGGTGACATCTTCAGCGCATATTTCAAGGATTATGTAATCGTTCGTCTTATGTGAAACAGAGGATAAAAAAGTAACAAGTCAAATAAGGGATTACAAATATGTCTGACCTGAACTAAAACTGCCAGTGCATAGCCTCCTCCAATCACCACTATCACACCCCATGGTAATCTTTTAACCGCCACATTCCATGGAAGGAGAGCACGAGTTATTACTGCATTTGGCTCTAAAACACACACAAAAGGATTTATTTGTTTTAAAAAACAGTAAAATTTTCACATCTTCAGGTCTTTTGAATAATATTAGCAACTATTTTTGTGATAATTCACTCTTTCTCACTATCCACTTTTACGAGAAGAAATTGTGTATAAATGCGTTTACACAGCTTAAGAAAATGATTTCGCCAACAAGAGATTTTTGTCTGAACTACTTGCCCACTTTAGTAATGTTCGAATGAGAATTATTCGTGGGTCATTTAATTTTTCACAAAATAGATCTGTGACCGATGAAAAAATGAGAAAAAGTGTAGAGTATTTTAGACTGGTGGCTATGCTAACGATATCCAACGAATAAGAAATATTTGAAACAATCCAATATGATCTATGACCAACATAAATGTGCCAAACTTCCATCGTCCGTCTGAATAAAATGAGACATGAATTAGCAATATATAGACAAGTTTTCAAAAATCAACAGAGTTGCACAGGGCAGTTGTACTACAAAGTTGTTGAAATGTAGATCCAGTGAGCTATAGTACGCTAAATTAAGTTATATCATCAAATTCTAGTTACACATCCAGCCTCATCAACAGTTAAAATATTTTCGGCATATAAGTTTACCTTGCGTTGAAGTCACAGTTACAACAATCATGACAACAGTCCAAACATCACACTGAAACACATTCACCCACGCCACTTCTCATCACAGATAGTAGTCTGAAGTGACCACAACAAATTGAATCCGTCGTCTACGCTCGGCGTCACCCATTCCTACTTTATTATTCTCCCGCTGACATTTTGATCAGTTCGACTCTGTTTGATTACCACTCATCAGAAGTAGACTTCTGAAAGGGAATAAACATTCCTCACCCAGGATGTCCACATGGTAAAATCCTTTCACATGAAGACAGTAAAAGGCGTAGTTCTCGAAACACACAGATCACAAGTTTGAGCACTACCAGAATACTGTTCGCTGCTGTTAAATTTCGATTTGGATTAGGCTGAGAATGAGAAATGCAAGTCTGGATGAGAAAGGAGCATAGAATTTAGACTATTTCTATGGGGTTCTAGACTCACTTTCCAATCAGTGTCAAGTGATGAATGAGTTAGTGTAGTTTAGACGAGTTTCGTTTTGAACAGTATTTTCACTTATTTACTTAACTTTAGAATCTGTGTACTTATCGTTTCCCGCAATAATGTCAATTTTTTTGCTTCCGTTATTCACTTACTACAGCAAAACAATCAGTGATCAGACTCACCAGTTTTCGTTTCATAACAATGTTTCCAGTGTTTCCACAGTGTAACTGGATGAGATGCAGGTACTATCATTACAATTATGGACATGAGAATTGCAGCGGAACTATCTGATACGTAGCTTCTATCAAAAAGACAAATGCAAATGAATTTACAATATCCGACTTTAATTTTTAAGATATTGACTCACTTACAAAACGAAATTACATTTCATGAATTGTGTGATGTTATCAACTGTTTGTTGTGCAGTCGATGAGTTTCAATCATCACAATGCTTACAAGTGACAAGATGAAGGAATCTTAATTTACGTGGAAGTACAAACTATTGGTAGTGTGGTGAGAGCTGGCTGTTAGCCAAAATTGATAAACAGTAATTTACGTCAGTGTTTATGTCCCCAATATTCGTCGTGAGAAAAATGAGAACAAATGCTTTGCGTAGGCAGATACAGTTAACATATAGATGATCTGACATTCAAGAAACAGTCACAAAGAGATGCAAGTTCAACTTTCTGTGAGAAACAACCAATCAAAAGACTGTGTTTTTCTACCAACAATAATCTATAATTGTGTACATTAAAATCTATAAATATGTGTTGATTTCCTTAATAAACGATCTGTTGCCTGGCCCTTGTCTTCTGTTGTTACAGTAGTAGTATCACTATCAATAGTTTTGATAGTTCAACACTCAAAATTCTACCAGCTAGATTCATTCAGTAACCCCTCCCAGTTTACTAGTTTGCTAGTTTTTTAGCCAGTATTAAAAACTAGGGAAAAGAAGGAAGGTTAACAGTGGGAAAAACGGTTCCATCCCAGGATATCAATCCAAAGGGTGCAGAAACTTGGCGCATCACAGAGACCATTCTCAACAGCCTGCAGACTTTCATCAACAACTGTCTTCCTTGGTAATAGAATTAGCGCCAGGAAACTTTGAAAACGAACCAGTCAGATACCCTTTGCTCAACAGATATGCTGAATAAAATGAAGATGGACAGAACACACGCTAAGAAGACCGTTAGGAGACATAGACCACCAGGCCATCACTCGACTGGAGCCTAGATGGGAAACAACTAAGTGCGTGTGGGTCTGAGGATGACCTTGTGTAGATCGTGGGAGAAGGAAATAAGAGAACCTATGTGGAAGCGTGGGCGGACAGCTAACGAGTATCGCAGAGAATAGGATAAAGTGGAGACGTGCTGTTGAAGCCTTATATTTTACTCGGAACCCAAAAGGAACGTTAATGATAACAGTAACTTTTGACAACATTAGTGTTATTATCTATTTTCAAGTATTGGTTTTGTAGAGATTCTGCTTGACTGGTTGGAGGATTTCGTCATGAGCTGACATCAGTTAGAGAACCCCTGAAAAACCTTGGACAGCTGCTTCATCCCAGTTTGGGACTCCTCAGAAGTACCCACCCATCGCCAGGTTCCGAACCCAGGATCTTCTAGATACAAGGTTAGCGAACTCGTAGACCATTGAGCTATTTCATAAATTGCAGAAGTCAGGATTCATCGGCTGGCCATTGGATTGGGTCCCAGTTGTTTAATGGTCTACGAGTTCGCTAGCCTTGTATACAGAAGATCCTGGTTTTGGACCCTGGCGATGGGTGGGTACTTCTGAGGAGCCCCAAACTGGGATGAAGCAGCTGTCCAATACTCCAAGGTTTTTCAGGGGTTCTCTAACTGATGTCAGCTCATGACGAAATCCTCCAACTTATTGTCTATTTCTTTCTTGCCTGTCACAGACAACAGTTGATCAAGTGAACAGATGTGAGACTTCTCTTTATGCCCTAGTAACAAGTCAGTCCCTAAGTCAGTGAAACCAACTATTTTCACATCTATTCTTACAGCTGTGTTTGTGACTACGTATATTGGTAATTATTTTATAATTTTTGCATGATTCTCTTGGAAGATATCACTTGTGTTCATATCTTTATTGTTAGTTGTTGTATACCCGGGTAATGTGGAAGGTAATTACTAATCTGGTCAATTGTTTTGTTTTCTAGAAGTCTTAATCAATGCACAACGAAAAATTTTCTACAGATAGGTGATACTAGATACTCAATTTGAAAAGATGAACTCACATGGCTTTAGGATCGTTTTTGTCAACGAAGAACCTCCCCCATCCTATAGTGCCCGATTTCCTTGTTATCCACAGTATTGTAAGAATTGTGAATAAAATTATGGTAAGACCTTCACAATATCTGAAAATGGGATATATTCATATTTTATAATTCGTCGTATCTTTTCAGATAAACATTAAATTGCAGTTAGAAATAGACTTAATTGATTGCGAAATAAATTAGAGAAATTGGGAGAGATGCTCTACAAAAAGTATAATGTCTGTAAGATTTTCACATTACAGTATTCCGGTAAAATGAGTGTCCATTGTTTCCAAGACTGCAAAGGAACACTAAGAGATATCCGTAACAGTACCAAAATGAAATACTAAAGACTGTCCTGACTGACTGACTCAATTTTCAACGTACAACTTTTCCAGAAAATGCAGCAGTCTAAATTTTTATTCTTTAAAAGGCCTATATAAGGTTAGAGAGGAAATCAAGATAAGCGAAGGAACTATAATTAACCCAAAGTTCCTTAATATTCCTACATTTTAAATGGCACGTTTTTGTTTACCGATTGTCTAACACTCCATCATTCAAATCAGTAGATTAATAATTGTATTATTTTAGGAAACAGCCTACTTACAGATGTACCTTAGAATACTTAATTGTGATTATAGAAATTGAATTTACAAAACATTTTAAAGACAATCTGAGTTTATTTTCTTCAGCGTGAATAGAGTTAAAAAGTAACTAGTTGAAAAAAATAGTTCATCCAGCCAGCGGCCTGTTAACAACCTGAATATCGTAGGTTCAGATTGTGAGCCATATTTCTTCATGGTTTCAATTATCATCTAGTGATTTTATTCTCCTGCTTTCGTTGACGATCGCTGAAAACATCTCATATCATGCAATTAGTAGCGTTTTCTGAGCTACAAATCTTTTCTATTATTGCATCTCATATCTTGCTTTTTTCATTCAACCGGCATTCAATTATTCATGAGTGAAATGGAAGTGAAGTGCTATTTAGGATGAAATTCAGTAATTCATAAAAGCATGCAAACAGTTCAAGTAGCTATGTGGTTAATTTCAACACAAAGAACTATTAAACAGGTCCCAATTAGTTTATGCTTCACGGCCAAGTTAAACTTTAAGCACTACTCACTACCAATGGAGTGCTGCCGCTCCAATGACCTTGAAACGCACACTGAGCAAATTAGTGAAACTTGGCAAATCATGTCTTCATCATCAGTAAAATATGCTCATCGGGTAGTTATGTTATTAAATGGGATATCTGGCAAGTTTCAGCTTAGGTTTGGGAAAGATTAAGTTACGGTCTAAAGCAAGGACAAATTAGGGTTAGGTTAACCCAGAAAAAGGTGACATTAGGGCTAGTTCAAGCCAGATTAGGATTAGTTTAGACATATTTTCACGTTAGGGCTAGGTTTAGGAAAGATTAGGGTTAGAAGACCTAAATAAATACATGCATAGAATGTGCTTAAATTACTCTTTTGATATAAGGATAGAACTTGTGCACTGTGGTAGAGAAGAATTCCATTGTGGGGAAAATTTATTTTGATAAAGTCTCACAGTGTTATGCAGTAACATTTACTGAAGACGTTTTGAGCACAGTTTATTGCCCATTAAATGTTACTGCATAATTATGCATAATTATTTTGATAAAGTCTTACAGTGTTAACACTGTCTAAAATTGACAGTAATTTTTATCAAATATGACAGAAAGGTATACTCTGTAACACTTTTATACAGCTTTTATGCATTTTTTCATAAACACATGTATTCCATACACAAAAATGCCTCATTCACGTGATTGGTGCGTTCGAGGTCATTCGCTGATTGGTAGTTAGCGGTGCTTATAGTTTAATTTTGCCTGCTTTACTTTATAATCCAGTATAACATAAAAGAAATTAAGAAAAATATCTGAGAAATTCTTTAGAGGCTGAAACTTTAGACAATAAGTCTACATTAAAATCTGAATACATTAAGCATCCGACTTACTTGAATGAGCCAAGTTTCTCATGCTCTGCATCCAGTACACGAACAATTATTTTTTTCTTTCTTTCTGACTGCTTAAAAGTCAACAAATTTCTGACAAAAAGTATATCAATAAACAGGAAGGAACTTGTGAATTTTTACGAATTTACAATAATTGACTCGTGAAGAACAACAATAAATCCTATGAGAATAGCGTTAGCTGAAGTAGGTTTGACAAGGCTTGACTGGAACAAAATGGGGTCAGGCAGAAACATATTATCCTTTCGCAGTTGCTTTTGTTAAACAAGTTGATAAATTTATTTCAACTCTCCTATATTTCTGTGTTAATTCCTAATTGACTGGAGAGTTTTGTTACAAAATAATTCATTCTTCTTCACAACCTTGTCTGCCTATTATATTACCATCACACTGCTGTTTTTACTAAATTCCATTTGGTATTTTGAAGTGCTGCAACTTATACTAAGACACTTTTGCCTAAAGTTGTACTGCAGATCATTACAAACGCGCCTAAATTATTAGTTAACAGGATTAAGACTCCATCCGGAACCCGAAAAAAAAGTGCAGACTAGCATTGAGACTGATGATTAGACCCAGAAAAACGACCCAATCGCCAAAGAAAACTGGAAGCACACAAAATAATATCAAACAAAAAGTTACTCTTTGCCAGAGTTGGAAAGACAAAACGATGCGGGATACTGGAAGTCCTCTTTGAGCCAATCAGCAGATATGTCTCCTTTCAGTAAAAGCAGAAGTAAGTACAGGGGTATGGAGTGCATGTGTCACGTTTACGGCTGGTAAGACTGCTCAGATTTCAAAATAAGACATAGTACAGAAGTGCTAAGAATGTGTGAGACTAGTTTAAATAGAAGCAGACGCTCCAAATTATTAACTCGAGAGTTAACAAGCACTAACACACTAGTGATGTGGCTATCATGATGTCCCCAAAACCATCAAAAGCTCTCATGCACTGGGAACCAATCACCTCCAGAATAGTCAAAGTAACATCCAACTCAGAAGTAATGAAATTTAAAATTATACAGTTCTACGCTGTATCAAAGGAGGCAAATTCAGTGGCGAAGCAGGAGGATCTTTGCAGATAAGTGCAAGCACTAATGGACAATATGTCAATCAAGTGACGATGTCAGAAATTTACTGAGTGAAATAAACACCGGCCAAATTGAGGGCAGAGGAAAGGGAAAAGAAAACAAATCATGGGTAGGGAAGTTCTCGGTGAGACGAATAAAAAACAGTGAGCCGTCTTTAGACTTTCACACCATCAATAATTTGTTGATTGTAAGCAGAGTATACAAGCAGGAAGATATGCACAAAGTAAAATGGCTTTCACTAGGCAGACACACCAAAACTCAAACAGACTCCATCTCAATCATTAGAAAGTGAAGACCCAGACTTCTGGATATGTTATAAATCGGAGCAGCAGGTGTGAGCTCAGACCCTTGTGTAGCACGCGAAACCATCTAAATCAAGCTGAAAGACCTCCGAGAAGCTGAAGATAGATCACAGCTCAAGTTAGACACACAGGAAATGAAGGACAAAACTACGGAGGACACATTCATCGCAGCCGTCAGAGCAAAGTAGGAAACACTACTTAACATAACTGAAGAAACCCACGTGGAAGAACACTGGAACTCTCTGAAAGTGATTCTGGAGGAAACATGTGTAGGTCCTTTAGGAAGAAAGGAGAGGCAAGACGAAGGTGGATCTCTAAGGAAACATAGAAGCTAATACAGTGGAAAGTATTGTGAGAAGCAAGATGAACCAGTGTAGAGATTGATAACTAAGATACCAGCCGAGTTCAGTGTACAAAGTCCTGAATGACGAACCTATGAAAAAGACAAAATGAAATTCTGCAACACAACCAGACGTGAAGCAGGACAGGCTACAGGTAACAGGGACCTCAGGTAACTATACCGGATAACTAGGACACGATCCAGGAAAAGATCAACATAGATTGAACGAATGAAAAACATTGAAGTGAGTTCAGTTAAAAAGAAAGAAACAAAGTGATATGTATCCACATATATATATATGTGTGTATGGTGATCTCTCTTTCTGTTTGCTCGCTTAGTCTGTGACCATTTCACTTTGATGAACCTGTCTCCTTTAACAATGTATATTCCCCTTATATTATATATAATATGAGTGTTTGTTGACAGTCCGTTGCTTGGTGACAGATATCCATATTATATGTGTGATTGTTGACATGCCTGCTATATTTTGCTATGTATATATGGATCGATACTTCATTATAATTAGCCATTCATGTTAAGACTGTCCATTGATTTGTTCACACACTTGTCTGGACATTCATATATATTTCGCTCACACAATCTTGTGTGTCTACTTACTTTGGTGTGATACCACTTTTGCATTCTCCTTGTGTTTGGAAAATAGAAGTATCATCGCAAACCTAGTGGTCTTCTGATTTCCGTCTTCCTTGCGTCAGGACTATTAAATTCTCGACCAGTACATAGCAATAATTTGGCGACGAGTACATACCAATTTGGCGATGGGGAAAACTACTATTAACCACTCAGCAGCAGCAACATAACACAAAGAAAACTCTGGACATTTACTTCAAGGGACCCTTCAACTGACAATCATCTTCAAGTCGTCCAGATACATTGTATCCGTGTATACAACCTCCAGCAGCAGGTGCACAGCTGCCAGCGACACACAAATTCTCCAGAAAAATGCGAAGTCTTCGGTGCTATAAAGTTACTGATACCCGGAGACAAAGTCAGCAGACGGATCACGCGGAATTTACTCTCCCCTCCACGAAATCACACATTAAGAACAGATCCACAAACCTCAGAGACGCAGTCCTAATGCCACTACTGCAGAAAGTCTGGAAGGATAGGAAGGTACCTGCGGATTGGAAGATAGACTACCTTGTGAAATCAAAGAAGGAGGACTTAGACCACTGCGAAAAGAGGCACTCAGTCACTCCTCTGCCAATACCAAGCAAAATACTAAGTAATTTCATCCTGAAGAGTCTTGAGGATGCTCTGGATGCACAACGCCACCCGGAATAAAATGGAATCAGGAAGAGCAAATCACATACACACTGAACAGAGCATAGAATGGTAGTCAGCCCTCTGCTTTAATTAAACTTTGAAAAGGTCTTCGACAGTGTTGACCGCAAAGTAAATGAGGAACCGCTTCAAAACTATGCAGTGTATTGCCCCCAACCACTATCAACCTTATTTAACAAGTAGCTATATGATGATGATTTCCCATCTGAGCCGATCCATGACGTTAAGTCCAGAGAAGCTTGTGAAGTGACAACAGTGATGAGTAAAATAAGACATGCTGTCTGTCTGCCATTACCGATGATATTCCTGATTTCAGTGGACCATACCATGCATAAAGCCGTGCAAGGAAGTAAGAAAATAGGTGTAAGTTTGACCGACAAATAGACTGTAGAAGATGTCGACTTCGCCGACGATTCAAGTCTTCGTGATAAAAAAAAGTACACACATTCTAAAGTTAGGAAAATAAGTGAAAATACTGTTCAAAACGAAACTCGTCTAAACTACACTAACTCATTCATCACTTGACACTGATTGGAAAGTGAGTCTAGAACCCCATAGAAATAGTCTAAATTCTATGCTCCTTTCTCATCCAGACTTGCATTTCTCATTCTCAGCCTAATCCAAATCGAAATTTAACAGCAGCGAACAGTATTCTGGTAGTGCTCAAACTTGTGATCTGTGTGTTTCGAGAACTACGCCTTTTACTGTCTTCATGTGAAAGGATTTTACCATGTGGACATCCTGGGTGAGGAATGTTTATTCCCTTTCAGAAGTCTACTTCTGATGAGTGGTAATCAAACAGAGTCGAACTGATCAAAATGTCAGCGGGAGAATAATAAAGTAGGAATGGGTGACGCCGAGCGTAGACGACGGATTCAATTTGTTGTGGTCACTTCAGACTACTATCTGTGATGAGAAGTGGCGTGGGTGAATGTGTTTCAGTGGTGTGTTTGAATTGTTGTCATGACTGTTCTAACTCTGATAAATGCGTAAGTTCCAAATTTTCAAGTAGTAGTTTGAAATCAATAGAATATTAGTCATTCGGAACTCTTCACTCATGATAATTTTGGAATAGATTGTCTAATATATTTATAAATATCGAGGAATAATTCGAGTCAGACACTCTTTTGTAAGCTAAAGATGCATAAATATGTACAAAACTTTTGATTATGCTAAAAGATTCAAATGAATTTTAAGAACGCATACTTACCTGGGTCCGAAAAATAATACACTAAACCAAAACCAAACAATTAGAAACATAATGATTGAAAGTGGTAATGCGAATAACATCCATGTCCCAAAGTCCAGGTCTGTTGAATCACCATAACGACTGGATATATTTTTCAGGAAAAAAATCAACGATTATTCAAATTATAAGCTTTAGCAAACTAAGCGAATACAAACTACACAGACTCATATTCAAAAACACTTTTACATCGTTTTTCATTTTCCAATAAAAGGAAAGACAAAGAGGAAACACAGTTTATCAACTACAGTGTGATGAAAGCGTTTTTTAAAAATGTGCAGAAATTAAATTCTGATTTAAATTAATACTCGAAACAATGACTGCTGAAGCAGTTGCATCTTAGCCAAATTTTATTGGGCAAGCTATTGCCTCATGTTGAATTTTCAGCCAATGAGATTGGTTTAATGTTTATACATATGTGTCTGATAATGAAAGTGTTCCCACTGGCACAGATCAGTCTTGTCATCTCAGTAGCAGAAGGAATTTCAGGAAGTACAGTTATATTCAGTCTTCAGTCCAGTTTCCCATTGCAATTCAGTACCAAATGACTGCAGTTAGCAGACCTGACAGTTCGACGTAATCTCTTTTCGTCAGCTGTACAACGACAATTATATAGAATTCTCTTTCGTAAAAGCGGATCGTAAGAATGGGGTGGTGAGTGGTGGCGGGTGAATAGTTGATAATACTAATGAATAAATATGATAGATTGAATAAAGGTGAACGAATCACTTAGATAGATAAATAATTTAATAAATGAGTTGCGACTGGAATGAACATAAAAATGGAGTGAATATTCTGTTACCTAGGAGTTCAAGAGGACAGATGAGTCAATCTCAACAAACTTCTGCTTCATGGTGATCTACAAAATGCAAAAGACGATTCTCTCTCATCGTTTGCATCGCTAAAGCCATAGCCATCCAGGTGAAGAAACTGGAGCTGTAAATATAAAAGAAATTCATCCATCCACTTCTGTTACAATGGTAAGGATCGTATTGATTTCAATTTTTTATATTTTATTTATTTGATTTCTCTAACCATTTCGTATTTGTCTATCCTCCCGAACTCTTATGTGACAGAAATTTAATCTGTTTGTATGCGCATACTGATAACAACTCATTTAGAGGAGTATGTTTCTCATTATTCAATCCTATCACCCTTGTTAAATTCGTCATATGTATTGATCAATATTAGAGACCTTACCCATGATGTTGATATATCCTTTTCTATGTGTCCAACAATTTATTTGCTAATGTGGAGAGAGATATATAGGTCGTTGAATGCGTGTTTTATCTATTAGTGTCAAAGAACATTATCCAACTCTGCTACGAAAAGGTAACAGTGGATACATAACGAGTGCTGTATTTGAAAATATACTTTACACTGGTCACTCAATATACGAGGAGAATTCATTCAAAGTCATTCACAAAGTTAAAAGATGCCTCCCGAAAAACGGTAGGTAAGCTTCTGCATTTCCGAGACCTTAGCTATCCGGATAGAAAAATCCCGATTTATACACGCAGAAGAAACTTATCTACCCCCTCCTTCTACCATGGGTATAATTCCAAGTTCAACTACTTTGTTATCAATACTACTTTGAATTTTTGTAAGGCATTTTAGTAACATCTTTTTCTTAACTAATCCTGATTTACTCTTTCTATCTATTACATAATTTGAAGTATTGGTTTGTAGGGATTCGACTGATTGGTTACAGGATTTCATCATTATTTTGGACACTTGTCTCCATGCTCCTTCATCAGCATCCTATTTTTCTAGGTGTCTTTCATATTATGCAACCCCCTTCAACACTTACCGATCTTTGCCCCCTCCCTAGTCACAATTTGACTATTCATCACATTTCTGAAACAATTAAATGACGAGAGCAATAACCCATACTAATTTTTATTTTTGGTTGACAATTCTAACGTATATACATACACGCAAAATGATTATATATAAATGTGACTGTGCAGCTAAGTGAGTGAATTCGCCTAAAAGAGTCTTTTCGTCGAACTGTTTGTTCTTATATTCAACGCTACGAGAAACAAAGTATAAACGATGAGTGGAAACTCTAATACGCTTTAATTATTGACAGGAGTTTCCTACCTGCATAACTAATTCTGCATAGTCTAAATACAATTACATGGTGCTTAGGATTTAGTAAAGAGTGTATAGTGCAGAACAATTATGAATCCCTTACGACCATTCGTAGATACGACTGAGTTGCACATATGCAACCACAATGTTCAGTATTTCTATAAGATTATAATAAACTTTCGATTGAACACTAGTCAGTAACTAGAGTAATGTATGTGTGTGTGTCTAACCCTATCTCTGGTGCAGAATGAATTCGTCAGTCAAGTTTGCGATGTGACCATCATGCTAGGTGGCTCACCATCACGGTGCACTGTGAATTGTTGGTATTAGATGGATGGAGGCAATCAGCAAGAAGCCTTGAACCTAAGTTTTGTGCTAGTTGGCACTCACCAGTAAGACGTATCTGCAACCTCAAAGGAACTCATGGCTTTCTGATGAGTGCTAATTAGCATGAAACCTAGATTCAAGGCTTCCTGACGATTGCCTCCATCCATCTAATGCCAACAAGATTATCAGAAACTACCATAAAGATAAACGTACCTCACAATTAATCCATAAAGATAGGTATTTGGCGGTGTTCCTACTGTTGTCGCTATACCACCAACTGAAGATGCATAAGAGATAGAAAGACTAAGACCAGCATTCATTCTTAGCACTTCTTTGAGTCGCTTGGGGCTCATAGATTGTCTTACTACATGATCGGGACTTAGTTCAGCATCATTGAGTTGTGAATAAGAATTGTGGGTTCTTTCTTGGACAGTGTTTCTCTCTTCTTGTAAAAGTTCATTGCTACAATAAAAAATGCAGACTCTCCCAATAAGTACCTCAAATACTTGCATTTTTCCAGTTTTAAAAGCCCAAAGACTCAACTACTTTATTTTTAGCAGAATATTAATATTGAATTAGAGATAAAAAGTTCGAAATATTCGAAAAAGTGTTTTGTAATGCCGTTACTCAACATTATACACTCTAATCCTAATCGAAACATAATTTGCTATCCATAATCCTGGAAAACAGTACTATAATAAACAACACGAAACATCCCTAGTTTATTCGTGGAATCGAATAAATGATAAAATATGAATGTGGATAACTACATTTTCAGTTGATGACAATTTGGAAGTTAGGACAAATTACTACTCGTACTCTAACAGTGTGTCAGATAGACGTCTGCGTGCCCTTATATAGACAGACTCATGTCAGTGTCACATTTCAAGGAATGAAACAGAAAACAAAAAAGAAACAGTGATAAGTGTAGGAAGAAATCAGCTTATAGAAGTGCTGGACATCCACATTTATCCTGTAACCTTTCTTTATGACCACTCTACACATTTGGCTGATAGAGTTCTATCAACACATTTAGTGATCATGAGCTGCATTGGTGACTATCCGGTGACCATTTCACATATTTTATCCAGATATTGACAATATCGCTTAATTGAATTCTTTGCATAAGGACTCGAATGTCAGATTATCAACTGTAGAATTATTGAATGACAGTTGGCGAAACCACCAACCTTTTCATGAACTGCATATATAAAAAACCCAAACATCAGTTAGGGAAACAATTTTCAAAAGGTTACATAATATTTGTCACTCACCCACCATCAGTTTCAAGATAATCTTCTTCTTCTGTAAATAGTAATAATTCAAGAATTGTGGGTGAGTAATAAATTTTTTGAAACCTAAAATTTGTAGTAAAATAGTCTGTATCCATTTCATTCAGTTGTAAGCGTGAATATATTGACAAATTTTCAGATGCTTTAGGGTTCACATTCATATATTTTTTAATATTTTGCTCAGGCATTTAGTTCCTCCTGCGAAAATCATTCACAAGTCCAATAAATAATATAGGGTTTTGATTTGTCTCTAGTTTGATCACGGATTGATTGATACTCGCCGATGACAGTGGCTGGTGCCAGTCACACTAAAATCACGAATTGGTAGAAGTTAGAATTCATGAGCCACTGAGTTGGGTCTCAGTGGTTGAATGTTAGACGAGTTTGAATTGCAACGGGAAGTACCTGAGTTAAAAACTCGATAGGTGCGTGTCACCGATGAGTCCAAAACTAAGACGAAACAGATGTCCAGTAAAACCTGGTTTTTAGTGGTCTTCTGGCTGATATCAATCCGCGATCAAACTTGAAAGGATATAGATTTCACAAATACTGATCACTTGAGTAACACATGAAGTTATAATAAAAACTTAGAACATTGACCCAACAATTTCCAAAGGCTTCTCCACATATCCGGTACTGGTTAATTTTCCTTTCGAAACCCAATAGTAGTACAACATTCGTAGCCATTTTTAATAATGGACTAGTAGAGCATCGTAAAACAGAATATTTGTCAATTTTGTAGGTATTTACACCTAAGTGGTCGGGCCAGAGTGGTAAGTTTACCAAACATAGTCTTATTTAGACTCTGCAGTATAATATAGTGTACACCGTCATCAGAAATAAAATATGGACACTTCATTTGAAGTTGTTCAAAGATGTTAAACACTTTGTAATTATTACCAAGGTTATCAACTAACTTAGCTTGATAACCACGTCTATGTAGAGATTCTGAATGACCAAATTATCATAGATTCATCATGAAAAGAATCGATAAACTTTGATGCTAGTTTCATTGCTTTCTGGGATCAATAAACTCATCAAACATCTCCATACCGATTATAGGTATAATTTGTTTTCATAAAGTCTCACAGTGTTATACAGTAATGTTTACTGATGACAACGTTTCGAGAACAATTTATTACCGCTCATAATCATATCAAGGTACTCACTCACATAACTTTCTAACTTCGTTTATATAATTCCATTATTTTCCATCTCTTGATTTGATTGGTAGCAGTATTTTCCATATTTCCGGTATGAGCGATCAATTATTCCTATTGCATGTGTTGTGTTGGGTGTAGACTTGATGAATATGGATTCAGTAATCAATCTCTCTCCACCTACCTATATTACTTCTTAAAATGTTAGCCCTCTTCCACCCTATTGTGTGGTTTTGTATTAATTCATGCAGTGCTATTGTTTAGTTTGTTTCTAAAATACTCGTCTTCGTGGGATCAATTATTCTAACATCAGCTAAATTCTTATGTTCTGATATTCTCACTATCCCTGATGTACTAGTTTGACCTATGTAGTTGACTTAACTGACAGTCATTGCAAAGTATTTTGTAAATTATATTATTTTGTCTAATTGGGTCAACAGGAACCTTTAACCTACAGAGCTTGTCCCTGGCTCAATTTGTAGATTTGAATGCCGCTCTATTTCCTGCTTTATTTAAAATCATATGTAGAGTCTCAGATGTCCCCTCTTTATATGGTATAACAGTAGATGCCTTGTATTCTCTCTTATTTATGTTATCATTACTAGTTTCACAAGAGAGAAACTGATTACTGAATCCTTATTCATCGAGTCTACACCCAACACAACACATGCAATAGGAATAATTGATCGCTCATACCGGAAATATGGAAAATACTGCTACCAATCAAATCAAGAGATGGAAAATAATGGAATTATATAAACGAAGTTAGAAAGTTATGTGAGTGAGTACCTTGATATGATTATGAGCGGTAATAAATTGTTCTCGAAACGTTGTCATCAGTAAACATTACTGTATAACACTGTGAGACTTTATGAAAACAAATTTTACCTATAATGGAATTGTACTCTACCACAGTGCATAAGGTTTATTCTTATATCAATCTCCATACTGAATTCAAAAGTGTACGAAATTCTAACAGGTAATATGAATACCGAACGGAGATAGGATAAAGGAAAAGGTTGGAGAGATCAAACAACACTGAAATTATTGGAATTGACATGGAAGTAAGGCTGTGTGTAGACATCTGAGACAGGGAAAAGAATCATTTCAAAGAATGACCTTCTTAAGGGCACTTATAAAATGATAGAGAAAAGAGGGACTGTGAATCGGGTTATGATAATGCCAGATACCAAGCAGTTGAAAACGGAATGCTCAGAGTGCATGGAGGGCGATGAAAATACTCCACAAAGGCCCATGACATGAATAAATAAATAATAATAAAATGCGATTCTAGTTTATGAATCTATTGATTCAATTACACTCTTGCTTCGTGGTTATGCATCAAAAATTAAAAGAATATCTCAAAATTTATAAGTGAAGTTACAGGAGATAGGAAAACCCGTAAATTTAAAGATAATTGTAACAAATCCAAAAATCTAACCATGAATAATGAAATATATATCGTTCACATATTTATACGTCGGGTAACGTTTGATTGAGTCACTACTATTATTATATAACATAGCAGAATGAATACTATAGTGAAAACAAAAAGAAGTATAGACATTACCAATTTTAGTGAGGTTAGTCAATAATGCATCCACAATTGTTATCATCATGGCAGTAGTCGCAGTATTACTCATCCACATAGACAGGAACCAACTTGGTAACATGATGCCAAACAAGAGCCTGTAAAAGATAGTTCACCGTTACTAAACCCCAGCTTAATATTAAATCTAACTTTAAGAATAAAAATAATGCACTAACTTTTCAGTACATTACATTATCATTATTACCATTGTTATTAATCCCTTGGGTTCCATGTGGAACATTAATATTCAGCTGCATCTCTTTATTTTGTCCTGTTCTCTGCGTTCCCTTTTAGCTGGGTCCACGACTGCCCATAAGCCTTAACTGCCTTCTCACACTATTTCCTCCATATAATCCTCGGATAAAGGCCAAATTCATCCTTCCTCATTCAGGTTCCGCTTGAGCGTCTGCCTGGCGCATGATGTCTTCTATTGGTTTCTTCAGAGTATGTCCGATCCACTTCTTTTTTCCAAGGGATATTTTTTGAACAATAAGTTCTTGATTGGTCCTCTGTCAGGGCTTCTTTTTGTCAATCTTCTCTAGCCGGCCATCTGATCTTCAAGTTGGAGCCACTGAAGGCAGCTTTTGATGAAAGTCTGCAACAAGCTGTTGGAAATGCTATTCATGACCAGCCAAATGTGTCTGACCCATATAGAAGAAATCAGCTAACACCGTTGTTGAAAATCCAAGTCTTGTTGTTTATACTGAATGCAATAGATTTCAAAACTGATTTCAGAAGGATAAAGGCCTGTCTAACTTATCCGATATTAGTTGACTTCGAAATCCTAATTCATTCCGAATGCCTCTAGTTGAAACGATGCTCATTAGCTAGGTAATTGAAAGAAATGACCCCTTGAAATTTCTCTAGTTTATATTGCTTGGCTCATATTGTTGTTGATTAGTTATCTCTGTCAACGCCGTCTTCTCTATATTCTCTTGATATTCTGTCTTCACTGATAGCCTCTTATGACAATTTGTTGGTTTTTGCCTGTAAGTCTTCGAGTTTATTTGATATTAGACGTAAATCGTCTGCAAAGTCCAGATATTCTGAAGTCATTTTGTCAGCCCGTAGTATTCGTGTCTGCTTGCTCCACCCCACCTCCAGTCTACTGCATAATCTAGTCCACCACAATTAGGAATATCATCGGTGGTAGCAGACAGATAGCCGTGTCTTACTCTTGCATACACTTAAAATGCTTCTAAGTTATCGCTGGAAAATCTTAAAGTAATCAAATCAAGTTTAATTAGTGTATGGTGACTAGTAGTGGAATCCAAGATGCGCATTTTGTCTTGTTTGGGACTCGTCAGATGGATGTACCTGCATTCCTCAGTGAGTGATGATATTCCCACCGAAGCTCGAATCCACTGCCCAGACATCGTCCAAGCATCTGCGCAAGGAGCCAACATGTCATCCTGAGGCCGAGCACTTCGGTCTAATCAATCGAAGTGAAAATCTAAAATTCAGTTGAATAATCAAATAAAGCTTCGTGAAGAAAGATACTTTTACATTTCTTTACTAAATATAGGCACGATTTAAATGTTTCAGCAAAGTGCCTTATTGTAAGGAAATGAATGTAAAGAAGTGAAATTTATGCAAAAACACTTATGCTCAGCAAGAATATTTCGACAGGTAGTTTGTTTCATCCAGATAGATGAAAACCAAAAAGACCAGTGGAGGACCCTGTACAAACTAACAACAAATTCATCACTCACTGGATACGAAAGTCAAAGAGGAACTGGATATGAGAACTCTTAAATGTAAAATCAATAAGAAAGATATGAAAAGAAAAAAAGTAGTTGAAAGCCCCTTGTTTCATATACTAAAAAATAATTAATAGATTTACACCCCATCTGTTGCTTCTCGAGAATCATGATACCATGGATCTCAAATCGTTGGTTACAAACATTCTGAGGACCTCAGAGAAGCTATCATAGACTTTACCGACTGATATCACATCTTGGTCTAATTATTTCTTTTTCTTTTCTTTCAACGCAAACCTGCAGAAGCTTACATTCATCGTTACGGAATAAAGTCAGTCACCGTGCTTTGAAAATGTTTCAGACCTCCTGGGGATAGTTCAGAACCACATCATATATTTTTCCTGTTTCTCATTTGGCATAATCTTGGATTTATTTTTAAGAGTTGATCACGGATTGATATCAGTTAGAGAACCATTGAAAACCAGGGAGTACCGGACAGCTGCTGTTTCATCCTAGTTTGGGAATCATCGGCAGTACGCACCCACTGGGTTTCGAACCCAGGACCTTCCGGTTACAAGGCAAGCTCGTATACCATTCAGCCACTGGGACCCGATTCAATGGCTCATGAATTCTAACTTCCACCATTTCATGATTTGGCGCGATTTCCTTGGATTTCCTCACACTAGTATTTGTAAGTGCAGTTACTCCTGACTTGTAACACAGATGAAGAAAAGAAAATTCGTAATCCACGGCAGAGTTGAAATGTTTAGAAAATCGAATAAAGAGTTTCGGAAAGATTATTTTGATTGTCTTCAAAAAAAGATGTATATAAAATAAAAAGCCAATAAATCCCATTGAAATTTGTGGGTACATATTTTAGCCTGTTTTTCCATTGAAATTTTTGAGCTAAAGAGTTACTTCTCCTTCTTTGAAATTAATGGAAAAAAATTGCACTCTCAATCCTGAACTTTCTTTGAAAAGTTATAATGACCCTAAACAGTTTGCATATAAACAGGTTAGATAGTCCTTAGAAGATGGAATGGTACAGAAAAGAACACTTAATTGACGATTCGTGAAAATATTTTTTTAATTCAAAACTGCAAAACAGATAATTCGTAGGAAGCTCGATGGTAGATTTCGGTTTATGCCACCAAAAGTTATCAGTCGTCGATTGTTAAGTTTTTTTATTGTTGACAGTCACTAATGAAAATTCCTTAAAGTGAATTGGATCTTTTATATTTATGAAATATTTCATAAATTTTTGATTATAAAGAACTCACATACATTTTCGGATCACTCCCAAAAAGTCTGAGAATAGATATAGCGATTCGCTTATGCACATCATTATTTTCCACTGCACACGCCATTAACAAACCGCCTAATGTTAGCATATTCGTATCCTAAAGTTCAGCAAATGTAAAAAGCAGTTAAGACAACGTTTTTATTATTGGTACTAGCAGCTTTAAGTGTGCTACTGACAAGATTTATTAGTAGTGTATAAAGAGGCGTTCATTGGCATAAAAATATCAAATAGTGGAGAGATAGATTTGACGACAAACAGAGTAAATGAACCATTGTTGTGGTAAAACATGGGAGATGTGAAAGCAAGACAAAGAAATACAGTACGAAAGGTAGAATTAGCGAAACATAGCAGATCTGTACGAATGATGATTATCAGATAAGGTATACATTTCACTATTTGTAGACATCTAACTCCAAAAGAACATTCCGTTACCAAGTCTGATGTCTTCTGACGTTTGAGCAACAGTAACAACGCTATTTAACGGGAATTTATGATTGCATTTTGCAGAAAAATATTTGTGAAATATGTTATTAAATGCCCAATTGCATAAGGTTTCGATAAAAAATGCAAACTCTCTACATTAGTGAAGCATATTAGCACTCTATTTACGGCCTGTAGAAGCAGCATCAGTCTACAGAAACCCCTTATCTCAGTTAGTGGTGATTTCGAAATTAATAAAAAGAGGCAATAAAGGAGACCAACTAATTTTGATTCCAATTGTTACGTTTGCATTCATTGGCAGCGAAATGAGAGATTTCTTCTTTAAGTGTTGGCTTGCTGGGATTTGATTGGTTACAGGATTTCATCGTGAGCCGACATTGGTTAGAGAACCATTGGAAAACCAGTTGGGAGTACTGGAAAACCATTTCATCTAGATATGGGACTCTTCATCAGTACACATCCATCACCAGAGTTCGAACCCAGGATCTTATGGTTACAAGGCGAGCTAGCTCGTAGACCATTAAGCCCCTGGGACTCAACCTATCCAGTGGCCAGTACATGAATTCCAACTTCTGACAATTCTCGACATGGCGCCACTCATAGCCAATGTCATATGTGGTGAGTGTTTGTCCTCACACTTGACCTGATGCACCCTATTTCTTTTTTTAATTGTTGTCACTGTTTTCTCCACAGTTCACTAACCAATAGATGAATGAAATTAATCAACACTGCACAGGGCTGTCAATAAATTTTTGAGTAACAGAACTGCTGTATACGTCTTATGGTTTTTGTGAAGAAATTTTATCCGTAGAAGGCAGCAAGTATATACATGCTTTTTAACACTTACTGAAGTGGAACTGTTTAATATCTCAAAATCTGTGAATAAGTCTATAGAACATTAAGTACGTTTGAATGGATGCATGATGAGGTTCATAAATGATCCATCCCTCCTAGATAATGATATCCTGGAGCTTCAAAAATACATGTTGACAATTTAATACTCCGAATCAGTCAGAAACAGGCAATAATCCATTACAACTGATTAGTCTTTTGACCATCCCATTGTTTCATCACCTCAAGTTAATTCAACATTTGAGATCTAAAACAAGTCTGGCTAAGATAAATGTCTGAACAATTTAGTATTCGTTACTTTTTAAGTAATATCCAGTTTATTCATGACGTTTGCTTTTATTCTGCTTATCTGAAACTATTGCATTCATCCACTAACATTACTTAAAAATGAGACAGAATCTGAGTTACTTAGTAAAAAATAAATATTTCCTTCAAATCAATAAAATATTGTGAAGGAAACTTAACCGTTTCATCATGTGCTGACATCAGTTAGAGAACCATTGGAAAACTTAAGAGTTCTAGACAGCCTGTCGTTTCGTCCTACTCTAGGGCTCTTTAGCAGTAGTATGCACCCACCGGAGTTTGAGCCCAGGACTTTCTAGGTACAAGGTCAGAGAGCTCGTAGACCATTAAGCCACTGGTACCCAACAGATCCGATGGCCTGGCCATGAATTCTAACTTCTGCCAATGCACAACATAGCGCTACCACTAGCCAAGGTCTTCTTCTATGAGTTACTGCCTCCCCTTCAACCTGCTACACCCTACTGGTCACGGCTTTCCACTAGAACCCCAAGTCGCTGCCTGAATAGGACCAGTTGCTAGTGAGTGTCAGATCAATTTTAAAGTATTGGTTTTGTAGGGTTTTTGTTTGATAGGTTGGACGATTTCATCATGAGCTGACATCACTAGATCTTTTTAGATAACATTAATCCCTTTAACAAAATTTTCCTTTTACTATTATAATCAATGGAAGTTCACTCAATACTAAAAATGTGTCTGACCTATGAGAATGTAAATTTATCATAAGAGACCAACTTACCGTTGTATAGGCTGGAGAGATTTTGGATGGATAAGATAATTGTAACAATGGGCCAAGAACCATTGGAATCAAACCTGTTACATAAATTGGTATAATTTCAGTTATCCATAACCCGCTCATAAGTAATAACACGTAGGCTGCTTTAGCTGGCTTAATTTCAGAAAAACGAAATATGCACAAATTAAAAACCATTATGACTTCGTAAATCAAGTAAAATCTATTGGGAAGAAAATAAGAGTATATTTTATAAATAGAACAGTGGTGCTCAGTGTCAACAGAAGAAGTAAACAAATATACCAAACTCATCAACAACTCTTCGAATTGTTAGCTTACGTTTACCGAAAAGTAATTCCAAAAAATATATATGCATATATGAGAAGAGAAATGGGCTGGTGGCACAACGGTAGAATGCTCACTAACCACACAGGTGGCTCTGAGTTCGAGCTCTGTCCTCCTACTTCTCTATGCCAGTACTAGGAATGGCAAAGAGGGAAGGTTGTGCATGAGGCTAGCAACCTTATCCGGTAAAAATAAACACCTCGGCTACCGAAACTTCTAGCCTCTAGCTTGAAACCCTATATTCCATTGAGAACGTAAAGGAATAAATTAAAAAAATTAACACAGTAACAGAGGCTTTATTCCAAAAAGTAATTTTGATATGGATTTTTCAGCATGTATGCAATGTTGAATCTTATTTTCCCATTGCGTAATACAGCGGGAAATAATCAAACAGGCCATTTACATTTATAATATTGTCCAGTAGGAATATAACTATAAAATTTAAAATTTGGCGGGAATATTACAGACAATATATAAATGAAAGAAAGAATAAAAAATGTCGTCTACTTAGTTCTTAGTGCAATACCTAACTCTTTTCTCACCACATAAAATGTGTGCAAAATAAGATATCTTACAGTTTTTATTCTGAGTCATCTGAGCATAAATTCTTCTAAAGTTGCTTCTAGTTCTGCCTGGAGAGTCTGTGTGTCTATCTACAAGAGTATTAAGAATTTGGTAGGTTTAACTAAACCCCACTCATCCAACTGATAGCTGTTAGTGTCCTTCGCAATGTCACAAAGTCTTTTTTAAGTAGCCCAGAACAGACTAAGGGGAAGTAATGGAGAAGAAGAGGTGGAATACAAGAAATAACGAACTGAATGAAACGAGATTATCTAACTTCCTTACATAGAAGGTTAGAAGAAATATGTTTCTGGAGACTAACATGATGTGGGAAGACCAGGAGAGGTCAGTTGATATACACAATCCAAGGTATTTAACATTGGATTTAGTTTCAACTTCAGCACCATGTAAGTTATGCTGGCGTCTGAAAGTGGAATTAACAACCTGACACTTGTATGGTTTTAGCTTATGACCATTTGACAAAGACTACTGACTAATTTCTAAGAGAAAGTTATTCATTTAACAGCAATCTAATTGAGAATTAGCTTCATTGGAAACATTCAGAAAATTGGAATAATAAATAAAATTGGCCTCATCTGAAGAAGAGAAAATGATATAAAGACAAAGAAAACGGAAAAGGAGACAGAACACACCGTGAGTAACACTGACTGGAGTAAGTGAAGAACTGGAAGACTTTCCAATATATATACAGTGTATTGCTTCCTGTCAGAGAAGTATGAATACAATAGACCATTAATTCAAGCTTGTTTAACAAAAGCAGCCTCGGTGCAGAGTGAAAGACGGATGTGTACTCAAGGAAAGCACACTGAATATATTTGGCACTTCTGTCTGAACTAGAGACAATATTATTATGTTAGATAACGGTGGTATCTAAACTACCCCTACCATGTTTATAATCAATTTTTTTAAGTGTTATTGAAAGCCTTCAATGTATGTTCATGGTTCAATAAAAGCAGATTACCATTCTTTTTAACAATGTTGTAGTAAACTTAAATCTCAATCCACTTGTCGATTTAAGCACAGGAAAAAGTTTAATATCCTTTCGAAAAACAGACAAAGTATTAATGGAAAACTGCTCATTTAAAATACCAGTGAGAGGATAACTAACATAAATTGTTCGCACATTTTCTGTAAATAAAAGTGGACACGCCAGTAGAACGAATGGAGCTGATAGATTTCAAGGACTGGTGACATTTGAGGTCGTCATTTATGTTAAAGCCAGATCATTACACTCACCAAATCAGCAATCATGACATATGCTAGACGACATATGAAGGACATATTAGGCGTACCAGCGACCATAGAAGAAGGATCATTTACTTCCCACCAGTTAGGGTTGTATATATATATATTATATATATATATATATATATATATATATATAAATATTATATATAAATATATACGAATATAAGTGTGAAACATGAGAACCCATCTCACCTTGCCAGGTACCATAAGTGGGAGTATAGATAAAATTAGTGCATAAGCACAAGTGAAAAGTACACCTTTGAATGCCAGATACGTAATCCATAACTCTTTTAACTTCCCGCTTAATCTCATTATAAGACTAATACATTCCTCAGCATAATGATGTCTTGTTTGAAACTATTAGATGAGAATTCGATCGCATTTGCAAATCAATCAATATTTCTGTGTAAATTGAAAAGTAGGCGTATTGAACATTTGTTATCACTGTAAAACTTCCCAAACAATAAAAACTGTGTAGAATCCCATAGACTTATGATGACATAGCTTTATGCTTTCTTTATTGTACATATTTTACATCGTTTTAAAGTTTGCTGAAGCTCAAATATTGTCATTTAGATCACCTGTTGACCATCTAAACATTTCTGAAAAGTGAAGCGAAATAAAAACTTAAAGCTTAATCGCTGAAATTTCAAATAATCGCTTACTTGTTTGCATGGAGGATTTCATCATGAGCTGACAACAGTTAGAGAACCACTGGAAAACCTGGGAGTACTGGACAACTGTTTTGTCAGCCTAGTTTGGGACTCTCAGCACGCACCTACCTTCAGGGATCAAACCCAAGCAATTAAGTCACTGGGACCCAACAGATCCAATGGCCAGACCGTGAATTCCAACTTCTGACAATTCACGACATTGCGCAACCACTTTCCAATGTCTTCTTCGATGAGTTACTGCTTTACCCTCAACCTGCTGCATGCTACTGGTCACGGCTTCTCACTAGAACCTCAGGTTAACTGCCTGAATAGGGCAAGTCGCTAGTGATCATCAGGTTAAATTTCCCAGATTATTTTTCCCAGTGGCTCAATGGTCTACGAGCTTGCTAGCTTTGTATCCGGAAGGTACTGGGTTCGAACCCTGACGGTGGGTATGCACTGATGAAAAGTCACAAACTAGGCTGACGAAACAGTTACCCAATCCTCCCAGGTTTTCCGATGTTTCTCTAACTGATGTAAGCTTATGATGAAATCCTCCATTCAGTGAAAGAAAGTCCCTACGAAACCAGTGCTTACTTGTTTATTGACGAAGTCATTCGTCAAAAACAACGAAATGAAATCATATACAATAGCTTAACTATGAATATCAATAATTACACAGAATACAACAAATTCTGTAGGCACATTAATATTTAAATGTCGGACTCAATGAAGAATATTGCTTTCAATAAATTTTCTTCAGGTTCTTACAGTTATGAAATATAAGATTTTTTATAGCTTAAATGATAGACAGTTATACGGAGGATGTATACTACACTCTGAAGTCATTGTCATGCACAGTTCTCTGACAACATCCAACATACAGCTGAAGGTGTTGCAATAAGACCGACTAAACCGGAAATTTGTATTTTAAGGGAACATATTTGGGCGCTGTTCCTACATGGCCAAACTTGGATAAAAATTTCTTCTCTCCAAGAGGGCCTCTTAAGTCTCCTTGTTTTTGCTTTACTTATTATTAATTTTTATAATTTGTACCCTTCATTCTACCATTTTTCATTTCTATCGAAATTTCCATTTATACTACTCAGATTTATTATTAGTGATATTATCTCTTTTCTCAATATATACCTCCACCTGTTTCATTTCGCATATTTAGTTATTTCATGATGAATATTTTACTGCACTCCTACTCTCTCCTTTCTAATGCATAGTACTCTGTGCTCGTCACCGACTTAACACCTTTTAAAACGCTGGACTGACTTGTCATTTCTCCTTCTTTACTCTGTGGGAATCCGTTATGACTAATCATCACCATCGTGTCTCAATAATTCACAATATTTGTAATTTATGTTTTATAATTAATTTATCGTTTCAGCTACAGGTGGAACTGACGTGGATATCAAAGGAGCGAGGATCGGAAAAGCAAGACAAACTTTCATTACTCTGAAGTTTGTGTGGAGGTCAACAGCACTCAGAATCAAAAATAACATCGGGCTCTTCAAGTACAATGTGAAGTCAGTCAGTACTACTATACGGATCAGAGACTTGGCGCGTCATAAAGGGCATCTCAAACAAACTTCAGACCTTTATTAACAGTTGTCTTCGCTCTATACTCAAGATCAGATGGCCGGTCAGAAAAGATCACCAACAGGGATCTCTGGCAATGAGCGAACCAACTCACCAGGAACCGATTGTGAAAGAAATAGGCAGGAAGAAATGGAGATGGATTGGCTGGCCATACTCTGAGGAGACGATCAAGTGACATCAATAGACAAGCAATTGCTCGAGTGGAACCCGAAAGGGAAGCGGAGAGTTGGTCGTCCCACGGTGGGGTGACTTGGAAGAGGTGATTTGAAGAGGAAATGAAAGCATGTGGTCAGACTTGGAGCGGAGTGAAAACGTTTGCAGAAAACCGAACGCGATGGAGACGCGCAGCTGAAGCCCTATGTTCCTCTAGGAATTAAAGGATATAATAAAAATAATTAATTCAATATTACCACTCTCGCATATTCCTTTTGTACATTTTCTCATCCTCTTCGTAATTGTTGAGTGGACCCTAAGCTAACTTTCTTCTCACTCAATAATAATTTTAACCTTATCAAATTTCTAACCCTTGATTCCTTTAAGCTGCTGAGTATTATATAATTTAAGTCTTTTCTGAATAACTGTATCAGTTATTTTGATTGAACATTAATTAGTGTCATGTGTCTAGTCCTCTATTTACTACAGACTGAATTCTATTAGTCAGTTGTAACCAGTAGGGCACGGGAGATCGGGTGTGAGGACAAATACTCGCCACATATGACATTCGCTAGAGGTTGCGCTATATCGTCAATTGGCAGAAGTTGGAATACATGTACTGGCCATTGGATTGGTTGGGTCCCAGGGGCTTAAAGGTCTACGAGGTAGCTCACCTTGTAACCATAAGATCCTGGGTTCGAACTCTGGTGATGGGTGCGTACTGATGAAGAGTCCCATACTTAGATGAAACAGCTGTCCAGTACTCCTTAATGGTTTTCCAATAGTTCTCTAACTGATGTCAGCTCATGATAAAATCATACAACCAATCTATCAGTCAAGTTTGCAATGTGGCATGATGACACGGGTTCGAATCTCAGAGGGGACATGAACTCCCTCAAGACTGGAAATATGCCTTTCCGACTGGTGAGTGCCAACTAGCACGAAACCTGGGTTCAAGGCTTCTTGTCGATTGCTTTCAATTATCTAATAATTATGTCAGTTACGTCATCTCTTAATATTCAGTCATGGACTACTCTGCCTTTTTGGCGAATACAAATACGATTGCACAGCCTCTGGAGATGATTTCATCAGTAAAGAAAATTTTCTTCAAGTGTAGGGTTGTAGGGAATTGATTGGTTACAGGATTTCATCATGAGCTGACATTAGTTAGAGAACCATTGGAAAACCAGCTGGGAGTACTGCACAACTGTTTCGTCAGCGCAGTTTGAGACTCTTCATCAGTACGCTCCCACAGGGATTCGAACCCAGGACCTTCTGGTTTTCTTCGCTGAATCGTCTTTTGTTTTGTAATTGAATTCAGCCTGAAAGGTTTGTCACACAAATACTACTTTTTCTCGCAATTCTATAACTAATCTGGTATTCTATGTTATAGTGTATGCCATATGCTGGCACAGTATTTGTATTATTACCCATAATCAGATCATAAATATGTTATGAGTGTGAGTGAAAAACTATACTCAGAAATTCAATAAGCTAATAATACTGTATCACTTTGTATTTTATCACACTTGTTGTTTTAACAAAATTCACAACTAAAGTCTCATCACTTTCAAATGTGTAACATTTGGGAATGAGGTTACCGCCTTGATTCCCACCATTTTATATCTAATATTACTGTGTTATCTGTATTGACACTTTTCAGTACAGTATGCTGTATCAGGCTGAGACTATGCATATTTTCGTGGAGGAAGGAGCATTGACGCTCACATGAAGTATGATGTATACAAATGCCAGTTCTTATCCAACAAACTCTATAGTATTGGCTCTATTTAGACCAAAGACAAATCAAAACACCAAATAGATGTTTTTCAAACTTGTAATGGCATCAAGAATTAAAAATACTGTGGAATCTTTATGTATCACTCATAATGAAAAATGATTTGCTTTATCCCCAAAACAGTACTTATGATGCAACGTGGGAATTTCAGCATTCGCCACAATGTCGCATCTAATTTAATCGGCAACAGTAAAACAAAAGATACTATTATTGAGTATAGGTAACCAAAATTGACAACAGCAATTTTGTAAAATTAGAGGAAACATTAAATAAAGTCAAAAAAATGTACAAGATAAGTGAAGTAGGATCATCATAAATTGCACACAGCCAGTGTTATTCTAATTACTTGGTAGGTTGTGAGCCTCAAGCTTAACATTTTCTCTGTGATATAGATGACAAGCTAAAAAATGCATCATTGAGTTATGCTACATATAATCCCTTATAGCGACTCTATATCTTCATGATGAGATGAGAAGAAAGAGTTTTGAACACAGAGAGAGTATTGAGAGTCAGACAGTATGAATTTAGACCATTCCTCACATGAGTTCGTGTGTCGGTTGACTACAATAGAAACGTTCTGAATCACTCGGATACCACTCGCCCTACTGACAACCTTCAATACCCTTCACAATGTCACATATTCCTTTTTGAATAGCCCAAGAAGGACCGAAGTAGACTGATGAAGAAGAATAGGCAGGACGTAGGAGTTAACAGATTGTAAATGCAAAAGTTGAACGATACCTGATTGTCTCAAATTCCTACTGTAGAAGGCTAGACAGGACGTCTTCAAAATCAGCAAAACACGGTTTGACCAAGATAAGTCAGTGGATAGAACTATTCGAAGGTAATTGATGCCTGACTCAGCTTCTATTTCAGTACCTTACATGTTGCAAGCATCTTGTAGAGACTAACAAGTTCATTTATGCTCGAAGGTGAAGTTAACTGTCTGACATTTGGAAGGATTAAACATGAGACCACTAATCGTGGACCACTGGTTGATGTCCGACCCCAAACTATTCAGTCTGTAACAGTCAGATGTGACTGGTGGTAACGAGACAGTAAAACCATCAGTATATTTGAAAGGAAGTTGGTTTCCCCCTTAAGAGGTGATTCGTGTAAGAAGAAAAAAACAGGATAGAGAACAGAGAACAGAACCTTATCAAAATCTGTCCTTTAATTTCTCAAAATCCCCATTATATTTACAACAAAGTGCTTTTCTCGTATAGATCACTCCATGCTGTTTCTCTGAATGGATTTACATAATATCAAGATTTTATCAGTACATTAGTTTTCATTTCGTTCTTGCGTATTTATTAAGTTGATTTAACGGCTTATATTTCAACAAGATCATGTATAAGATCTCACTGTCGCCTTGTCTTTTTGTTTGTGGTCGCAACTCATCTATTGAAAATCTCTGTGGGTTTCATGAACATGAAAGACTTTGAATCAGTGTTTCGAGATTACAAGACTGGTGCCCTGCCGCCGGAGTCCACTCACTGTTTCGAATTCTGCTGTAGCCCACAATTTCAATTCACCTCTAATAACTGCCTATTATTGTCAATAGTAGTCCGCTAATCCAAGGCTAATATAACCAACAGGAATATTTTAATCAGGTTGGAAGTTTTTTACTGCAATTTTATGTATCTTTAGGTAGATTGAAATATCATTACGGTAATTTCTGAAGAATGAGCTCTAGACTTTATTTTGTATTACAAATTATGTCACCGAAAATGCGTAACCCATGTTCTCAATATACACCAGAGGAGGTCACTAGAAAGTAAGATAAACTGTAATTTTAATGTTGTAACTTCCAGACTTAACAAGTTGTAAAATTAAAAATGCAGTTAATTAATAGTTGATGTCCTACAGTGCTCTAGTTTTCACCAGTTTGAAGGCTAACACCTTTTCTTTCAATGTTAAGTATGTTTTAAGGCAATTTTTCTCATGTGATTTATGGATCCATTATGTATTCATAAACTAATAATCCATAGACTACCAACATGTCAAAAGAGGCCGAACATCTCAGTCCAATCAGTCAAGGCGAAAAGCAAAACACCGACCTAAACAAAGTGATAACTTATCCTCTTAGCAAAAGAGGTAGCTCTCATGGTTTGGTGCATAACACGTTGGGGCTTAAAACAATAGGTGCATAATAAGAGACATGGCTGTAGCACCATCACCCCTTGCAAAGTGCAGGTACATCCCGATGACAAGTCTCGAACAGGAAGGAATACGCATCCTGGATTCTACTGTTAGCCACCATCCATCTAACTACTTCAATTTATTTGTTTTCTGGCTAAATTAATCCAATTTGTTTCTGTACTAAACAAATGGTTATTATTATTATTATTCCTGCAAGCTAAGTGGATAGTTTTTCCGTTAATATTCACATTTCTACAAAAAACGTCTCTCGTCAAATACTTCCTGTGTTTGCATTTTCTTGCTAGTGAAGATAATGTGTTTGAGTGATAAATGTCTGTTGAATTAACGATGGTTTCTTAATTCGTAACCCATAAGTTATCAGTTTTTCCAAATGGAATATTATCTTGTCACTTCAGATTTCAATAAATACATCAGTCAAAAAATTATACCATTAATAAATTACATGATAATCTGTGTCGTATAAACTGACAGTAATTAATGAAGTTAATTTATTCTCCGATTGCGACTGTAACACCGATTTTTTTAATACTGCAATATAAACATTAGAAAGATATAAAATATGTAATGTTTTATCAATTGACTGGATATCTGAATTGCATTATGACTTGATTATGCAATTTATGTTCAAATAAACAAATATTTTGGTCGATTATTATACAGTGCACTTATGATACGCAGACAAACTATATAATAAAATACCATAAAGACAGTGTAGTTTATGATCGACACTGTTTATTCAAAGATACATGGAGTTGAGGTAGAGATTTGACTGAACTTCCAAGCTTTTTCCAATGGTGATACGCATTGTCACAGTTCTATCCATGCATGATTTGCTTCCCCTGAATTCACCTTGTTCTGGGAGGAGTTTTGTATTGAGATCATTTTTGAGTCTCTCCCAGAGGATGTCAGTTAATATTTTGCTTGGTGTGGAGAGGAGAGTGATTCTGAGCTAGTTTTCGCGAAGGCCTAAGTCACCATTTGTAAATGGTGAACTATTGGAAATTCCTTTGAAGTGATCGGTCCAGAATTGTTTCTGCTTCTCTCCTGTGAAAATTAGGTCCCTTCACTATCTTTCATTTGTTTCGTTTGAGTTGAATTCTCCCTGGAAAAGGCCAAGTTATTAAATACAGTTTAGTGGTCTCTTTTACCTATAGCCTTTTCTGCTTCAGTTACCAGTGTTCAATAAAGATGTCTTTTGTCATTTCTTGCACCCTTCTTCACTACTTTGGTCAGTGCTTTCTAGATTGTACTGAGACTGACTCTTCTTTATTTCCCTCTGCACTGGTTTATCTGATTCACCATTCTTATCTCCTCCATAAGCTACTTCTTGTCTCAACTCTTCTTATTACCTAAGAAAAAGTCTACACAGGTTTCCATCTCCAGCTCATTGAGAGAAATAAAGGTAGATTTCTTCACTTATCCTTCTTAATGTCCCCGACTTCTTGACGAAAATGTCATTTTTCCTCCCTTCTTCAGTTTCTAAGTGTTCAACTTGAAGTGTAGTCTATCTCCATCTTCTTTGAAGGCATCTTCATCTTCAAAGTCTGTTACACTACGCTGTGTTCTGAGCCTACATCTGCTCTTCTTCTCAATTTTGTGGTTGGCAGTTTTCATCTCTCCCTCTTCCATTCCACGAAAAGCTTCGATAGTGTCGATGATATCGTGACAGACATATTACCAGTTTGTTAATCTTTGTCGTCTGAGTGACTCAAGTAGATCACTGACTCTCCAGAGTAGAGTTTGCAAAGTCCACTTCTTTTCCACAGGCTCTATCAGATTCCCAACACTTCCACAGAAAGTCTTATCATTTCTTCAGCAATGTAAACAGTCTTGACAATATCAAACATATTGTGCGTACGTTCCATATCCTTATGTTTACTTTTGTCTTCATTGAAGGAAGAAACATAGTCTGGCTAACTTCCTGAAGGATTTTACATGCCAACGTAATGTATACTTGGACTGAGAAGTCACCGTATGGATTTTCTAGCTCACTCTCCACCTTTTTGCTTATCCAGGATTTAGACCATCTAATAAACTAAAGAATCGTGAATTAGACCACTTGGTTGTATGGTATGTGATTGAGAATTTATGTGTAGATAATGTGAATAACTGCTACATCCAATGACGAGATTTATTTGGTCTTGCTAAAAACTGAGCAAACTTTTGAGGAACAGAACTGACTGAAAATGATTCAATGAAAACCCTAATAAAAAAACAATCAAATCAAAACAGAAGAAATTTACTGGAAAACATTGAATATTTGAAATTAAAAATACAACTACAGAAACAAGCACACATTAAGATATGAATATAAAAACAAAAAAAGATGTTGGTTCTTCACACTAGTTGGAAGTTCATTTTTACGTTTATCCTATTTTAATATCTACCTACCAAGGTAGTGAGATCTACAGAAGTACTTAAGTTCAACTGTGTTTATGGCAGAGCGGTAGAGTGCCCGCCGACCACGCATGTGGTCCAGGGTTCCATCCCCGGCCACCGATGCACTCATTTACGTCGATAAACTAGCAATAAGATAAGTAAAGAAGGAAGGTTAGACCTAAGGCTAGCAACCTCATCCTGTAAAAATAATCACTACTGCAGAAAATTCAAACCTCAAGCATAAAGCCCTATTTTCTACTGGGAACGTAAAAGAATCATAAAAATAAACTTAAGGTCGAGATAGATTTGAATGACAATACGACCTCATCATTGCGGCCTGCGTTCAGGCAGTCTAATTTCCTTCCTTTTGGTAAGTTTCAAACTTGTTTGCCTTGTAGCGAATCCTATGCAAAGCTGGCTGAAAAAGTTTTGTAATTACTTATAATAATCAGATTAAAAAGAAACACCATATTGTGTTTTAACATCAAGTTATTTCTGCACTACTATAAATTTTTCAGAAACACTTAAATCACGAGTTAGAATTTCTAAGTCTTTTAAACAAATCTGCATACATTATAATATATCAGCCAATTAATTGTTGTTAATTTATTGTAAGATAATTTATACATAACTTGGTGTGCGATAGATATGGTCTCATATTAGTATTATTGTTGAACGTACAAGCTGTTTATATATATATATATATATACATGGATAGCACATTTATATCGATATAGTAACTAAATACGTTTCTAAAAGTCTACATATTCAGCTGAGATCCACGACAGGGAGCTACAGAAACACTTATTTCCACAAATATTTAAAAATTATTTTCTCAGCATTTTCTCACTCTCCGCATATCTCATTCTGTTGGAGGTAAAACAGGTTTCGTCAGCTGCTGAGGTGGTGAGTGAGCATACGTCTTTCTTAATCATTTGACCATTTTTGATCTGTTAAAACTTGAAAATACTTGTTACATAGATTTAATAAATTTAATCGATAATTGTAAATACCTTTTTTCCTTTATACCTGAGTTATTTTAAAAAAGTCAGAGTGAATGACTGAGAAATTATTTAACGCTAAATACAATTAGTTCACACATATAAAACAGTTATTCAAACTAATATATGTGTAAAACTTGGACACTGTGGTAGTAAGTAATTCCATATTAGTTTGTTTATTAGATGTTTTACTGTGTGATACATCTAATAAACAAATTAATATGGAGTTATTCAAACGATTATAGTCGACTAAACGGTTAAGTTAGTTTGTACGCGAAATAAAAAGAGCAAGACGAATGCAAAACATGTATGCATGTAGAAAGGTATTCAGTCCACACAAGCTAATATTCACATAAAATGCCTTTATTTGAAAAATTATGATTGTCCCAAAATGCTTAAATATAAATGTATGGAATGTTAGGGATGAAATAGTCCTCTTCTTGGGTATACCGATGCTCACTACACGTAAGAGATGCCAACAGCCAGGGGAGACTTTAGGAGAGAAAAGTAGACTGGAGCAAGGGGTCCTGGTGTGGATGTACTGACCAGGGACGAGGCAGATGTGGAAGGTGAGAAGCTGGAGAGGGAATAAGTGTCGTCCGTATTGCATGCGGAACTAGTTAGTGTCCTTGTTCAGTATCAAGTAGCAAACATGAATTTTTGAGAATTCATTATTTTTACTATTTTACGGTGAACGTATAATTTGATATTTTCTGGACACCACTCGTTTTTGAAATTATGATGAAGTGAAAAACATTATCACTTCTCAATTGTTTAAGGATCAATTGAGTTAATCCAAATTCATTCATCTACTGTCTCATTTTCATACTGTCACCATTGCTGGGCCATAAAATTTTGAAAGGAAGATGACTTCGCCATCGCTACCTTAATACTGACTGATCATAAGTAGACTTTCAAGGCCTGCTAGAATTGCTGAACCACCTAAAAGCTCCTTGCTACACAATACAACACATCATATTTTCTCTAATTCTTGTTGATTTAATCATTCAATTATGTCTCTCAGTTGCAAAATGCACTCGTGCATATTAGATGGTTGCAGGTAATTGGCAGTAAGCATTGGACCTAGGTTTTCTGCTATTAGACACTCGTCAGCAAGGCTGCCTGCTGACTGCCTCTAATATCATCAGATCAATGTGCAGCGCGATGGCGAGCTACCTTGAACAGTGGCCACATTGCAAGCCTGACTGACAGAATTCAGTCTGCACCAAAGAAAGCACTAGACACATCACACTAGTTACTAGTGTCTAATCAGAATACAGTCATGCATATTTTTAATTGGTTTTCTTCAAACTACCGTTGTCAATTTCTCAGAGACGAAGGAAGTTATCAGAAGGGATTGTTGTTTACTACAGATCCAACAGCACTGCATCACATAGCAGCCTATAGATTGCTATTTTACTTAAAGAGCATGGTCAAAATGAAAATATTATACAGTAAATTAAGCTAATAACCCTGTATATTGCATGTATACACTGAGTCCAAAATAAAGTAGGTATTATGATTATTATGGAAAAATTACTTTCCAAAAGTGGTTAAATGAATGCAAAAATCATCCTTTTGTGGTACATTTTGTAATACGATCATGTGTGTAGGTTGATTTTAAATACCTTAGCTAGATTACTCCAATATTTCAGGAGACATTAAGCCACCGACATCAATGCATACACTTCAAGCTTTATTTTAAACCTCATCTTAGGAGGAACGTCATTAAACATATGAGTGTTCTTACGCGAAGATAGTGCTGTCTAGAAATACACTTTAAAGATTACTCCAAAGCTTTCGTGGCTTTTTGTCTTGATGGAGGCAGATCGAACGAAATTTTCCCCCAGAACTGCTACGTAAGCGTGCAGAAATAATGTAAAGAAACATGACGTATTTTGTACATACATAACAACCATAAATTTTTTTCTGGTATTAATAGAAGTATATATAATCAAAAATGATTTGTTTAAATAAGGGTGAAATTATAAGCTCATTTTGTGAATTGAAAAGTAGATCTTTATTGAATTAATCTGACATGAGGACTGAAGCTGCACATTTGATCCCTAAGATCCTTCAGCACGAGGTCTAATGAGTCTTTTTTTCAAACTCTTAAATTTTTTGATGGCGAACAATATTTGTATTTCTTCGAAGTTAGGATGTCCTTGCTTACTTTGCAACTTTACATCCCATTTGGGCGTCGGTGGCACAGCAGTAGAATGCTCGCCGACCACGCATGTGGTCAGTGATTCGATCTCTGACCGACGCACTCCTTTACCTCGCTAAACCGGCATTAAGACTGGTAAAGAGGGAAGGTTCGGCGTGAGGCTAGCAACCTCATCCTGTAAAAATAATCACCACTGCTGCAGAAACTTCTGGCCTCTATCTTGAAGCCCTATGTTCCACTGGGAACGTGAAGCAATGAAAAAACATTCTGTTTAAAGTTCTTTTATTTATTCATTAAACTCATAACTTCTGAAAGTTATATTGACACCCTGAAAGTCTATTTGTTGAATGCCACGAAACAATAACTGAAAACGTAAAAGTGAAGTAAAATACAACCACCTGATCATGCGAAGTTATTCGAACATCTTTGAACGCTTTATTTCGAAACGATTTTTAAAATTCTAGACTCAATGATTTTTTCATCTATCGCTTGTATGATTTGTTTTAGTTTTCTTCGGTACATCAGGACGCATCAAATTACTCAGGAAGCATTATTTTGTTCTTATCATAATCATCTCTTTTATAAACTACTATAGATTACTGTGTTCAATTGTTTTCAGTTAATTTTCTATTTTCAACTGTTTTTGTGAGATCATCGCAAAAAATTAAGTAATTTTTATTTAAAAGATTGATAAATGAACAAAGAATGTTCTTTCCGATGACTTTGTCATCAGTTTCTACATTAATTTAACCATAATATCTAAAGAAATATTGTCATTAACACTCTTCATCTTCTAAATTTTTTTGTTTCTTTCAAGTTCCCCAGTGGAACATAGGGCTTTAAGTTAGTGTCTTGGAGTTTCTGTAGCAGTGTTTAATTTTACAGGATGAGTTTGCTAGTCTCACGCCCAACCTTTCCTCTTTACCAGCATTATTTCTGGCTTAGCGAGGTAAAGGAGTACATCAGTGGCCGGGGATCGAAACCCGGACCATGTGCATGGTCGGCGGGCGTCCCAACCATTATGCCACCGACGCACTTATGTTCTAAATTACATCGAGTCAACTAAATCACAACAGATTTTAGTTCAAAAGCAACACTAAGAAATAATATGCATCAGTATAACGCTAAACCAAATATTAGATAAGTCAAGGATAGTACAAGAGAATTTATGAATTTGTAGGTTTTCAAAGTAGGACAAGGTTGCAGTAATGGATGGACCTGTTTCTTTTGCACTTGCTTCTGCTGTATCGACTGTTTGGTACTAAGAGTCCTTTGGTATTTTATTCAACATCCGGTAGATGACAGAGGAAGATTTTTCAATGGCAGCTGCGTGGCCTATTTAGGCGAAGTGTCTGAATATACAACAGATGGCAGTTTTAACAAAACCTTTATTCAACCACATTGGTAGGTGTTGCTGAGTGCAAAGAATTATGCTCCTAGAACAGCGGCTAATACAACTGACTCAAGTCGAATTTATGGATTCATTTAGAGGTAGCCAGACTAGGTACCTCATCTTTCAGTTTGGAACCACAACCGGTTGTCTGGAAATTACGAGCTTCGGCTTGGCGGTATTAAACATTCTTTGAATCGATTTTATCAGCTTGCTGGTTATTATTTCTCTTGGTATATCACCTTTGAATTGTATTAGCATGTATGGATGCTTCTTCTTCTAAACGGCTACAAAGGAATTCTTCCCTAGTTTCTTGGTCATGTATTTAGTGATGAACTTTTCAGAGTAGCCGTTTTCAATATATGTGTAGTATACAACCTTAAGTTCATCTTCAGTTCCATCTTCTGGGCAGATACTTCTGACCCTATAGCTGAAGGTCTTTACAAACCTTTCCTTATACCAGAGAGGTAGAAGATGTGAAAATGTGTATGCTAGTCCGTCCAAGTACTTTTCTTATGCTGAACGACCGATATCCATGCTGAAAATTACATACCTGTACCAAAAATACAGTGTGGAATCAAGCTGTAAATAAAAAATAAAAAAAATAAATAAATAAGAAAAAGAAATGAAAATCTGGGTCGCAGCAGGATTCGAAACAGAGGCGTCAGAATTACTAGTCTAGAGTTATACATAATCTGAACTACAAGACCTAATTATCAAACAAGTCACTTCACAACAATCGCCACTGTCAGTGACCGCCGCCTGCCATAATGCGTTACTGTTAGTTTATCATTGTAATAACTGTCGTGTAGTTCTCTTGTTAATCGTAATCTTAGTGAATAAGATGGAGAAGATAAGCAGGCTGATAACTGATGGTGAAACCATCAGAGAAAGCAGTGAGTTGGCAAATTGTTACTATAATATATGCAAATCCGTGTCACACAACACTGAAACTGCTGCTTTTATCTCTTGAAGCACACTATTCTCTGTAAATTTATTTTCATTTAGTTTCTATTGCTAAGCATTTCACCATATGCATGTACAAACAGGAACTGTGTGCATTAAAGACATTTTTAGCTAATATCTTCAAACGAATGCTTGTTGGTGATTTCAGACATCACGGGGTCATTTTTCTTTCTATGATTCTTCACGCTTTTCTTTTTTAGGCGACTGGAGGCAATCGGCAGGAATACTTGAACCTAGGTTTTGTGCTAGCTGCCATTCAGTGGTCAACAAGACATATCTGCAAACTTGAAGGAACTCACGTCCCTTCTAAGGATCGAACCCGTGTCGCCCAGTGTTGTGATCATAGACGTTACCACTGAGCTATTCGGACTCACCACTGAACTCCTGGAGGAATGTATTGAATATTTAATTAGCCACTAGTTAATAACTAGTGTAATGTGTCTAGTCCTTTCTTTCAGTGGAAATAACACTGCAGCAATAGGTGATACGGGTTCGAATCTCAAAAGGAACATGAGTTCCTTCAAGCTTGCAGATACGCCTCGTTGACTACTGAGAGCCAGCTAATACAAAACCTAGGTCCAAGTCTTCCTGCCAATTGCCTCCAACCATTTAATCACAACAATTCACGGTTCACCGTGACGGCTAGCTACCTAGCATGGTGGTCACATTAAAAACTTGACTGACAGAATTTAGTCTGCATCAAAGAAAGGACTAGACACATTACACTAGTTGCTAACTATTTTCCAGTTAGAAGGACAACATCATCTATAAAACGGTTAGTTCCCTTTATGAATTTAGATAAAGCAATAAGAAGACTTAATTCGTCTGAACCGTGTGATGCATTTGTGCAAAACATTTCGAACAATCTGATCACATACAGACTTGTCATAGGAATATATATGAAACTAATAAAGAGGTAAAAGGCGAGGAAATGTCCTTTTAACTTGACCTAAGTCTATTTTCTTGCCTCTTACCTCTTTATTAATTTCATATATATTCCTATGACAAGTCCGTATGTGATCAGATTGTTCTAAATGTGTTGCGCAAATACATCACATGATTCAGACGAATTAAGTCTTCTTATTGCTTTATCTAAACATCATCTTTACTGTTTCCATGCTTACTTTGGTTACACTGCATTTTGAACTTTATGGAAATCGGTATTCAGTCGTAGGTTTCTATACTCTCTCTCTTGTTAAGCACTGAACTTGAACCATACTTTTGATTTCGTCCTATTTTAATCTTCACTGAAACCTACTGCTAGCCAGTATAGTGTGAAAAAGTCATAAATGCGATCACACAGCAGCTGACAATCAGGTCAGTGATATACATATATACACATATATTTCGCATAATTTAAAGTCTGAAATTAATAATTTCAGTAGGCCATTTCATCCTTCTGAATGTCCTTGACTCAGTGATACTATGCAAATATGACCTGATTATCACTCTATACAACAGTCAAAATTACTTCTGAAGTGTATCGTCTAAGTGGCTTAGCTCTATAACATGATATAGATTGTAATACACACAGTGTTGTAAGACTAGCATTATGAAACAGCACAACAGCTCCGATATTAGCATACTGTGCAACAATATCTGCATAATTATTGTTTTATTTATTTTATTTTTATTCTTGATTACAGCTTGATTCCACACCGTATTTTTGGTACACGTATGGAATTTTCAGCATGCGAGATCGGTTGCCCAAATTTTGCAGGCCGACCATAGATATCAGGTGTGCGTCGGCAGGGAATCGAACCTCGGACCATGTGCATGGTCGGTGAGAGTCCTAACCACTGTGCCAATGACGCCTGAAGAATTATGAGCAATAGTTTGTGCTCGATACATCATCAGTTAATATTACTGCATAACACTTTGTGGTTTATCAAAATAAAACCTTATCTATAATGGAGTTATTTCCCTTCCTTATCATTCCATCTTGTTGATTTATGTTTTTTTTTCTGAACAGAGTACAAATTTACAATAATCTGTAAAGTAATCTGATGCAGAATAATCACGAATCTTCGGAATCATGAAACTTCCGGAAATATTCAAATATGTATGGATTACAGTCTTAGCATTCAAAAGTGTTCTGTTTTGCTGTCTATACGCCAGTGTCTTAGCTATAATTCCTATCAGTATACCAGGAAAGGTGGGGTCTTTGCTTTTTATTATTTAATCCCTTAAACTTATCGCTTGTAAATTGTTTGACGTGTCAGCATTGTCCCCTATCATAGTAGATTACAATTAGGAGGGTTGAATTATTGAGTATTTAAATTCTAACCTATAGTTAAAATGGTGTGATCGTCTAGTCACTCAAATATCTACAGTTCAGACTCTGATTGGTTTGAGCACTTGACTTAATGAAGGATAAAAAACTACAGCTCAATAGAATTTTAAGAATTTCTGGTTCTCTAGCCAATCCTAGCAATATACGATATCCACCCATTTTTATTTTTCACTAAGCTTATCTACTCACCTTGTGCACTGAATTACACCTCACAAAATACAAAGGACGGTCATTCAGCTCTATAAAATTACCCTGATTATATGAGTAATATAAGTTTTCAGTGGAATGAATAGACGACTGACGTATCCTTGAACGAATATAGGTGGAGATTAAAACATATGAAGACATTTATTTATTGAAAATAAGACGTAAATTTTATTTTCAATTAATGAAATAACAAGTTTATGATTGCTTGGTACGTTTTACCAAGAGGTCAAAATCTACCTATTTTTATGTATGATCTTCATATCTTAAGGGATGAAATTGTTACATCTTCAAAATATGCACCTTTTCTCAGCCTATAGCAAAATATGAGGTCGATTTTCTATCTCTCTATCTATCTATCTATCTATCTTTTTCAATAGGTAGCTAAAGCATCCTATGTGTTACTTCTTATGACTGGTTTATGGGTGACTGAAGCTATTCCAATTTATGTAACAGCATTGATTCCACTAGTCTTTGGACCATTACTTGGAATTGCACCTGCATCAGTCATTTCACCATCCTACACTAAGGTAGGTGTTGTCATTTTTGTTCACCCAAAGACCATTTTTTTTTACTAGGACTTACTGCAGTTCTTTCACTATATTACAGATAATGCAGATCAGAGATTATTTGATATGGAACTATTGAAACAAATGTTAGTGAAGCAAGATGCTTTAAATTAACTTTCGATGTTATATTGATTCATTTAGAGTGGTTCAGTCTGAATTTACTCTGGTTTTGCTTTCAGCGAATCAGTACACAGATTTCAGGCTAGATGATGGACATGTGGTCAAGAATTACTAATACTATGATGGAATAAAAAACTAAGATTCCTACCAAAATTGGTAGTACCAACTCAATGACTTGGAAGATTTGCTACAGTGAATACCCGTCAAACAAAGTTAATGGATGAATTTTTACTGTTGAAACAATACTTGCTGGATATTGTTTGAGTGTATGCATTTGATATGAAACTGAATACATTGCTTTTATGAGTTGATCACGGATTGATATCAGTTAGTGAACCACTGGAAACTAGCACTGGAGTACTGGAGAGCTCTTTCATCCTAGTATGGGAATCATCGGCAGTACGTACCCACTGAGGTTTGAACTTGAGACCTTCCACTTACAAAGCAAGCTGACCATTCAGCCACTGAGATCCGATTCAGTGGTGAACTCTTACTTCTACCAATTCGTGATTTACCAACCACTGTCTTCGGTGGGACATCCATCCTTACACTTGTCTGAATGGACCTCACTGATCACGACTTGTCACTAAAACTGCAGGAAACTCCGTCCTGTTGGTTGGAGTCGTGCCAAGTCACGAATTAGCAGAAGTTAGAATTCACGAGTTGGTCATTGAATCGGCTTCCAGTGTCTGGATGGTATATGCACCAGCTTGTCTTGTAACCAGGAGGTCGTAGGCTCGAACCCTGATGGTGGGTGCGTACTGCCAGTGATTCTCAAACTAGGATGAAAGAGCTGTTCAGTACTCCAGCGTTAGTTTTCAATGATTCTCTAACTGATTTCAATCCGTGACCAACTCCTAGAAACAAACAAAACTAATCCTTACAAACCAACGTTAGTAAATACACTGTGATACTGTATAGCTTTTTCTACTCTAAGAACACCGTGAACATTGAACATATCCCTCCAAAAGGCTGGTTTGAACAAACACATTAAATAACTAGTGTATCACGTAATTTTCGTAATAATTTCTCCATTATCCACAAAGAAATGATGCTAAGGTTAGTGAAAACATTAGAGAAAGAAAAGACGTTTTGTCTGACACTTATACAAAGCTTCATAACGTGTTTTTTGTTTTGTTTTGTGAAGTAACATGGATAACTAACTTCAAGGGAAAAATTTTTTGCATTGAAATACGGCGGATCACTTGGTTTTGGGTTAACTACACACTTACACATTCATTTTAATCGTCGATTCTTACAAATCTTTAATTCAAGAGTTAAAAATAAACTTGGATTAAGCAATTATCACTTCTGCATCCTTACAACATTTTGCTGTTGTCTGGAAATCTAAATATTACAATATTTCAAGACATTTTTCCTGTTTTAATGATTAAGACCCAATTTCTCAGCTTCGTTTAATTCTTCTCATATATATTTTCCTTTATAAAATAAAGATAACACTTTGTGCAGAATAAGATGGTACCGTCGTTTATTTCGCCGGCTTCTCAAAAGCTGCTAACGGCTTCAGAAAACTATTAATTTTCTATGCAGAGAATAATTTTAATATATTTGTAAATATTACATGATGTCAGGCGAGAGGAGACCTCAAACTTAATGGGCAGTGCTCAGAAATCACAATTATACAGCTTTTGCATAGAAAGTATAGACATAAGGTTACCAAGTAAAGGAAGGACCTATAACTACTTATTTCTAAACACATAAGTTGGGTTTCATCGGAGTGATCAAGGCACTCTGCTTGAACTCATGCAGCCGGGTGAGAGTTTACGGCGAGTTGTCATCTGAAGTGGTGAAAACCATTGGTGTCTGTCAGGGATGCCCACTGTCCCCATTTCCATTCAATTTCATCACAGATGTACTAATGGACTAACTGCTTACTTCAGCGACCCAGGGACTGACTTGTTACCTAGCAATAATCTCGTTGACTTAAAATATACAGATGATATAGTCCTTTAAGGTGACGACGCTGAAAAAATTCAGAATCTTCTGAACGCCTTGAGATGCAATCTACGAATGTTTGGCATGCGATTCGCTCCCGTAAAATGTAAGATAATGTTACAGGAATGGACTACACTGACTCAAAACTTAGAAATAGGGTGTGAAGGGATAGAGCACGTTGACCACTTCACGTATTCGGGAATTTGCATCAGCCCCAATGGGTTGATCGCTGACGAAATCTCAGCACGGATACAGAAGGCTAGCCTGGGATATGCCAACATACGCCATCTCCGGTTAGCTGTCAACCAAAGGAAGTGTGTGTTGCTTGGCAGTTCGCTCTGTCCTCCTTTGTGTCTGTGAGCGAGGCATGGCCCCCACTGGAAGTGGAAGACATAAAAAGGCTATCTGTCTTTGATTGTAGGTGTTTAAGTTCTATCTCCCGTGCGAAATGGTACAATACAGCGAGCGATATTGAGGTTAGGCGTCGAGTGCTAAGTAAGGAGGAGGAATCAATAGACGAGGCTGTGAAGTTACATCGACAGAGATGGTTAGGACATGTGTTACGCATGCCTAGTCATCGCCTTCCTCGACAGGCAATGTTGGCTGACATAAGGTCAGGTTGGAAAAGAGTGGCTGGTTGTCAAATAAAAACATGGCTTCATCAATCAATGAAATGCAAAACAGTTAGTTTAAGTCACGTAGGAAGGTGTAGACTTCCTGGATGGGGTCCTTGGGGTGGTAAAAACCAATAATAGAAACAATCGGTGATACAGCTTAAAGTCGTTCTCAATGGTGTAAATGCATCCACTCCTTGTGACTTATAATTTCAAATGAAACCATATTATTCTTCGTTATTACTATTCCTTTGTCTCACACCTCTGTTTACTGTCTCTATTATGCATTTCTCTTACTTTCTTCTCTTGCTTTGTGTGCTACATGGAGTGTGGTGATTTGAACTGCCGCACATCGTTACTAAGTTCTATGCTGAAAGCAGACATACAGACAGAAGTTGAGTTTCGGGCGTTTGGTAGCAGCTGCCTCGGCAAACCTTAGGAGAATTAAAATAATTCGTCCATTGACTACCTTAAAAGATTTTATGGTGTCCACTTCATGACCCATATCGAAAATATGCCTAAAAATGGCACTGTTAAAAGCGTTTGTTCCCATGAAATGTAGGTTTTCTGGCACATGCTTAGAAAATTGAAGGGATACTCTTCTTTCTGTCCTCCGAATGTAATTGTTATTGCAGATGCATTTAAATTTGTATATGCAATAAGAGCTAACATGAGAAGGGTGTCTGTTGACCTTTGATTCCACCGAAAAACATGCTGACCGATAAATGAGAAGCAATTTATCTGCAAGAGAGGTATTCACTTTTCCTTTGCCCATTTTTGCAATAAAATCATCTTTAAAGTCGATTTAAATGAAGACACACTTCTTTTTCACTGTGATCTGTTTCGCATTTAAACCTTCACATTCTTCATACTTTTTACTTAATGTCTAAGGGTAACTGCTGTTTTTCATTGTCTCTCCAAGAATCAGAAATTCTTCCATCAATTTCTTTTTCAGAGCATATTCTCCATGCTGTGTAAAAGAGTGTTTGAATCAGCGCTTTGTGATGGTTATTTGGACAAAAACGATTGAATTTTCAGTAGTGGTTGTCCACATGTAGGCATGACCTCTGGAGACTATACTATCTTCCAGACATTGTATTACAGTGATAAGGGAATGAAACTCAACATCACTAATTTTAAGTTCCGCAGTGAAGTCAGTATTTTCATATGCATCACTGAACTGTTGAGTTCACAAAAAACGCCTAATGATGAATAGATTAATACCATTTGTTTATTTTTTTTAAATTTCTACTTTTTCACTAATAATAATATTTCAACACTTTTAGGACACAAATATTCTATTTTTCGGTGGTTTAATGGTAGCTTGTGCAATAGAAAATAATTATATTCATAAACGAATTGCAATCTCAATCCTCAAACTAGTTGGTAGTGATCCAAAAATGTAGGTTTATTAAATTTTATGATATAATTTGATACATCTTATGCAATTGATCAGATAAAGGTTAGATGGATATGACATTTTTTAAAAGTCAAAGCGTCTTTAACTATGCTGTACAGCTCTTGTTAATTCCACTTCTACGATGTTAAAAAAAGCAATCACTTAACATTGAATTACCAACATGATAGTTTATAAATCACCTGCAAATAAATTGCATATTTCAATTAATACAAACATCAAATAAGAAATCAGAAATTCACATGCTTTTTACCACCTTTATTTATGTGGATGATAGGCTTGAAATCACTTATCAACTCTACTATTCTAAATTCTGAAATGACTGATCGTGAATGTCTAAATGATCCCAATAGCTAAATGAAATACAAGTCACATTTAGTTGGTATTGGTTCGGGATAAAAATCTAAAAATTGAAATCAATTCAAAGTCCTCACAAGACCTATAATCGCCAAGTCACTGATGGCTATTGGATGGATTTCGTGAAGCTGCAAGGGGAAGTCGCAGCCAATACAGTCTACTATGTCAAGGTGAAATGAATGTTCATCGAAGACGCTGGTGAAGGTGGCTCTTTATCACGAGAATACAAAGTTAGAGTTCAGGCATCACAGAATGCCAACCAATGTGGGTGTATGATCATCTAGCTTGACCCCGTAACCTGGAGGTATCGGGTTCAAACCCTGGCATGGTTGTATGTGCACACAGTGAAGAGTCTTAAAATAGGACAAAACAGCTTTTCAGCTGTCTGTTTAACTGATGTTGGTTCGTGACAAAAATCTTACACCTGATGGTTTTTGATAACTAATTCTAAATGATTAATCTAAATTATACGCATAAAACCTATTTGTATTAATATTTTTAGGTTGTGTTATTAGAAGACGAAGATCATCTGAAAAATAAGATGCATCTCACGCATTTTTTTTCAAAAAGTCTGATCACACATGTACTTTGCCAGATCAATTTAAATGAAAAATACAAGTTCAATTACGATTTTAAAAAGTTATATAGGATCTAAGAATAATAGTGTTCGTTTACAGAGATTTGATTAGTTTTATGATTTTCATCATGGTCTGACATCGGTTAGAGAACCAAGTCAACAGGGATTGCTGGATAACTATTTCGTCCCGGTTTGACACTCTTCAGCAGTATGCTTCCACTGGGACTCAAACGCAGGACCTTCCAGTTACAAGGCGAGCTCGTAGACCAATAAACCACCGGGATCCGACTCAGTGGGTCTATGATTTCCAGTTTATACCAATTCACGATATGGTGAGGCCATTTGATCGAGTCCCAGTGGCATTAATGGTCTACGGGCTCGCCTTGTAACCGAGAGGCCTTGGGTTCAAGCCCCGGTGGGCGCGTACTTGTGAAGAATCCTAAACCACGACGAAACAGCTGTCCAGTGCTCCTAAGTTTTCCAATGACTCTCTAACTGATGTCAGTTCATAATGAAATCCTGAAATTAACACTAAATTTGGTAAAATAATCAGATGAAGATTAGCAAAGTAGGTTAAGAGTAATAATAAATTGTTTTTGTACACATAGCAACTATCGCCTCTGCATAGTACAGTAAGCGCGCATACTGTTTATATAAATTATCTTAAGATTTGTTTTGATATCAATTTTCTGACTCAATTCAACTGTGTCTAAATATGTACGAAGTGAGTAGTCTACCATCTAGGTTTGTCGATGTTTATCCGTTCGCTTGTTTTTCTAGCCATTTGGGTAGATATTCTCACAACTGCAGCGTTAAGCTCGGCTTTTTCTTTTAATTTTTAAAAATGCAAGCTTGACAAAGCACAATTTATTAATATTTTTAATGTGCTCTATTGATTTAGTATATTTCTCATTGTTATATCACTCAAAACTACGTCATTAAGTCTATGCAACTTTCATAGTCTAAGTAAATGATAAATTTAGTATTGCGATTTAAACATGAAAAGCAAATTTAATAAACATGATAGTGTAAGTTAATGAGTTTGCATATACGTGATCAGTCATTTTAAATGTGTTTTGCGCATCATGCTATAAATAACAACCCATAAAGTATATTTATATGCATCTACTAACAACTCATTTATAACTCTAAAAGTGATCTCATTTAAATTGAAATCAAGTGATTATTGTGAAGACTGAAATCTGTAGCATCGTGCAGCCGAATGACCTTGATTTTTAATTCAGTATGCTCAATTAGTAAATGTGACCTATTTGACTAGTTATTTTCTGATGTCTATTTGTTAATATGCCAATAAAGCAGAGGACGAGACAAGTGCGACTCTTTTCCAGCCTTATAGTGAAATTTTTTGGTCTTGCGCTACTATTTTTGTTTCCTCGGGTTCTGAGTGGGACAGCACGTCTCCACTTTGTCGTATTCGATGCAGTCCTCTTAAGCTGACCCCTCGTCGACCACCCATAGTCTCTCATCTCCTACTCACTCAGTCTCCTTCATGTCACCTACGAACGCTCCACTAGTCATTTACCATTAGGGTTCCATTCCAGCGATGGCCTGGGGCGTGATGTTATTCGATGGTCTCCTGAAAGTGTGTCCGATCCATCTCCATAATTAGATCAAATTATTATTATTATTGTATCCTTTAGTTCCTAGAGGAACATAGGGCTTCAGCTGCGCACCTCCATTGACTTCGGTTTTCTGACAACTTTTTCAACCTGCTCCAGGTCTGTCCACATGCTTTCATCTCCTCCTCGCATGACCTCCTCCAAGTCACCCTTGGACGACCAACTCGCCGCCTCCCTTTCGGGTTCCACTCGAGCGATGGCTTGTCTAGTGATGTCACTTGATGGTTTCCTCAGCGTATGGCCAATCCATCTCCATTTCTTTCTGCCTATTTGTTTCACAATCGGTTCCTGATTGGTTCGCTCCCAGAGATCCCTGTTGCTGATCTTTTCTGGCCATCTGATCTTGAGTATTGAGCGAAGACAACTGTTAATGAAGGTTTGAAGTTTGTTTGAGATGCTCTTTATGACTCGCCAAGTCTCTGATCCGTATAGTAGCACTGACTTCACATTGGAGTTGAAAATCCGGATCTTATTTTAGATGCTGAGTGCTGTTGACCTCCACACAGATTTGAGAGTAATGAAAGCTTGTCTTGCTTTGCCGATTCTGGCTTTGATGTCCTCGTCAGTTCCGCCTGTAGTTGAGACGATGCTTCCCAGGTAGGTGAAGGAGGTTGTTTCTTTCAGGTTCTTCCCATTTATGCTTATTTTGGTCTGTTGGTGTTGTTGATGTTGGCTAGGAATCTTCATTATCTCTGTTTTATCTATGTTCACGTGAAGTCCTATCTTTGATGCTTCTTCTGCCAACTTGTTACTTTTCACTTGCATATCTTCCAGTTTATGGGAAATCAGACATATATCATCGGCGAAATCCAGATCCTCCAAGTCTTTTGTGTCAGTCCATTTTATGCCTGTTCCCTCGTTGGTTGCCGTTGTCTGTCGCATTATCCAATCAATTGCAATCAGGAAGATCATTGGTGATAGTAGACAGCCTTGCCTCACTCCCGTCCTCACTTCGAAGGCTTCCGTAAGTTTCCCGTTGTGGATTACTTGGCATGCAGCATTGTCGTATAACTGTTGGATGAGGTGTATAATTGTCGATGGGACCCCGTAGTAGCGAAGTAGTTTCCAAATGACCTCTCGATCGACGCTGTCGAAGGCCTTTTCAAAGTCGATGAAGTTGAGATAGAGAGGTGACTGCCATTCCAAGCTTTGTTCAATGATGATCCGTAGAGTGGCGATTTGATCAATACATGATTTGTTTCTCCTGAATCCAAAACATAAGTCGAACTAAGAAAATATTCCTTTCTAAACTAAATATAACTCACAAAGACATGTTTGCTACGACATGAATGACATGCATTGCGTTTAGATGGACACAAAAGGTCAAAGAAGAATTTTATGACAAACATCCAAGGACAGGCCGAAATAATGCGATTAGCCATTTGCGCAAAAAGCAAACATATTTTGAGCTAAATGTATTTATATTTTCCTTTTGTAACCACAAGATATTCAGCTAGTAATATTACTTTATGCCATCAGAGCTGCCAAGAAAACAAGCAAACAATAGGGATTGAAAGAAATACCTGGACACCATTTATGTCAATCATTGCAGCTTGCCAGCGAGATTGAGGTGTTGTCAACACTGAATGGTTGTTTCTGTCGTTTGAGAGAAACCTCATTATTCAGTATAATTCACCATAAAATGAGACAAAATTTTGCTCTTAATTTTGTACTCAAAAGAAGGTTAATTCTGTTCTATACATTCCTTACATCCGTTTATCTGATATTCCTGTCTTGAAATTTAATTAACAACTTTTAGACAAACTACACAACCTCACAAATAACCACGAAAATGTTCGAGTAATCTCTCTCAGCTATTGCATATTGTTCTCTAATCATACCATACTGCATATTCCATTGACGTGAATCTAAAAAGTAACAATGTTTTAACTCTTGCAGGTTAATGCTTGGCTTCATGCTTCCAAGTTGGTTTCTGTCAATGTGGATGAGTAATACTGCTACTGCAGCAATGATGATAACAATTGTGGATGCATTGCTAACAGATTTTCTGAAAATGGGTAAAGATAAAATTAACTGGATTTTACTTCTCATCACTTAACCTTATTTTTCATTTTTAATTGGATCGTGTTGACAATTTGATTTGTAGAGTGAGATATCATCTGATAGTTTAATGTTTTTTGGAAAATACCCATATGGACATTAGAAAGAAGAGAACACGAAGTTCAGCAAAGATATCTTTTCGGCGATTTCATTCTCAAAAGCTGTACAATCGCATTTATATAGATTATTTTAACATGGATAGAATTATTATTTGTTTAATTTCACATAGTAACGAAGGTGATAATAATTTTCAACTTGATATAGTAGTTTGAAGGTACGAATATAGATTACAAGAGGCTTAGAGACAAGATTTCATAGGATTAGAAAATAGTTACAAAGTAGGCAAAAAATTAATATTTGATAATTGGAGAAATAATTTTAAAGGCGAATCGAAGGTGATAATTATTTTCGACTTAATATGAATTACAAGAGGTTTAGAAACGCAGGGATAGGACGAACTACAGGTTTGAACAAAATGAGCATGGAAAAAAATTGAAATCAAAATTTTCTCTTAGTGTTGCTGCAGGGAAGGTCTTCTTTAAAGAGCTGGACATTCTCCTCTTCAGGATATCAGCTACCAAATCTCCCTTGAAATTCAGATTTAGATACAGCGTTTTCTTTGGCGCTGAATCGTATTCTTCTCTTTTTGGTTTAGGTTTCATGTTCTTTTCGACAAAACGTGTCGGGTAGCCATTTTGAGCCAGGATATTTTTGAGGAATAGGAGCTCCTCTTCCATGCAATCGTTGCTGCAGATTTTTCTAACCCGATGGGTTAGTGCGCTGATGAGGGCTCGTTTTCGGCTCAGAGGTATACAACTATAGAAATGCGTTAGTTGGCCATTCCATGTCGGTTTTCTGCGGATGGACCTCTTCAGGGTTCCATCATCTCTTCTTGTCAATTCCACGTCCAGAAATGGAATCTTTGAATCGCTTTCTAACTCCACTGTGAACTTAATCGAAGGATGGGAATTATTGAATTCTTGTAAGATGCAGTTGAAGTCTGAGTTATCGTAGCAGACTATAAAGGTATCGTCAACGTACCTTTTGTATAGTAGTAATTTGTTTATTGTTGATTTTAAAACTCCACTCTCCAAACTGGCCATAAAGCAGTCTGCTAAAAGCGGGCCAAGAGGAGATCCCATTGCAGTTCCATCTTTCTGTCTGTAGATGTCGCCGTTGAAGGTGAATTGTACATTCAGCGTGCATCTCAGCGAAAATTCCTTCAGATATGAAACTGGTACTCCGACGTTTATATTAGATTTCTCCATATAATTGCACAGAAAGCAAATTGTTTCTGTTAGTGGCACGTTGGTAAAAAGAGATTCAACATCTAGTGATAGCATTCGTTTATCATTTACATTCAAATCTTTTATGCATTCGATGAACTCAAAAGTATCACGAAGAGAGTATTTGCATAGGTGTTGTCTCACCGGCTCCAACATTTCGGACAACCATTTGGCGATTGGATGGTATGGTTTAATGTTTGATAGGCTATCCAAATACATCAGTATAAATGTGTCCATACTCCAGTTTACTCAAAATTCAATGCATTCTAATGACTTAGCCATACGGTTGAGGTTGATTTTTCAACATCGAACTTTGCACAAATTGTGGCGTTTCATTTCACCACACTGCACAAAACCCACAAATATAGGGAAAAATAATCGATAGAACTATAATATTAAAAAATATGAGTACGATTACGGTAAGAATGAAGATGTGAAGTGGAATGAATTCAAGCGGTAAAATAAAATCAAAAAAAACTAGAAAGAACATTACTATGACCAAAGTAAAGAAAGGGGTTTGAAAAAACGTTTTTGAACACATAATTTAGGTTTCTGTTCATGTATAGCTAAAGCTTCGGCTATGCATAAGTGAAAAAAACGTAAGCTTTTGGATCGATTCGACTTTGCCATGTAGATAACTTTGAAAGGTGAATCACGTGGGGCCAAATGACCAGACTCTAACAGGTGATCACAAATAGATGATTTCGCAGTTCTTCGTTCGCCTTTCATTAACCAAACCGGATAGTGTTCAGCTACACGTTTTCGGAGATTACGCTTACAACGTCCAATATAAACAGCTCCACAAGAGCAGGTAAAAGAGTAAATGCACACAGATGTGGACAAGAGCGGCAATCTATGCTTGACGTATTGTCCAACCATATTTCGGCTGGTAATAACTAGTTGCAGGTCAGCTGCAGGAAAAGTGCGTTTAACACATTAAGATAAACGATTTTTAATCAATTCCGAATTGGTGTCACCTTTGAATGCCAGACTCATAAACAATTTTTTCTTTGGTACTGTGACTTGTCTCAGGGCGGATTCTTTCTTGATGTTACGTTCAATGAACCTTGTGGGATGACCATTGTTAAGGAGATTTGATCGAAGGTAATCTAGTTCCCTATAATAAACTCGAGTGTACAGCTGAAAGGGTAAGTATATAGAAAATAATAAGGATTAAATGGATATTCAGCGTTGAGAACGCTTCTGACTCATGTCACTGACATTCTCAAACCATTTATTCTTGAATACCCCAGTCAAGCAATCTTCACCCCCTATGGGACAAATACTCCATCGGCTGATATCTTGTTTTGATTTCAACACATGTAACTCTTTATCAACCTCCTTTTACGTTGATGCATGAGTTGATGGCTTGACATATATCAAATGTGCCCTATTCCTGTCAATTGACGAAGATAGTGTATCTTCCCGAATGAAGGGAGTGATCAACACATCCAATCGTTTCATTCCCTACCCTTAAAATAGGGGTCGGTGTACATCAGTCTTACAGAATCATCTTACAGATGACAGTGGACAGATCTCATCCTGAACAAACCAAGACTTCTGAACATGATTTTCAGAAGACCATGTATTTTGCCATCGTCGTCACATAGAAAGACTATATCATGTGCATAGTCTAAATTGACGAGACCATTTCCTGATAACAAGTCAACCTCTGAGTCAGTAAGGTCATCTAGGGTCACTTCGCATAGTGCATACATGAGGAAATTAAACAAGAATGGGGATGGTAATCAACCCTGACAACCGCCACTGGTTATCATCAATTCAGATGAGAACTCTCGCGAAGCTCTCACATGGCTGCACGAGTCAGAGTGCCTTGATTAGTGAGATAAGCTTTCTCAGTACTCCTTTCACCACCATGCATCTTACAATACCTGCTGGTTGGCGGAATCAAATCCTGTTTCACGTCTAGAAATGTGGCAAGCGTTGGATACTAGTAAGTACGCATATTTTCCAGAATCTGTCGAAGAGTTAAATATATGATCAATACAACTTCCTCCTGTCCTTAAGGCTAACGGGCTTTCCCGCGTTTATTCCTCCAGAACAACGTTCATCCAACACACGATTCTTCAAACTATAGCATTAGACTCTACATTAGTCAAGTTAACTCTTCCGCGATTATCATAGGAAGAACAAACGCCATTCTCATAAACTGGGATAAATAGTGAATTACACCAGTCCATGGGTACTATTTCTGAGTGCCACAGATTACCTATCTTTTCAGTCACCTTGCATTCGAGCAGCCTTCTGACCCTGAATGCTCCAGCATGTAGTTAGCAGCGTTACTTTAAGCAAATACGACTGGTTTCTTGCGGTTATGGTCGCTATTAGGATGGCAGAGTTAACTGCATTCCATTAGGTGAAATATATATTTCATAATTTAAAAAAGGTTTCCGCCTGTAAAATGAGTGATTGTGTAGTGAAAAGAAATGTATTTCGAGCAAGAGAATTTCTTTCTTCAGAAACAAAAATTTCTGATAAAAATGTGTACAACGCTGCAATATTTGCTGAGTAAAAGTAACGTTTATAAGCGTGTATTGGTAACACCTAACTCTAGAATATTTTTTATGATTGAATAAAATGTAATCCGGATACACCTTGAACAGTGATTACAGCACTTTATTCGATAAATCAACAGGAATTCCTTATTATAATACTGTTATTATCTTCTTTAGTTCCTAGAGGTACATAGGGCTCTAATGATTTCGGTTCACTACCAACGTTTCCACCTGGCTCCACGACTACCTACATGCTTCCATCTCCTCTTCCCATCACCTCATCCATGTCACTGTCTCACTGATGACCAACTCACCGCTTCCCATTTGGGTTCCATTCGAGCGATGGACTGGCGTGTGATGTCACTCACTTGATGGTTTATCTTCTCAGAGTATGACCAATCCACCTCAATTTCTTCCTACACATTTGTTGCACAATTCGTTCCTGATGGGTTGGTTTGCTCATTGCCAGAGATTCCTCACTATTGCTGATCTCTTCTGGCCGGCCATCTGATCTTGAGTGGTATTGAGCGAAGACAGCTATTGATGAAGGTCTTTTGTTTGTTCGTGATGCCCTTCACGACGTGCTGGTTAAGTCTCTGGTCCGTATAGTAACACTGACTCCACATTGAAGTTAAAAATCTGGATCTTATTTTTCATGCTGAGTGCTTTTGATCTCCGCACAGACTTGAGAGTAATGAAAGCTTGCTTTGCTTTCCCAATCCTTGCTTTGGTATCCTCATCAGTTCCGTCGGCCTGCAGTTGAAACGATGCTTTTCTGGTATGTAGGTAAAGCAGGAATTCAGGAGGCTATTAAAATGTAAATGACCGATTCACTTGTCTGTGTAAACTACATGAATTACGCAAATCCAGCTAGTCAGATTAAAATAAATGAATTATGCATGCTTTTCAGGCCCCTTTACACAATGTTTTGGTTTTTATTTGGATGTCTTGGTTTTGAAGTCTGTAGATCATCTTTTACTTGTTGGATCTTTGATAATTTTATCGTTAATGATGGAATTATAAATTGCGGATATTATCTAGCAAGCGAAAAGACACCGAAGAAAGAATGATTTCATTTCTAAACAGAAGTTTTGTCTATACTGATTGTCAACATCATGGTTTTCATAAAACAGTGATTTCTCCCTTAAATTTTACCATAAATTAGGAAAGTGAACTTCATAGCAAAGATACATAGAATCATGTATTCTCGTTTCTTCAATTTTGTCTATTATAACCATAATATAACTACTATGATGTGTCAGTATCCGCAATGGACAAACATAGACTCTGCCAGAAGTAAATACAGTTATTCATGCTTTAAGAGGTAGAATCGTTTGAAATTAAAGGTGTAGATCAACCTATCATTATTGTGAATATATGTATTCCACAGTAGGGAAGAGAGAACTATTGATTTTCAATCTCTTGAAGATCGGTAGTTCGTTAATTTATTGAAGGGAAGAATCCGTCTGAATAAAGCTTGCAGTTAGTGTAACAGTAATTTACTCACTCACATATACTAGGATTCCTGATAGTCAGATGAAAGAGTTCTGAAAACTAGACAGCTGTTTTAAATCGCTGTATATCTAAGTTGATCTAAAACAGATATCATAACCAATTAAATCACTTCAGTTTCTAGCAGATACTAAGTGGAAATGGCAGTGCATTATGTCAAGCCATGTGTTTTCAAAACTCAAAGTCCAAGATAAAAATTGTATTAAAGTTGCCTCTAAAAATCCAAAAAAAACCATTCAGATGACATAACTTTATGCAGTTAAGGTTATCCATGGCGCTATATTTGCCAGCTTCAAAGAAACATCATGTATGCCTTTGACTATTATAAGTAGTTGTAAAAATACCGAAAATTTAGGCTTTTCTTGTCAATATTTACAGGTCGTATATTGTCCTTCCTTTATTCTTTTGAGTGCCCAGTGAAACATAGGACTTCCAGCCTTTAGCTGTGAAGTTTCAGTAGTAGTGATGTTATTCTCTTTTTTTTAGGGAGTGGAATCGCTAGCCTTATGCCTAACCTTCCCTCTATACTTGGTTTACTACCAGCTAAGGGAGGTTTAGGAGTGCATCGGTAGTGGATCGAATCCTGAGCAACGTGACAAGGTAGGTCAATATCCTACCACTGAACCACCAACGCACTGGTCGTATACTATAGTCTGAAAGTAGTCCCTTTCTGAAACAAACAGCACACATTTTCAATTATGGAAAGCATATATATTTCTAAAACTTGATTTAACCTTTAAAGAGAAGTAATTCTCAAATAAAAATAAATAGTTCTCATATGTAGTAATGTAATGTAATCTTGTCTCTGCTTATAACCTTTAAACAATTTACAGAAGAAGAAGAGGACTATGCTGAATATAATGACAAGTAAGTTAGAGTGATATTTTCTATTATGAATACCGACAATACGCCTTATCTCTAGGATAAATATTATTATCAAAATCCTCTTTCAATTGTCTGCAATTTACTTATCCAATAAACGTTATGTTTACAAAAATCATAGATATTTAAGTATTTGTTTGTAGGGATTTGATTGATTGGTTACAGGATTTCACCATGAGCTGACATTGGTTAGAGAACCGTAAGAAAACCTTCAAGCAGCACTGGGCAGCTGTTTCGTCCTAGTTTGTGAAGTCATGACCAGTAGGGTGCAGCTGGTTGGGTGTGAGGACAACTACGCGCCGTAGACATTGGCTAACGATCATGCTATGCAGTGAATTGGCAGAAGTTAGAATTCATGGGTCGTTGGATCGGGCCCCAGTGGCTTAATGGTCTACGAGCTAACTCGCCTTATAATCAGAAGGTCCTGGGTTCGAATCCCGGTGGCTGCGTACTGATGAAGACTCCAGTGCTGCTTGCAGGTTTTCCGATGGTTCTCTAAACTGCGTCAGCTCATGATGAAATCTTTTAACCAAAAAACCATAGAATTACTTTATTGAATATTCAGTACGTATAACATGTTGTTGGTACTCATAATAAGCGGCAGCATAGTTTAATAAATATGAACGTTTCAGCACATCCCATTCACACTGGAATTTCTCATCTTCTGGGCAATGTATTTATTTTGTATCTTATGCACAGTCCAAATGATAAATCAAATGTTGCTTTCTTACACTCACATACACCTGTTAATGACACATAGAAGTTTAGAATATTTAGAAGTTTAAAGATTTATAAATACAGGAACTATGCTATTCAGTAATAATTTCAATGTGCTCTGTAAATGAATGCGTTTTCGTATTCCCCTGTCTACATCCTTTAGTAAGTAGGGTAAATACAAAGGTGTGGAATTACTAGTTAGAATGATAATGTATATACAGTATACTTGTTACTTGTTAACGGATTGACAAACTTCAGTTAAGTTAATTTTAAGAAACTAAGGTTCATTGTTAACTTTAATAAAGAAAACGCATATCTCAATTTAAACTGTGGGACGACTCTAATAACAACCTACTTCATATGAATCTCATCTTGCCTCAATCAGCTAACTTGTCGCTTACAATGAAGCTTCACCAAACATTTGACGTGACCAACCAACATGATCTTGTATTAGGCAACATATGATCAGTATCATTCATTCAGATTTATCTGTAAGGTCCTCAAAAATGTAAGTTGAACAAAAGCGAGAATAATAGATAAATTCGCGTACGCTGATCGTCTGAAAACAGTATCCTTCTTTGGTATATGGTAACTAGCAATGAAATCCATTCTACTTATTCCATCTTTTTGGAGACCTGTCATCCAGGTGTATCTACATTCCCCAGTGAGTGACAGTGTTCTCACTGAGATTCAGACCGAATGCGCATTGTTTCAAACATCAGAGCAGTATCCACTAGACCACTTGGGCTATGAGAGTCAACTCCTGTGCAACGGGAATCAGTTACTATTTACTTCACTCAGTTCCAATTTTCCGGGTACTTAAGTGAGCTAAAATCTTCAGCTTCTGTCAACATGTCAATTGAGGTGAAAATTTCGATTCAATGAATCAGCAGGAAAATCAAAATTGACTTAAATGCATCCTCTTCGTTTTCAAGGTGTGACTAAAGTTATTCATTATATAATTTAATAATTCCCATTGTAGCATTAAGAACACAATTTTCAGCGAAGAGACTCTTTTCAACGAATTTATTATCAAGCTGTACAATCGTATATATATGGTTTTATAAAGAAATTATATCCGGTGAGGGAATTAGGTCAAAGGTGTAAATACATGAAATAATAATAGTATGAAATAAATTTAAAATATTTGTGATTAGGTTCATAGTTTAAGTCAAGTGGAACAATAATTAATGTCATATATAAGATAATACATCGGGTGTATAGATTTTGGGGAGAGGCATATAATTGTAAGATTAATAGACGAATGTAAAATGTTACGTAATATGGTGTGAAATTTGATAACATAGAATTTAATATTGTAAAAATAAAGATAAAAAGTATACACATGAATAATTTTTGGTTTAAAATGTCAAGTAGATCAAGTGGAAAAGATTCAGAATGAGAGTCGTAATAATAATAATAATGATAATAATAATAATAATCGAAGTAATAAGGGAAAAGTACATAGAATAATAAAATAAATAAATGTCTATCCCTCTACGGCCAAGGCAGCAGTAGGGATTGTACATACTTCTTTTGCACACAAAGGTCTGGCTTAAAGTCATGAATTGCCAAGGCCTCAGCTGTCTTTAGAAGTCTGTAACGAAGAAAACGCGGGAAGTTGGCATGAATTCTGTATATGACCTTGAAATCATGGTCAGGGTTGACCGAGTGACAGGAGTCGATGAGGTGTTCTAAGATAGAACTTCGCACACATTTCCTTTCTCCTTTGTAAAACCAAGCTGGAATATGTTCTCGTATCCGTGTGGAGAGCATTCTCTGACATTGGCCGTAGTCAGAGAATGCTCTCCACACGGATACGAGAACATATTCCAGCTTATTCATGTGTATACTTTTTATCTTTATTTTTACAATATTAAATTCTATGTTATCAAATTTCACACCATATTACGTAACATTTTACATTCGTCTATTAATCTTACAATTATATGCCTCTCCCCAAAATCTATACACCCGATGTATTATCTTATATATGACATTAATTATTGTTCCACTTGACTTAAACTATGAACCTAATCACAAATATTTTAAATTTATTTCATACTATTATTATTTCATGTATTTACACCTTTGACCTAATTCCCTCACCGGATATAATTTCTTTATAAAACCATATATATACGATTGTACAGCTTGATAATAAATTCGTTGAAAAGAGTCTCTTCGCTGAAAATTGTGTTCTTAATATTCATTATATTTAAACTCTTGATGGACCAAGAATTTGTTTTACAACCGAAACAAGAAACATTCAAAATATGTTGCCACTAGCTAATACGAATGTGAAAAGATAATCACAGTAGAGAAAATTCCAGAATTGTTTCTAGACAAAGGTAAAAAGACGTCAAAGAACAAAATGCTGTTAGCCAGTGCAAATCGGGATCAAGAATGATAAAAAACAGGAGACTGAGTGAACTAACAGCTTCCAATAAACACGATTATTTATTAATGACTGTATCTTTATGGTGAAGTGATTATGACAGTCATAAAGAAGACAAATGTTAAGTGTACTTTGGGATAGGGGTTTTCACTCAAGTTTCAGATCATTGATGTTTCAATCATGCTCACTGTCTTTCAGAGACCACACAATTTGGAAAGAGTTTCGTTGTCAGAAATCAGTTGAAGAGACTGAAATAAAGGAAGATGTGGTATTGATATACCCTTTTAAATCTTCCCAGTGAATTTATTTTTATTTTTCCCATGACTAATTAAACATGTTCAATAATTTGTGCTCAAAACGAAATCAGTTATTATTACTGTACAACACTCTGTGATTTATTAAAATAAAATCGTATCCATAATGTAGTCTTAACACACTTATTCGAACAGTTTTAAATCACACAACCACTTTTATTATCGCTAAAAATGAAATATCTTCTCCCTTCATTTGAGAACTGATACTGATTACAGTCATTAGTATATTCATGAATAGCCTCAAGAATTACACAGTAAATGTCTTTGGAAAAGCAAACGGTTACAGAGAATTCCAACAAGATCGCTTTTAATACAAAAAAGAACAACTGATTTGATCCAATTCATCTATATGACACAGACGTTTAGATTTATTTAAGTTAACGTTTCTACTTATATTAGCCTTTCAACACTGACTGCATTGTGGTGTAAGCACGAATAGGCTGTTCCGTATCTATGGAAAGTATCTTACACTTGTGTTTGAACATGAGAAATCTGAACAAAAAAAGAAAATTAATCTTTTCTCAAAATTCTAAGAAGTCTAATTATAAAATAGTCAATAATGCTTGAAATACCAGGTTTAAACTCTACAGCAACTTTGTTTTTTTGTTTCTTAGCAATGATTTCATACAAGATACTCAAAAATCGCTGAACAGAAGTCTATGTAATTGTCGACAACTAATCATACAAATCGATGACAATCAACAAGAATTACCACCAGTTACGAAAGAAAAGAATTTAAAGCGTACAAAAAGAATGAATATTGGCTTCAGCCTCAGTATTGCTTATGCCTGTTCAATTGGTGGTATAGCTACAACAATCGGAACACCAGCAAACTCTATTCTTCAAGGACAAGTTTACAAGTACGATTTCTATGCTTTCGTCTTTATTATTTCCTATTTTTATGATTACGAAATTGTCTTATTGAATGTCCTCATTACTTCTTTGTATGAATATTTTACTGGGGAGGATTCGGTGTCAATAGTTTTCGCTGAAACAAGATATTCTATGCAAAAGAATTTGTGCACATTCACTAGTTTAATTAACTAATACATATTTTTTTTAATTTTGCCCTCCATTTATTTCCCTTAGTCGCTATGGCCCTTCAACAGGATTGTATTTTGGGACGTGGATGGCTTATGCTTTCCCACTTTCAGTTTTCATGCTCCTGTTCACCTGGTTCTGGCTAAGTTTCCTATTTATTGGTCCCAAGTAAGATAATTAAGTTTTCTTTTCGTTAAAATAATGTATATCTCATCTGTTTCATTTCTATTGTGGGTAAAATTTGTTTTCATAAAGTCTAACAGTGCTATACAGTAATGTTTACTGATGACCACGTTTCGAGAACAATTTATTATCGCTCATAATCATATCAAGGCGTTCACTAACAAAACTTTCAAAACTTCGTTTACATGGTTCCAATATTTCTCATTTCTTGATTTGATGATGAGTAATAATGTTTTCCATATTTCCGGTATGAGTGATGAATGATTCCTATTGCATGTGTTGGGTGTAGGCCCGATGAATAAGCATTCAGTAATAAACCTGTTTCTCCACCTACCTAGATTACTTTTTAGAATTTTAAGCCTCTCCCAAGCTATTGTGTGGCTGTGTGTTAATGCATGCAGTGCCACTGCTGAGTTTGTTTCTAAATTACTTATCTTCGTGAGATCAATCATTCTAACTTCAGCTTAATTCGTATGTTCTGATGTCTACACAGTCCTGTAACCTACAGAGCTTGTCTCGCCTGAGTAGATTTGTAAGTTTAAATGCCGCTCTAATTCCTGCTTTATTGAGAATCCTACGTAGCGTCTCAGATGTTCCCTACTCATATGGTACAACAGTAGATGCCTGGTATTCTCTCTTATTTATGTTATCATTACTAGTTTCACAAGAGAGAGGCTGATTACTGAATCCTTGTTCATCGAGTCTACAACCAACATATGCAATAGGAATGACTCATCACTCATACCGGAAATATGGAAATTACTACTACCAATAAAATCAAGCTATGGAAAGTAATGGAATTATATAAACGAAGTTAGAAAGTTATGTGAGTTAGTACCTTGATATGATTATGAGAAGCATTGAATTGTACTCGAAATGTGGTCATCAGTAAACATTACTGTATAACACTGTGAGACTTTATCAAAACAAAATTTACGCATAATAGAATTACACTCTACCACGGTGCACAAGTTTTATTCTTATATCGTCTGTTTTACTTCCAAACATTTTTAGTGACTTTATACTTTAAGGTTTGAGAAAATTATGTTCTTGTCGATTACTCTCAACTGATTTTCGTGCAACATAATTTTAGGGCTGTGTTTTAGTTACCTACCAATAAAAAGGGGTAGCTAATCTGAAAGTGTATGCATTTTCCTTCAAATGCTACAGTCATACTGATTTACAGTTCTTCTTTTTACTACTAGTCATAGTCAATGAGTAGTTCTTGTAACTGAAAATGTATTTCATTTGTGAATGAGATTTTTACGGAGTGTCTTCTACAATCTTTCTGCTCAGATCCTAAATAGTTGCACAATATTGTGAAGGCATACAGAGGTAGTGTAGTGTTTTCCTAAACTAACAGTAAACATTCGATTAGGATAAGATTTTGATGAGAGCTGCCTGCTAGCCGAAATTGGTAGACAGCAATTTACGTCAATGTTTACGTTCAGAATCTTGATCATGAGAAAAAACAAGAACAAAGCCTAACCTTGACGAACTCAACAACCAACCACAGCAGATTTTGTGTGGGTGGATACGATTAGCAGAAGTATCAACGGACTGCCTAAGAAACGGTGACAAAGAGATGACAGAATAATCTTCAGCAAGAAAGGAGCCAATCAGAAGACGTTGCTTCTCTACTAACAATAATAATAATGTGCATAAAAATCTATAAATACGTGTTTATTTTCTCAGTAAACGATCTGCTGCCTGCCCCTTGTCTTCTGTCGTTACCAGATTATCTCGTTATTCAGTTAATCTAATTTCATACATATTTATCTCGTTTTATATAATTAATGGATTATTAATAATATTATTATGAATTATTATCAGCAATGTATTGACACACAAACAGCGATCTCGGTTTTTTTTAAATGAGTAAAATCTGAATAAGTCAACAAGAACTATAGAAAGACACTGCATTCATAACGAACTAAAGGTATCACTATGTATATGTGTGTGTGTCAATCTTATGCGTTCTCAGTAGAACATAGGGATTCTGGCTTGAGCTTTGAAGTTTCATTAGTAGTGTTCTTCTACCACGTGAGGTTGTTAGCCTCAAACCTAATCTTTCCTCTTTGTTTGGGCTGAGAACCGGCTAAGGAAGGTAAAGTTATTTGTTGGTTAGGAGTCGAACCTCAGACTACTTGTGTGGTTAGCGAGCAGTCTACCAGTAAGCAACCGATGCACTAATGGACTAAAAGATACTACAATATAAAACTCGCGAAATTTCTCAAGAATGCGTTCGAAGAGCAAGTAGTCTACGTTAGCAAACTCCACGTAAAATCACGCACATGAAGTTGAAGCATGAAGCTCCACTTATTCAGTCATTCAGTTTTAATTTTAGTAATATTAATGACAAAAATAAGAGGGTATATGAATTCTAAAATAGTTAACACGTTGTTCACTCTTTTTGCAGGCAGTGTTTCACCTTCAAACAGTCAGAGAAAAGACGAAAATTATTGGCTCGTTTATTAACAGAAGAAGAACAAAAACTTGGACCAATTAAGTAGGTGAAATTATTGATAAAATCTGATTTCATGCAATTGTACCAATAGATATTGTTTTGACGATATTTCTTATAGGTGTTATTAAAATGCTTACAAGAGTAGTTAAGATGAATATGTAGTTATTAAATAAATGTGTAAAATAATAAACATTTTTCATTATATAATGATTATTCATCATGCTGAAAGAACTTCACTATTATTTAATTATAAAAAAAAATTGTGAATGAGCCTCCAACTCCTTTGATGTGTTTGATACAATCTATCAGTAAAAGAAATATTATTAATTAATGATTCAGGACATATTTATCTACAAAGTATACCTGGGTTACAACCAACACCAACTCGTTGTGATCTGAACACATGAAGCCGATGTCTGCGTCCTACTGTTTAGCAGATAAAACCTCTTTGAGAGACGCACAGTCACAGAACTCACCAAAGACATCAAAAGGACGATTATTCATGATTAGATCAATGTCTGTTTCCATTCCAAAATTGTAACATCAAAACTTAGAAGACCTTCAGCGAAGAGACTATTTTCGACGAATTCATTCATATACATGTACAATCGCATTTATATATAATTATTTGTGTGTGTGTGTACATGAGGTTTGTCAAGTTTAGATAATTAATTAGATAATAGAAGAATGATCTAATATAGAAACAGGTTAATTGGACAGCAACTAAAGTAAGATTGAGTTAGAAAGTTAGATGACTTAATATAATTGACTAAAATGTTCGAACCTAGGTCAGGATAGCAACAGAGGTAATCTCAAGTAGAGACTAAGTAAAGGTGAGGTAAAGAATAATGCCAGTTAAAAATTGAGCAAATAAGTTGGATGACATAAGATAAATGAGTAGAAACTGAGCGTTGTTCAAGTCAGTAACAGTGGTAATGAGATGTAGAAATTAAATTGGGTGGGGCTAGAGAAAAGGAAAGTTGAAAATGTAAACTATAATAATTGCAAAGACAAAATAATACTAATGAAGAGACAGAAAGAAAGAACTTTGCTGAACGTCATCTCTTTTTCATATGACTTAATGGGGATTTTTAAGCTACAAAAACAGAAGTATTTCAACAGTGCTGTTAGGCAACTTCACAGATAAGAAAAAGTTCAAAGTACAAAATAAGCACTGTGTAACAAAATTAGTTAACGGAAATTCAACCGTAAGAGGTAAATTAGAATATTCCCAACAAGATGGGGTCAAAACTCTGTCCACAAGAATCATACAACAACACTCCCTTCAGACAGTCTCAGGTCAGGATGACCTTGATCCATTCAAACAAAATCACATCGTAAAATAATACATTCTCAATATATATCGCACAACCACAAAGAGAAGCATTAAAATTAGAGACTAAACAGAGAAAAAGACATGCAGTAAGGATTAAGTGAACATGTGATCTGAAAATGTCAGGACAGTGGCATTCAGTCTAGTAGAAAAACGGATAATAATTATAAAGTAATTAGTTAAAATATCTAAATCAATAAAAATATATTGTGATTAGATTGATCATGAGAGATTTTCCAAACAACTTTTCAGTTACAATCTGCACTATCGTGGGAACTGATACCCTCTAATTCAGTGTTGTTTAAAACCGAACTCCGAGGGCCTATCTTTATGCTTTTAAACCATAGAAACATAGTTGTTAGAGATAGAGAAAATTAAGTTTGGAAGTAGGATGTGGAATAATTTCCTAGACTTTTCTGCATAATCTCAACAAGTGGGGAGTTTTAAATTGTAAATAATGAAAATTTTGTTAACTATTCAGGTGAAACTAGATACTAGCTGAAAGGGAATCAGCATAAGCAACAGGGAAAATGTAAATTGGATAAGGTGACAACTCAAATTATTTCAGAATAATTCTTGTTTTAAAATCACTTTCAGACAAAGAATAACTAACAAGAAAGACGTAGTTTAGGATGTCTCGGTGGTCCATGCTACTGACAACAACTGATGTTGAATCCAATATATCTTATCAAATATATTATATTTAAGTCAGAGGAAATAGGAAGTCGATTGTTTGTGATTTTCAAATTTTAACACTTCACTATGTAACTCATCCGATACTTATAGCCTGCGTTAGTTAGCTGTTTTCACTACTAGTAACCGCGCTTTTTTAAAACTTTAGTAATCTATGTTTAAGATGATAATTAATAAGAACTGTTTCACTGTCCACTGCCCAGAGTTGTGATGAATTAACAGATTTCACTGTTCCATTTCGAATCGACATTAATCAAACAGTAGCGCCCTCCTATCTAAAGAATATTGCAATACTTGTTTTTCTGTGTGAAATTTAAAAAACCAACACTTAAATATCAATGAGATGCTCACTAGCGACTTGCCCTATTCAGGTAGGTAGTGAGAAGTCATGACCAGTAGAGTGCAGCAGGTCGGGTGTGAGGACAAATACTCGCCACATATGAAATTGGCTAGCGGTTGCGCTATATCGTGAATTGGAAGAAGTTAGAATTCATGAGCCATTGGATTGGGTCCCAGTGGCTTAACGGTCTACGAGCCAGCTCGCCTTGTAGCCAGAAGGTCCTGGGTTCGAATCCTGGTGGGTGCGTACTGATTAAGAGTCCCAAACTGTGACGAAACAGCTGTCCAGTACTCCCAGCTGGTTTTCCAATGGTTCTCTAACTAATGTCAGCTCATGATGTAACCCTGTAATTAAAAAACTGCATTATCAGTACTTAAAACACTTTAACTAACATGTACTTTCTAATTTCATTTATTAGATTAAATTATTTTTCAGTGGTCTTGTGTAAATCTCCTGACAGAATGTGCATCTCGTGAACTTTCAATACCTGTTTATTTTTTTCTAGTTATTGGGTTGAGAAATAATAAATTAATTGTGTGCTTCGCATTGTAGATATTGTGAAGTACTATCTGCATCCCTTTTTTTAATTCTTACACTATTATGGATGACACGAAATTTGGGTTCAACAGGATGGGGAAAATGGTTCATAGATCCATCTAATCCAAAATCAGCGTGAGTTCAAATCTGATCTATCTGTTTTGTATTCTAGGCAAAATAACTCATAGGAAATGTTAAACAGACGATTGCACTGAAGAAGAATGTTTTTTTTCGACGAAGTCATCAACTAGACTATACATTCGTATACAATTGGTGGGTGGTGGCTAGCAGTGGAATCCAGGATGCGCATTTCGTCCTATTTGGGACTCGTCAGCTGGATGTACCTGTATTTCTCAGTGAGTGATGATGTTCCCACTGAGGCTCGAATCCAGTGACCATAGTTTCAAACGCCGAAGCGTTATCCACTAGACCACTTGGGCCACGAGAGCCACCTCTTGTGCAACGGGTCATATTAATTTTTGAATTGAATTTTTGATTTTCCCGTCGATTGATTGGACCAATTGTATACTAATTAAATGCCCAGACATCGTCGAGGCATCTGCGCAAGAAGCCGATATGTCAACCTGAGACCGATCACTTCGGTCCAATCAATCGACGGGAAAATCAAAAATTCAATTCAGTAATATACATTCGTATATTTACAGTAAGCAGGTGAGAAAGTTCGAGAACTGTTTCCGTTCCAGGGTGAAATTAATAAAATCACAAAGTGTAATAAGCAGCAATACAGAATAAAAAATGTAGCAGGGTCACAGTTATTGATCAAATTGACCTTTTAATAAAAATTAGAGATTAAGCACGTAGTACTAACAAACTGATAAAACTTGATAGAAAGGCATAATAATGCACAAAGGGGTTTAAAAAACGTAAAACTAACAAACATAAACAGGCAGTTTGAATAAAAAAGGTAACAGGATGATCACTATTAGAGAAGTGAGTGTTAATGATGTCCATGTTAGAGATAAAAGGTTGGAAGTATTTCTTTTAGATACATAGAGTGGGCTTGAACTTTTGAATTACTAGTACCTTAGCTATGTATGCCCAGATTACTTGGTCTCGCTTCCTTTCAGTGGTTCGGTCGGATCCTGTACATGAGTTTGAATAAACTTTCGAAAGGAATCTGAATACACACCTTCATTCTCCCTTTGCTAGCGTTCTTGGGCGCGTGTAACTTGCGAACGCATGGTACATCCAGTGTACTTAGCTCTACAGCGGCAAATGAGCCGATATATGTATGCTGAAGTGACCCCAAGAGACAGCTTATCTTACACATGATTGTCGAATAGTTTCTTACAAGAATGTATCACTCGTAGGCTGGCGAGGAAGTATATTTTACTGAGATTTTCGAAAGCCATTTACGGATAATTACTATTTCAGTTTCACTTTTAAATTTGATATTAAGCACTCGCACCTTTTAGATAGATAATCGTACCTGTTGAGAAGCTTTCTTTGGCTTCACACTCTTGTCTGTTTTACAGCATACAATCATCGCATATCTAAAACATACGATAGCCAAGAGAAAATCCTATTTTCTCTGTAATTAGTGAGCCTCATAACTGGTTATTAATGTTGTGAAAATACTCCCATAGTTCTTATCAAGTCATGTTATGTAGTGTCGTAGATTAATAAACCTGTCCTCTCACTTTTACAGCTTAGGTTTGAAACTGATAAATGTAGTACCGATTTTTATAAGAGTTGAAGCATATGATATCTATGGTCGGCCTGCAAAATTTGGGCTACTGATATCACATGCTGAAAAGTCCATATCTGTAACGAAAAATACGGTGTGAAATCAAGCTGTAATAAAAAAAATTTTATTATCTTAAGATATTGTAGAAAAAAAAATGATATACAAGCCCTTAGTTTGTCTTTTATCTCACAGACAGTTGAAGTCAGTGATATTCATACTTGATTAGTTTGGTGGAGATAATACTGATGTGTCAAATACTACACATTCAAGATTCCCATATAAGAAGCATGCAAATAGAATTAAGCTTGTGATTTTGACCTTCATTAAACAGAATATTTAGAAATGATTTCAGATTTTAATTTACTTTTAATTTTTCCAGTTGATTGGCTGGACCGAAATAGTCAACCTCTTTTGACACATCGGCCCCTAGTATGGACGCTTTGACGATATCTGAGAATCAAAATCAATAATAAACAGGGAAACGTAATTTAACTGCGTATTATAGAAGGATGAAACTGATTTGTTGACACCTATAACAAACTAAGCTGGTCTAGTGCAAACAGTTTGAACTTTCACTCATTGCCTGAAACTTGTACTATGCAAATCTTACAGATTTCAAAAAATAAAGTAGCGCTTTGTATTTCATCTGTACCACATTTACCTTTATTATAAATTTCATTCACAACAGTAGTCTTGAATTAAAATAAATATTAACAGTTTACAAATGTTATCTTAAAATTCTTTCAAGAACTTACATAACAGACAGTGCTGCAGCGATCCTTATGACTATAATAGTGATGATTACACCTGCAGCCAATCCAATAACACTGTGGAAACACTGGAAGCACTGTTATGAAACTAAAAGTGGTGAGTCTCTGATACATATATATGTAAATGTGTTGTTAGTTCCTTTCTTATGTTTTTTTCCCTTATGGTTTAAAAATGCCAATTAGAAATAAGAAGAGAACTTCCGTACTTTGGTAGAGTATAATCTCATCACAGATAAAATTTATTTCGATAAAATCTCACAGTGTGTTGTACAGTAATAATAACTGATGAGCACGTTTCGAGCATAATTTATTATCGCTCATAACCATATCCAGGCACTCACTCATGCAACTTTCTAACTTCGTTTATATGATTCCACTATTTCTCATTTCTTGATTTGATGATAAGTAGTATTATTTTCCATATTTCCGGTATGAGTGATGATTCATTCCTATTGCTCATGTTGGGCATAGCTTCTATGAAAAAGGATTCGGTGATCAACCTCTCTCCCCATCTACCTGTATTACCTTTGAGAATTTCGACTCTGTCCCACCCTGTTGTGCAGTTGTGTGTTAATGCATGCAGTGCAATTACTGAGATTTTTTTTCTAAATTACTTATCTTCGTGGGATCAATCATTCCAACCTTATCTGAATACTCATGCTCTGATAATCGCATTACCCCCAATCTACTAGTAATATAAGTAGGTGGAAAGAGAGGTTGATTACTGAAGGTTTGTTAACAAAATACACACCCAACACATGCAAAAGTATAGACTCACCACTCATACCAGAAATACGGAAAATATTACTACCAGTCATCAAATCAAAAGATAAGAAATAGTGGAATCATATAGACGAAGTTTCGGTAGTTGTGTGAGTGACTTGGTAGGATAATGAGCGATAATAAATTGCGCTCGGAACGTGGTCATCAGTAAATATTACTATATGACAGAATGAGGCTTTATCACAATAAATTTTATCCACAATAGAATGCCAACTGGAAACTTCTTAAAAATGATCAGTGATCACTTCTTCATCACCTTCTATTTATATGCATCCGTACCAGTTGAACAATAATTGTTATTGACAAAATTAATGCTTTTTAAAAATTCACATGAAATGATTAGCATCTGAATTCCAAGAAACTTGCTACTGAAATGTGCGGAAGAGCTTAGTGGTGCAATTTCTGTCCAACGGTTAAACTACCATCATGAAGTCAGTGCACCAAAATCCTTTCAAATAGCTCAAGTCCGAGACAGTTCCAGGTTGATACATATCACTGAATGAATAAAACCGAATCTATATATCCGAAGGGAAGGAGTTGTTAATCGTGCTTTACCCTGGCAGATGTACTTTACCGTATTCAATCGTTTCCAGTTAATTTTGTTACCAGGATTATATTTCTTGTCTTGACAGTGTAATTTCCTACTCTAATTTATCTCTATCTACATTCTTGACCAGGACTCGTTTCACCCCTGTTCAACCGAGTTGCTTGATGCTCACACAGGTATATTGTTGACTTAATGTCTCTTTTCAGTTTGTAACACTCGTTTGTTGGCCTAGATCATTTCTTACTTATTTCTCTGCATACTAACGAGGTAAACAACGGCCTCTACTGCTTTGCACTGTGCTACTTAGTCAGATGATGTCTATATCTATCACTTGTATAGTCAAGAACAACAGCTTTTGAATATTTTGTAAGTTCACAGTGAATTGTCCATGGTCGTCAGAAGGTGAAAAGGACCGACAAAATTTAACGACGTCATTTTATCCTTCACAATATGTTTTCCTTAGTTTGTTCAAAACTGAAAGAGTTATATGAGAACAGAGTGTGACAGAATATCGTTCATATCATCTGTATATGATAATATGCATGAAAGTAACACCAAGAGGAACATCAGATATCAAAAATAATTGAACATGAATAACAAGAAATACATTGTAATGAATGCTGATAACTAATATTCATAGTGAATTTCATTCATTCTGATCATAAATTTCCTATAGATGAATAATAATATATTCTTTATTACGGTTTCATTTACGTTTAACATTTTACTACTTACTACCAAGAAGTAGTATGAGCTTATATTTTGACCACCATTTCTTTTTACTCCATAACCACAGTTTTTGATCTTCATGGTAAAATGTCTCATTTATTGTATAAATATTCTATTTGGTTTGATCTAATTACTTTCGTATGATTATATGGGTTTTCTGTACACTTCTTTATGTTGAACTCTCTGCTGAACTCTGATCCTGTACATTCACATAATGTCTATTTCTAACAACTGATCATTTTCTCTGCTCGGTGCAATGACTGCATTTGAACAATAATAGCCAGCTCGGTACATGGACACTGACAGCTAACAGAATTATTAGGTGTAATAACAAGATTAAAATATGCCTTCTGTTTTGGCTTAACGACTCCCAGGAAGGTCAAGTGTTTGATTTGTGTAGGAATAATTGACTAGTTGCATGGAGGATTTCATCATGAGCTGACATCAGTTAGAGAACCACTGGAAAACCTGGGAGCACTGGGCAGCTGTTTCGTCCTAGTTTGGGACTCTTCATCAGCAAGCCCGAAACAGCTGCCCAGTACTCCCAGGTTTTCCAGTGGTTCTCAAACTGATGTCAGCTCATGATGAAATTCTCCATGCAGTCAAACAAAATCCCTACTAAACCAATACTAGAAAAAGTAACTGAGTAACTTGGTTCGCTATATCATACTCATACCCAAGGCGCCTGATAGAAAAACTAGCCTTTTGGAGGAATGTAATTTTAAATAAAAATAAAACAGAATAAGTATATAAGCAGGTTTCAGAACGCCTTTATTCATATTCATCTTTTTAATAATTTTGCAACTTTAATTACTCCTTAATTCTGGCGAGCTTTTAAAAGTTAGTGGTAAACTAGGTCGGGACGCTTGTTATCATATAAACTCGCTCAATTAGCGAAATAAACTTAAGACACCTTACAATTTGAGGTTTCTATATATTATTATCATATAAAAGATTTGTATCTCAAGTGGATAATTTTGATTTAGTTATATTCGCTGGGTTAGGTGACTTAAATGCGAAGCATTCCTTGGCCTTCCACAAAACACCACCAAGAAAAGCCACAATATTAAATGAAATTACTGGAGTCACTGATATAAACAATATAATCATATCTTCAAACAACCTCCGTCGTAGTTGTTTGTTAATTTGCATCACTCCAAAGGTTTTCATTGACTTCGAAGTTGAACTTTTTCATCATGTAGTGATGCACCAATCACCATCAACGGTAAAGATTTAACAGAGGTTGCCTCCTTCACTTATCTAGGAAGCATCGTTTCAACTACAGGCGGAACGGACGAATGTGTCAAAGTCAGAATCGGAAAGGCAAGGTGCATCTTCATCAACCTGAAACCATTTTGGAAATCTTCCACACTCAGCATAAGGAACAAGATTCTCATTTTCGACATCAATGTCAAGTCGGTCTGTGCTTCTATACGAGTGAGAAACGTGCTTTTTGTGTCACGACAAGGATTTCCAACAGGTTGCAGACTTTCATCAACAGCTGGCCTATATCCACACTGAAGATCAACCGACCAGAAAGAACTAGCAACAAGGAACTCAGGCTGGGAACAAACTAACCAAGAGCCGATAGTTCAACAATTTTGTAGGAGAAAATGGAAATGGATGGGGCATACATTGAGGAGCCCATCGAATGACATCGCATGCAATGCAGGCCATCGCTCAAGTGGAATCCGAATGGGAATAGACGAGTGGGCCGTCCTAGGGCGACATGGACGAGGTCATGTGACGAGGAGGAGAGGATGAGAGATTAAGGACAACTGTGTACCCACCTGAAGAGCACAGCAGGAAATAGGACAAAGGAGAGATGTGTTGTTGAAGCCCAATGTTCCACTAGGAACACAAGGCAATAATAAAAATAATAAATGAGAATCCAGCAGTCATTGAAATTTTCACCACACTGTCTACTGATGTGAGCTAGCATAAGTAGACATCCAAGAAACTATGACAAATCGTGGTGGATATTTCACCACACACACTAAACACAACCTTCGAAAGATTACTCTATAGAACAGCTTTAGAGATTAGTTTCCATAGCTGTGAAGAATAATTTTACAGCTTAGTAAGGACCAATACATTATAATGTTCATGCTGTTTAAGTGAACGACCTGAAATTAAAAATAACAACCAACCTGAGATAAATCTAAAGACTATTTCCACTACATTTACTTCCGCTTAGTATAGTAAAATGGGTATTTTATTTTTTTGTCTCTTTCAGAACCAAATGTCGAAATAACCCGTACACTTCTTCCTTGGAATGTGGCGTTACAGAAATTCCCTTGGGGTGTAATTTTGGTGGTTGGTGGAGGCTTTGCACTAGCAACTATAATGGAGGTTAGTTGTAACTGTAGCAAACCAAACGAGATGAGACATGTTTGCCTTCGCTTCAAATCATTATCAAACCATATTTAGTGCTAACTTTATCAACAAAATCCCACATTATCTGGCACCGGAGAAGCTTTTAGCTTTGTCATTCAATGAGTACTTGCCAATTAACAGATGCTATAATATTTGGTTACATGCAGAATTAAAAATATCTTGCAAAATGATTATTTCATTCAATAGAAAAAATTCTCTCGATGTTGATTATTTGGTTGTAGGTTGACAAATCGGCACATGACAGATTTTAAGATACATTCATTACCAAAATGATGAAATTTTAAACTTTTAAAATGCTCTTTATAAGTCAACTGTCAGTTCACCTATGAGTTTTCATCAAATTATTCGAAAATAAATGTCTTTCGAAGTGTACCGAAACAGCAGGTTTATAGAGACAAGAAATAAAGAAGTCTATACATGCTCGTCAAGGTGATTTTGACATTTGACAAGCTCTTTATTCAAACGTTATTGCATGAAATGCTTTTCTAGGGATATTAGGCCCGCGAATATCCATGATTTATGAATTATGAATGTCTGGGGAGGCTTTAAGTCCAGTCTTGTTGAACAAGACTTAGGCTACTGAGATTTTTAGTGGAGACATTCAGAGGTAGCTCTTCACAAAATTATTCTTTATTCATTCTTTTTAATACACTCAGAGCTCTGGTTTGACAACTGCAGTTGGAGCTTATCTTGGAGAACGCCTGAAATATATCCCGGTGACCCTTCTCAACATAGTTTGTGCACTTACAACCGCAGCTATGACTGAGTTTGCTTCCAATTCAGCGACAGCCTCAATCATCTTACCGATTGTATATGGATTGGTAAGTCAGTAAAAAATTTTTACTTTCTTTAGTACAGCTTTTCATGGTAAATCTACAGTTTCTCTTTTTGAAACAATAACAGCATTACTCTGGACAATATGTTGAAGCACAGTAGAGACTTTTCAGTCTATTTTAATGTGTTATGTTTACCCTTTGAACAGTGGGGTGCTTTGACGGTTTTAGTCGTTTCTGCTGCGTAGTCAGTGTTAGAGTCAGTTTCGTCAATGGGAGTTACCTGAGACCGCTCTATACCAGTGAGTTAGTGAGTTCGACTCACCGTCATCAATAGAAGATTTTTTGCTCTACTGTTATAAGAATGAATATTGCCTAATATTTGAAGTTGGTCAAGTTCTACCTCCGTGTGGTCAATTCTTCCTCACTATTCACACCCTCCCGTTACTTTACATTGTCTGCTCAGCGAAATGTGCGACCGCTTAAGTTATTTAGCAGTTCTTTTATGAAAACTAAGAATAACAGCTCGCCAAGAATTGTTCCCTAACGTTTCCTGTTTATCATGTGATTGTTTCACTTTTGTGAAAAACTTCTCACTCTCATGCTGGGTTCAAATCTGAGGTAGCAATGTGTTACCAGTCCCTGCCTAGGAAACTTTGCAAGGTAATATCTCATGGGCGATAGAGTAGAAGGATTCTGCTGGGTCTAGAAACACCATATGTAGCATGCAGTATGAGTTTCCACAAAACTAGTGACAAAGGATCAATCCTTCTTGAAACCATGCTGAGATTTGTGGACAGTGTTGTTCCCATTCAGATTTCCCCTGGAGCAGTCATCCAAACGTCTTTCCATCATCTTTGATATAGGGCTTTTATCAGTGCACTCCTCTGAAACTAATAAGCTGGACTGACAGATTCTAACTGTTCTGTAACTGATGCCTGTCCAGTGTATAGCTAGACAATCTACTTAGGGTAACTTACAGAGTTTCAGGACACTGATAAATAGTCATCTCATGCGGTCGTACCTCAGAAATTTTTCGCATAGGAGCAATCTCTGCGATATCTGACTATACGGGGAGGGACTCCTTGAGTGTATATATGTCAGTGATATCCTTGTTGTTTAATGGCTTTTCGAATACGTTCAGAAATTTTTCACTATGATTTCTAATGGAACAATAGCTAGTCTTTTTCTTTCGAGACATGATTCTCAACGAAATGTTGTGGTTGGTTTGCAATTTCCTCGTTATATTTGCCTGGAATATTCTCGTATCTCTACAAGCCTTGCTATTACGCCGGTTTATTACCACTGAAAACGCTGTGTAATCTGAAACCTTCCTTCAGGGTCTCTATCTGAATCATTGCATATCTTTGCTTTTAACTGGACGTTCGATTAAGAATGACTATGTCACGTGTCACACACAACTCCAAACACCATTTCAAACATTGACAGAGAAGGTTGGTGCAGGTGTTACACATATCCAGACACCACTTCATTAATTGATCATCGTTGGAACAGAGATATGGATGTTCAAATGACAACATGACATCAACCTATCAAGTCTTTGTCTGTTGATTTAATTCACGTAGGAGATGCAGACTGTCTGGTTGGGGGCAATCAAAACAGTAACATCCACAAAATGGTTAAAGACGACCGGTGATGTACATAGCTTAAAATCGTCCTCAGTGAAGCAGATGCACTAACTTTTCATGGACTAACTGTTAGATCCATTAAATTCTCATTGTCCTCGATGTAAATATTCATCCTCGTCTACTTTCTAGTTCATTATAGTTTCTTTGCATTCCTTTGTTTTCTGTGTACTTTTATGTGTGATTTCATGAAATGCGGCAACTTGAACTTCTGCACTCTTGTGAAAAGTTACACGCTACAAATTCCCTTCAGTTTACTTTAATGGGATGCTCTGACGTTTTTCAGGCAGTGTCTTCGTGTTTAGTCGTAATATTTTTCATATGGATGGAAGCGTTCAAAACCTTCTTGGTAATACCTTCGATCAGCTCTCAATTCTCATTTATTATCAGGGAATAGAATAGTAAACCTGAGACTAAGGTGCCAACACCACAACTTGTATCATTCCTACAAACTTGGCTTTTGCGCATTAGCATTGAGTAGGACAACAGTCTTTAGTTAGCTGTTCATTAATTATTAGGTCAAAAACTACCACTGTGAGGTCACCCCTGCTTGTTGACAGTTTCATTTTGATATTCTATTTTAGCAAGTTATCGGTTGTATGAGAATAATCCTGTCTCGTTGGTTAACGTCCATACCATGACGTGTGTTTTCCTTCCCCCAGTCTTCCTCCTTACTTTGTCTTTTATTCATATTGTCATCACATGTATGGTCATTTTACAGTTTTTCATTATCAAATAGGTCCTGATTAGACAGCATATTTTTGCCCCAAACCACAGCATTGAACATTATCAAAGACGTAGAGCATACAGAAGAACTGCAACAACTGAAGGGTTATACTGCGTTATGCTGTATATGAAATGAGCACCCCAGTGATCCAAGCAGTACTACGTGCATCAATATGTTTTCCTGCTTATAAACATAACACTCAGCAAAACCAGAGGTTCAAATGTTAGTGATTTTTTCACGTAAATGAATGGATATTTCGTCTAATGAGTCACAGAATTTATACATCAATAAGTATAAATTATAGGATTTAATTCATGTGCAGACTTCTTAGCCCTCACAATTATTACTTACAATGTAGATTCATTGGGGTTATATTACTGTATGCTGAAGTTTGGTTTGATGCCACCTGCTCAGAGTGCACCACTTAGAGGATAAAATTTCGTTTCATAAAACAGACCATATATAATAACATGGTACTAGAAGAATGTGTATATGAGCTCTCAATTCGCAACTTGCAGTATACTTCAATCTATCACAAATGCTGACTGAACTGAATCGGATTTTTAAAGTAGAAGAATGCACAAAATTCAGCACTTCAAGATGTCACACTTCATGAAAGATTGAGAACTGAAATACAGTCAATCATTAATAAACACGCATTTGCTGCGGAAAGAATAACGAGACTGTAAAGTGCATGAAAGTTCATAAGAATTGGATGAGTCTGCACAAATGGCTCTAATTTTTAACCATGACACTGACGGTATTCAATCACTGGACCATGTCAAAGACCACCTTTAAGGAGTCTACACTATCTTTAGGACTAAAACCACAAGTTGAATACTTTATTTCTTATTCTTTTCCGACCTAATCCAATATTCACTAACACTGCTGATAGAGAAAGATGATGTATTTGCAAACCTAGGTATTCCCACCTAAATAAATTTCGTCTCTAGTTTTAAATACTGCTAAATTCTGTTTAGTAGTTAATTGTGTTTCTGGATATATATGTCTCTAAACTTAGTGGCGTTGCTAAGATGTCCCTTTAAAAAATTAAACCCAAAACAAATCTTATTTAAACAAAGAAGGCAATACAAGGAGGAACAGTGACCCGTTAAACTGAATATTTGGTTACTGTGGTGTCTATATACATATAGGGGGAACAGAACAACAAATACTTGTGGTTACGCCTAGATTATAGACATGTAAATACAGAAACTGACTAGTCACGTAAGAGTTTAATTATTTGTCAAATTTCACAAAAAGGAGATACATTTGATTGATGGACTTTCATATTATTATATTATTAGTTTTCTGATTGCGTTAGATTGGATAAGACGAAAGACAACGAGGCATAAAGTGGACCCACACAAAAACTTGGAGGATCTGGACTTCGCCGATAAAATGTGTCTGATTTCTCACAAGCTGGAAGACATACAATTGGTGGATGGTGACTAGCAGTGGAATCCAGGATGTGCATTTCGTCCCATTTGGGACATACAAGTGAAAAGCAACAGGTTGGCAGAAGAATCATCAAAGATAGGACTTTAAGTGAACATAGAGAAGACAGCGGTGATAAAGGTCCCTGTCCAACAGCAACAGCAACCACAACAGATAACAGGGAGCCTAAGTAGGAGGAATCTGAGAAAAGCAACCTCGGTTTACCTACCTAGGAAGCATCGTTTCAACCACAGACTGACGGAACTGATGAGAATATCAAAGCGACGATCGGAAAAGCAAGGAAAGCAAGCTTTCGTTAATCTCAAGCATGTGTGACGATCAACAGCACTCTGCTTGAAAAATACGATCCAGATTTTCAATTCCAATATGAAGTCAGTGCTACTATAGCGATCAGAGACTTAGCTAGCGTGTTATGAATAGCACCTCGAACAAACTACAGACCTTCATCAATGGCTGTCTTCGCTTCATGACACTGAAGATCAGATAGCCGGCCAGAAGAGTTCAGCAATAGTCAGGGATCTTTGGCAATGAGCAAACCACCCTAACAGGAACGAATGGTGAAACAAATTTTCAGGGAGAATGGAGGTGGATTGGTCATACTCTGAGAAAACAAACCATCAATTGAGATATATCACACGTGAGGCCGTTGCTCAAGTGGAATCCGAATGGGAAGCAGTGAGTTAGTCATCAATGAGAGGGTGACATGAAGGAGGTCATGTGAACAGGAGATGAAAGCATTTGGGTAGTCATGGAGCTTGGTGGAGACGCTGGTGGAGAACCGAACGCAATAGAGACTTGCGGCTGAAGCCCTATATTCCTCTAGAAACTAAAGGAAACAATAATAATAACACGACGAAGCAGCATTTTTAAAGTAAAAATCAGCGATAGAAATCACTAGTAACAATAATCAATCGTGAACACTGTCGATAAAAATTTACCTAAACATCAGGAAAACAAGTACGTTGGGATGTAACCTCACCAGGAGTATAAATTGAATACCCCTCTCTTTATCATCCAGGATAATGACAAAGAGCTAAAAATTAGCTTAAGGATAACGTACGTGTAGAGAGTAGAGAAGTGAATTCTTCAGATAAGTAACTCATATGAGTAATATCAGGTGATGAAATAATTTCACAAGTCAAATAGGTAATTGATTTAGTGCCCGTATATTATAGCTTATTCACTTTGTCAGACCTATAAGCTTATGACTTTGGTATCCTTGTCCTCAGAGGAGCTAAAGCTAATCGTCCGTTATTTTGATCTTGAAAACTTGAATATGATTTTCTCACACTTCTTTGCATATTTATCTTATTGCAAAAATTACTCACAAACTTTTCACCAGTGGCAAGCATTTATTTTTACTAAGTGTACACAATATCTTATGGTCTATTTGTCGGAAGTATGTATAGAACTTTCGAATATAATATACCTTTTACTTCAACAAAAGTATTTCAAGTGATCTAACTAAAATTATCTCTTTACAGTGTGAAGGACTTGGAATTCATCCGTTTCTGATAGCATTCCCTACAACCGTAGCAACCTCCTTTTCATTTGCACTCCCAGCTGCAACTCCGCCTAACACAATTGTTTTTGCCAAAGGTAGAGTTAGAGTCAAACATATGGTAAGTTATTGATTTATTTGACGCAAACATTTTATACACGATCTGTTTCTTACTAATGATAATCATAAGTTTATTCTCAAAATATTTATTTATTCTCAGCGGATTTTACTGCAAGGTGTTTTTCCCCCTAGCTCAGAAACTCCATATAATATAATAATTGGTAATGCATCATCTGAGGCAACATTGTTCCACTCAAAATATTCTCCAATGTTCCTTCTACCATTTCCTCAGGAAAACCACTAAGGATGGTTGGGAGGATATACATTATCTTTCAGTATACTTGAGTAGATAGAAGGGAGAAGGTCAATTACGACTGCATTTTGTGAAAACTTCTCACGATGGCCTTTTTACCCAATCTAACAGTGGGTAGGAATTTATTTGAAGTCGTGCGTGAATATAGATTATGACTGTGGTCATTAGAATACTGAAACGCAGTAAACACATGTTGCATCTAAGTGGATAGAAACTTTAGGTAGCCCAGTAATTAACGCAGGCCGCCGTTTCATTTGATGTGGATATTTGACACCATAATAATTAGTAGAAATAAAGCAGTACTATTGTGGTGAGAGCAGCCTGCTAGCCAATTGGTTGACATTAATCTACATCAATGTCTAGGTCACTAATATGGACCGTGAGAAAATATGAACAAGACTGTTTCAACAACCAATCACAGCGAACTTAAACGTGGGCAAATATGATTCGCAGATAGATGGTCTACTTCCCGAGGAACTCGAAAACAACCAATCAGAAGACTGCGTTTGTCTACTTGACTAGGCTATAATAATGTATGTGAAATTTATATAAATACGTGTTGATTTCCAAAATAAAACGATCTGTTGCCTGGCCCTTGTCTTCTGTTGTTACACTATTATCATTATTATCATCATCACTTTTATCACTTGTAATGATGATAACCGCAACTATTATAGTGGGGTGATGATCACATAAAATATCTCTTTTTTGAAATAGTGCTACCTGATTTAGATAAACCAAATATGCTAGAGTGATTTCATCGAAATCCAAAAATATACTTTTAACTGTTTAAATTATTGCATCCATTAACCCACTACATTGCACAGATGTCAGTATCAAGCGACATTTTCTGATAACATTGCAGCATATTTTGAGAAGTTCAAGAATGTGATGACATCAATCATATGTGCGTCAGAAGAGAAATTTTAACGCAAAATTCCATTTAACAAGCACGTGAAAAATACAATTTGTTATTAAACTAACATAGCTTCGGACTACAACGTTATAATTAGCCGGGATATACAATAAAAGCACCCATTATGGCAATTAAAGTAATCACAGAAGGATTCTGCACACTATAATTAGTCATATATGTTCAAAGAAATTCTGAGTGTAATGCTATTTGTAGTATTTACTGCTTCTAGTATGACCTCAGTGCAAATAAACAACAGAGTCTGGTCCTTTATTGTACACTGGTGAATTGAAAGCCCTTTATATATATATATATATATATATATATATATATATATATATATATATATATATATATATATATAGCGTCCCAGGGGTGCGAACGCTCCAGTGATCTTGAACGCATACTGGTCGTTGGCTACGAACACCAGTCATTACAATAGTGCAAATATGAACGTTTATCACCAGTTAAGGAGAAAATTTCGCCCATATCATGTTTTTAAATACTGTTTGGATAATGTACTAGTAGCTCGCTAGGGTTAAGATCAGGGTTATAATTAAGATTAGGGTTAGAATTATGGTTAGGGTTACGATTAGTGATAGACTTAGAGCTGGTACTATTTATTTTAAGTTGTTTATCATCCACATATCGCCAGTAGTTGATCGTCGATTCTCTTAATGGAAACCATAGTAATTCAACCAAAGGCTTCTTGGGAAGGCTGCAAAACAGGATAAGAGTGATAAGCATGCCACAAGAATAGCTAGCCCTAAGTCACCCCAGTGAATGGGTGTGCAGAAGTGGATCTAACTTAGAAACTGATACTCCTCATCAAAACTGGGACTTATTTTAAGTCAATTCGGAGATAAATATTCTGTTTAATGTGTTTTCATGCACCTTCTTGTAAACAAACGTCATTTTGCGTGCAAAAATCCCCTTTTTTTATGACGGGTCGGCTCAAGGTCACTCATGCGTTCGCTTGCCTTGGGATGCTATTATTTAACTTTGTCCCCTTCATAATTTGAATACACCTAGGTTACTACTATACACTTAGTTCTGCTAATCACAGTGATGTCAGATACCTATGCCCATTAAATTATGCTCTGGATATGTAAGGCATGATAAGAAATCACCAGATGGGTTTTCAGTAACTTCCTCCTGATGCTGCTCTATATACATTAAAAAATCAGCAAGTAATATAGTGGCGAGAGGTAGCTGTGAGCCAAAAATTATAGACAGCAGTTCACGTCTGTGTGACGTTGCGAACCGGGGTCATGAGAAAAAAACAAGAACAAAGGCTAAGCTGGAGGAACTCAACAACCAATCACAGCAGATTTAGCGTCGGCGGATACGAATGGCAGATATATATATCAACGGACTGCCTACGAAACGGCAAGAAAGAGATGACAGAATAACCTTCAGCAAGAAAACAACCAATCAAAAGACGTTGCTTCTCTGTGAACAATAACGAATAATGATGGATATAAAAATTTATAAATATCTGTTAATTTTCACAATAAACGATCTGTCACCTGGCCCTTGTCTTTTGTCGTCACAGTATAACTAATTAAAGAGTAAATTTATAGAAATATTTAGACGGATTCAAATTCACTCATATCCTGATTGTAAACTAAACTCAATATGACTGGAAACAGTCGAGATGGGGTAAGACAAAACCCATCGATAATCATTCATTATAATCTGAAATTTGAATGAAAGTGTTCGTTTACCTGATCTACTGGTTAATAATTGTCAAGTGGGGATGAATTTAAGAAACTTAATACTATTATTATTGTTTCCTTTAGCTCCTAGGGGAATATAGGGCTTCAGCTGCACGTCTCCTTTGCGTTCGGTTCTCTGTCAACGTTTTCACCTGGCTGCAAGTCTGACCACATGCTTTCATCTCCTGTTCACATGACCTCCTCCATGCCACACTCACACTGACGACCAACTCGCCGCTTCCCATTCGGGTTCGGCTGGAGAGTTTGTCGTGTGATGGAAAGTTAAAATTAAGTATACAGCTTTGAGGCACTTTTATTATACTGTTACAATCTAAACTCTTCATAGTATATGTACCATTCTGATTTCATAACACACAGAGAGAGAAATTCCATTCCAAGACAGCAGTGAGATGAATAATCCAATTTTCTTTCTATCAATATGATACCCGGAAAAAATCTTGAGAAATGTACGTGTAAAAATTGTTCAGACCACAGACTCAATGGGAATTCATATGCTTATGCATCAGCTATGCATGCAAAAGTGATCTGTCCTGCCATTAAATTTGCAGCAAACTCTGGCGCGTCAACCATTTCAGTTGCAAACTTCGACCAAAAATAAAAATGATTTCTCGATAACAAACACTGAATCAGTGGGTCATCGGAAAGCTGTTGAAAGGGTTCAGACAGGCAGAATGTGTCATTTCACATCTACCTAGTAAAGTTAGAGTTGTTTAGTCATTGAATAATGTTCTCAGTATTTAGCATTCAGTTATGTGATAACCTTGCTTCTTTCATTCAGTTACATCCAGAACAGTAATTCGCAGTAGACTAATCTTCAAGTTTTATTGACTAACTAATCCCTATCACATATACAAGGTAGAAAATGTAGAAATTAAATCTCGTCCCGTTAAAAAAGATGGGTAGACAGGCTTGTCGTCTAATAAATGTCAAGCCGATTTCATGACTTTGCTTTTAAGCCTGTTGCTCTAAGTTTCTTCGATATTCATATCGTGCGTCATTATAGTCAAACAATCTTCCTTTCCATTGTATTTTTTTTAAAATTTTCTTATTCATTTTCATTCTTGATGTAATATATGGCTTCAAGGTAGAGCTTCAAAATTGCAGTAGCTATGCTGTTTTCTACGGGATGGAGGTGCTCACCCCACAGCCAACTTTCCCTCTTAATCGGGCTTACCGACTAAACGAGGTAAAGGTATGCGTCGACTGGGAATCCAACCCCAGACCCCCATGTACATGGTAGCCCAGTGTTCTACCACTAAGCCACCGACACACTTCCATTATATGAAGTTTATTAAATTCAACATCGCTTGACAATTGTTAACCAACAGATCAGATAAACGAACACTTTCAATCAGATTTCAGATGAGAATGAATGGTTATCGCTGGATTTTGTCTCATCTCATCTCGATTGTTTCCAGTCATATTGATTTTAGTTTGCAGTCAAGATAAGACTGACTTTGAATCAGCATAATGAATTAGTCATTTCAGTTAATCCTAACTGACCCTTTTTTAGGCTGTATGAAATTCACTGATAGGCTTAATCGTATACATCATTTTTCAACTCATCAATTGCCTTTTTTATGAATTGATTTCAATCCTAATTATCCTTTCATTAAGTGAAAGTTTTATACTTCCTTTTTCTTTTAACAGATAATGGCAGGAATCCCTATGAATATTGTCGGCAGTTTTGCTGCAATTGGTGCAGTATCCAGTTATACTGTGCCACTGTTTGGACTGAACAGTGTACCCAGTTGGGTGAATGATGTGAAAAACAAAACAACAATAAAGTAGACAAATATATGGAGACTATCATACACTGGTGCTTTTTCCTCTAAACGCGTTTTAGCACTTTAAAACGTTATGCAATTCTTTCTCATCGGTAAACTTCAACAAAGCAATAAAGTTATGTACCAGAAATCTCTATAAACTTGATTCTACAGATTAAGTTTACTTAATTTTACAATATGATTAAACGCACAAGTTTCTTGCATAAATATTAGAAATAGGGTCTTCCCTGTACTAAATTTGAGATTTCCCAACGAGTCAGAAATTTTTTGGAGAGGGTGGCAACTTGCATAGGTGAACTGACTTATACCTTTGTCATTTTATCAGTGATTTCATCGTAATAGTATTTGAAATTATTTGGTTTTGCTATAGCTAGCACATGGATTTCATCTTAATTAGGATTTATCATTTGGATGTACTTGTAACCAGCATTCATCATGTTAGACGCCGAAGATTTATCTCCTAGGTCACAAAGCCGTAACACCTACGTCTTGTGCAAACAGGACTTATAAAGTAAAAATACTTTAAAGTTGAAGCACTTGGTTCAGGCTAATTTATTATTAGTAGTAGACCAGATAAACTAATAATACTTGTAAGGACACTCAACTACATGAACAAGCTATGAAAAATCAAAAGTTCAAACATATTACATAGATCTGGATAATCAGATGTAAAACAAACTGAACAGGTGCCTTGATATGCATTAAAACATCGAATTTAGGGTCAATATGAGTATTTTAAGTGTATGTACTCTAATGGTATCTAAGATTTTAGCAGTTGAAAGTGTTTGTAGTAGAATATTATGAGAAGCGGAATAAAGTGGCGTGTGCTACTGACAAGATTTATAAGTAGTATATAGATGTGGAGAAAAATATGTATGTCAGCGTCAAGAATGTCAAATGGCGGAGAGATGGATTTAATAAACGATGGTTGAGAAAAAACACGGACACCATGATAGGAAAACAAAGAATAACAATACAAAAGACAAAGCAACACAATGCCGAAGATACGTGCAAATTGTGATTCTGCTATATTGTAGGTGTATACTGCCTATATCTGTGTATCGAGTTTCAAATAAATAATTCCAGTTTTAATGTGGTCTACTGACGTATACATGTCTACCATCAAAAATACCAAGACTACTGTTGAGGGAGCGTCAACCGAATGGCCAGTTTGATCGGAAGTATTACATCGTAAAATAGTATCATGTTAATTATGTACTATTTCTGATAAAGATAGGAATAGCTAATTCTCGGCCTTTACTCTTTCAGAGAACTAACTGATGACTTTATAAATGCGTATTTGCTGAATATGTCAGCTGATTAACATTAAAAATCAAAGGGTTCAAGAAATTCTGGTATTGCAGAATGAACGGAAGCGCTGAAATTAAATGCAGTCATGTGTCTTAACAACAGCTTTTACATTACCCTATACAATCAGAGAGGATGTTACAGGAGACGCTGTTTAAAATGTAGCGTTATGATGTAATATTACTTATCTTATCGATAAACACAAACCACACAGGTTGTTATGGTTTATGTTTATTATTTCGCATCGGTGTTATCCAACCTTAATGTCGAGTAGTAATTGTTTTGTGTTTACAAAACAGATGGCTTCATTAGGATGTTTCCTAACAAATTCAAATGAGTACTTTGATTGGACACTAGTAAATAGTGTGATGTGTCTGGTCTTTTCTGTGGTGCGAACTGAATTCTATCGATTAGGTTTGTAATGTGGCCACCATTCCAGGTAGCTTACTATCACGGTGCATATTGATTTAATGATATTAGATAGTTGGAGACAATTGACAAGAAGCCTTGGACCTAGGTTTTGTGGTAGTTGGCACTCGTCTGCAAGGCGTATCTGCAACCTTGAAGGAACTCATGTCCCTTCTGAGATTTGAACCAGCGTCACGAGTATTACTCGATCAGTAGTTATCAGTAAGCTGACCATTTTCTCTTTTTCAAAATAGTGTGAAATGGATATCTTTGTTTTCTAAACACAAAGACAAATGAACTTATAAAATTTTTAAAGTTAAGCAGGTTCAATTGTCAAGCCTAATGTTTCACTCTTGAGTCATAATCAGTGAGCTACGTCACATAAACTACATCCTACTTGAGGCTTCGAAAAGTATCCTGAAACCATTAATAAATCTCATAAACAGTAAAACAAATGCAGGCCTTCAAAACATTCATTGAGTATTTCTAACATTACATATGTATGTGTATATGGGGATTATTTACTATTATTTCATTCCATTGAGAACCTGTGAAACATAGGGATTCAAGCTACAGCTTTGAAGTTACGGCAGCAGTGATATTCACTTTCATAGGATGGGGCTGCCAGCCTCATACCCAACCTTCCCTCTCTACCCATCTTATTACTGACTTAGGGTGGTAAAGGAGGGCATCATCCGGCGATCGAACTTCTAGCTACCTGCGTAGTTGGTGAGCAGTCTATCGCTGTGCCACCGACGCAAACTATATATGAGGATCTTATCTCTTTATTTCTATTATTAATACAAACCAAAGGTAAGAAAGGTAATAAGATAATCGCTACTGAGATAATTGATTTTTTTGTCATAGTCATGATGGAGAAAAAGACTGGACGCATTTCTTTTGGACGTATAACTTAAGTTTGAATGTTAGATTGGTAGTGCTTCAGCTATGTCCAGATATCTTGGTCTCACTTCAGAAAATAATTCTTGAAATCTCAAATGATGGTGTGGAAGTTGTAAGATTAGTAGGCAAATGAAATATTACGCAACAAGGTGATAATTATGATAAGACTACATTGCAAAAAATTATTTTGAATTAAACATTAAATAAACTTGACAAGTGAGATAATACCGGGAATTGTTCAGGGTGGAATTAATAATAACAATCGAAATAACTGGGGGAAGATAAACAAACTGACCAAAAGAAAACGGCAAATTAATTTATCCAAAGTGTGGGCAGGGATTATAATATTTTAGCACAGATGGATTAAGACCATGAGAGTTGTAGTAGTTGAACAAACTTTTTCTGTAAACGAAGATTCAGTACTACACATGAGTCGGATGCGTAATGATAACTACAGAGGAAGACGCTGTAGAAATAAGGTGACCGGTGTCTACCAAATATCCAGTTATTGTGCTTCTTATATCATGAACCCACCTCTTCATAGCCACACAGAATAATGCTTTTGGACCATCTTGGACAAAACTCACATCGAACGACTGACATACTTATCTCCACAGAAGCAGATGAATTGATAAACACAAAGAGTCGGTCACCTGCGGGATCCTTTACTTCATATTGCTGAAAAGTAATGGTCGATTAGAAAACCCTATTCTCAATGGTGCTGCAGCAAATTTCCTTTTTAGGGACTAATAGATCCTTCTCTAAAGAATATCATCAGCTAAATCACCTTTGAATTCAAAATCAAAAAGTACTGTGGTGAGAGTTGGCTGGTAGCCAAAGTTGGTAGACAGTAATTTACGTCAATGTATATGTCCCCAATATTGGTCGTGAGAAAAATGCGAACATAGGCTTTGCGGATACAGTTAACATAGAGATGATCTGTTGTCTGCCCCTTGTCTTCTGTTGTTACAGTATCACTTTCTTTGTAACAGATGTTAGATAAACTTTTATCCGTTGTGACTGCATTTTCCTTTAGGATGTTTCATAGGGGATTCAACTCTTCCTCCAAACCATCACATGCAGCATATGCGCTAAATGAGGGTGCAGTTAAATTTCATTTTCGACCAATGAGTACCCAGATGTGGAAATTTTTCAGCTGACCTTTCCATGACAGAATTCCATAAACTGATCTTCTTAGAGTTTCATCAAGCTTCCATTGTTAACTTCTCACAAGGAAAATGAAAGTTAGACTCGTTTGTCATTACGCGTGTGAATTTTATCGCTGGATGGCAACCATTAAATACATTTAGTATATTATTCAAATTATTGTCACCACAAACAGTAAAAGTGTCATCTGTATAACTTTAACACAATTGAAAAACTTTGAGTTTCTGTCAATGGAACGTTGGTAAATGGATCTCTTGAGAGAAATGAAGACGAAATGTGCAGAATTGGCTACCTCTTCATATTCAACAAAAATAGGTCGCATGATATACTTCAAATCATAACTTTACATGTGAATCTTGTATGAAGGGGACATATTTCGAAACTAAATGCGCTGAAAAATTTTGTAATGTGTTTACTTATTTAAAACAAGGAATGTAGGTTAATAAATCAGGATTTAATGAATTCATCAAATTTCGGTAGAACTCGTCAGCTGAATACTCTACATACACGGATATATATACTTTTGAAATTACATTGGGAGATATAAGACTGATAAGTAAACAAACTACATTGAATTAGTCATGCAGAAAGACAGGTGAGAATGTTTTCCAGGTCATGCTCAAATTGATAAGGGGAGAGAGTGTGAGAGATCAAAATTAAGATAAACTGGATTACGCTTCAATTACATCAGACAGAGTAATATCAATAGTAATAGTTGTAATAACAATAATAATAGTGTTGAAGTGAGTTAAGATAATCTTACTGATAAAGGATAGTTTTAAGTGAATCAATAATAATAATAATGACAATAATAATAACAATAAGAAGCAGAGGTAGAATAATAGTAATAACAAGTATAGAATAATAAGTAAAATGTGTAACCATGGTAGATTCAGAGTGACGACCATCTCCTCTTGTACACAGAGACCTGGTTTATAAATTCGAACTGCACAAGCCTCTGCAGTTTCAAGCATCTTCATGTTTCTTTATCTGCTGACAATGGTGAATGACTTGACCGCGTCGATATCATGTCCGAAATCCTCAAGATGTTTTGTTATTGAGGATTTTGGCACTTTGCACTCAGCTGTTTTCAAACATTTTGGCAAATGCTCCATCATGCTAGTAGACAATCGTCTTTCCGTACGACCTATGTATTTGCTTCCACAAACACACTCAAACGCAGTTTGAAGTGTCGGGTTTACTTATTGTCTGAAATAAAGCTTTATCACTTAAAATGAACCTATCGCCCAACAAATATTCCGAAGAAAATCGAGATAGAGCGGACACACATACAAATTTAGAAGACTGTTGAGTAAGATTGC